CCAATTCTAAGGAAAATGCCGCTATTTTTCCCAATTCTAAGGGCCCCGAGCCCCAGTCCCAAAATGGAGTGAGAGAGCCCTGTGTTGGTCTCTGTAGTTTAAAGGATGTTTTCATTCTGCAAGACAGTGGTTAGTTGAAAATTGCGGAAAATAGGCAAAGGTATTCAATCAAAAAGACATTTTGCCAGATTTAGATAAAGATGCTTTGTAGACTAGTTTTCCATCTAACTTCATCTGCTCTGGGCTTTAAGATATAGAAATATTAACTAAGCTGATAAGAACAGTTACAACACTACGGCAAAAACTTTCATATGTTAATGTTAAAGATTCTTTGTTGAACTTGTAGATGTAAATGATTATCCAAAAATTGTGAGTGCATCAATCTTGTAGTATTATTGTCACCTTATTTTAATCAGAATGAAACTTGAAAAGAATTTTTAGAACAATATGTTTTTGAAACTTTGAAAATACTTGTCATTACCTGCCTTGTTCACAAAAGATGAAATGCATTAATTATGTCGCAGCATCCATAACTTGTTGGTCAAAATTTTAAAAAAAAAATGATAATGATATGACTGAGATGTCTTCAAATGTTTCCTTGCAATCCTGTGTTTGATGAGATGATTTATTGTAGGGTGAAGGAGAAACTGGGGAGTTGCTAAGCAACCACACGGGTGTGTCCAAAATGACTTTTACTGGCAGTGTTCCAACAGGTAGCAAGATCATGGAGGCATGTGCTAAGGTAATAGGGGTATACAGATGGATGACATGTTTCATATGAAGTTGACTCAAGACTTGAAAGTTTATGTCTATATGCTATACTTGATGTTTGATAGTTTTTATTTATCATTAATGTCTATAAGTATTTCTTTGTTGTTAGATTTGATTTTTTTATGTTTCTGTGTATTTTAAAATTGAAATTCCTTCCTGACTGCTGAAAAGAGTGTTTTTTTAATCAACTGAAATGATCTCCATTTAATTTTGACTTCATTTAAAATTGAAATAAGATATTATTCCCCCAAAGTAAAAAAATTGAAGTTGAAAGGTGTCACCAGGATCATTAACAAAACTTTCGTAAGAATTTTGTTAAGTTTTACTTGGTTTGATTTGATGTAATGATTCTTTGATCACTTCAAAAACTGCAGATTGAGGCCTTGTACATTTGTAGGAGTTTATAGTATCTTGATGTACAAGTAGTTGTCAGCAAGGGTTTGACTGTTCGCATTCTGAGCAACTATGTGTTTGTAGGTATATATAATGTCCTGTCGTGGATGTAAGAAACTCTGAATGATATGAACCATTTTTTCTCTGTGTTTAAAGTATTTTTCTGTATAACAGGGATCTGAAAAACTGTGACATTTATTTAAATTTTCAGCAAATCCATCATGTAACTTTAGAGCTTGGGGGGAAATCTCCCTGTATCATCTTTGAGGACAGTGATCTGGATAGTGCAGTGACTGGTGCCATGTTAGCCAACTTCCTCAACCAAGGACAGGTGAGTCTAGCCAGTGAGCAAATGTCCTTCTCAATCAAAGTTCGGTAAGTCTTTGCAATGACTAGATAATTTGTTCAACCAAGGCCAGGTAGATCTTAACACAGACCAGAAAACGTATTTAACAAAATATCCAACTGATATAGAACTAATAAAGTGTATACCATAGTAGATACCAAGATCACTATAGAATTCCTTGTTACCGTGGTAATTTCACTCCTATTTTATTGGTTTTTCCCTAGGTGTGCTCAAATGGAACAAGGGTGTTTGTACAAGAAAGTGTCATGAAACCCTTTTTGGAAAAGTTGGTGGAGCGAACCAAAGCAATGAAAATTGGTGATCCAAATGATGAAGACACCACTGTCGGTGCTACAATCAGTCCAGAACAGGCACACAAAACTCTACAGTACATAGACATTGGTAAAACAGAGGTATTTACATTCGTGCTGCATTGTCACTATGTGAACCTAGTAAATTCTGTTCCAGGTTGTGAATCTAGGGACCAAATGAAGTGCAAACTCATGGTATTATTGCTTTTTTAAGAGTACTTCTGTGATTCCTCTGCAGTATCAAAATGACAAAACAATTTTGATTCAGAATTTTGATATTATCGCTGTATTTCCATCTCATTATTTGAAAATTTTCAAATATATTTTGATGTACTCACCCTACACTCTCAAAATTTCTCTCCAATTACACAACAATTTTTTAATCTTAAATTCACGATGCATTATTTTATTATAAAGACAACGGAAAGAGACGGTTATTTTTGGCTATTCCACTGATGAACTTTCAAGGCAGATAATAAACTTAGTTTTAGATTTGTTATGCCTATGTAAAATTGGCTGTTGAGTTAACAAAAAGGTAAATATAAAGTATTAAACAATTAGCTATTTTAATTTACGTTACTGGGAATTGGTACAGGAATATAAATCCAAACAAATACTGTAAACACATATATTTTTAGAGGTAATTTTATTTTAGCGCTTGTTTACGCTGTAAGTATTGCACTAAATTATGATTGCTGTTATTACAGTTTCTGTATGCTGCTTATATAGAAATTATTTTGGAAACATGAATTCATTATTGTGCTAATGTGCCATTTACTGAAATTCTATGCCCTGAAATGTGGTTTCACAAAATTAAAGATGTTTGCAGTCGGTACCAAATGCTTGAAATCTATTACATTTGCCAGGGTAAGAGAATGACTGTTGTTGGGAGCTATAAGGTTCTATGTTTGTGTCGCAGGGAGCTCGCGTTCTGTATGGAGGTGAACGTGTGACACCTAGCCCTAGTCTAGCTGGTGGCCACTATATCCAGCCCTGTATACTAACTGGTTGCCAAGACAACATGCGAGTGGTCAGGGAGGAGGTATTTGGAAGCGTCATGTCTGTACTCAGCTTTTCAAGTGATGAAGAGGTCATTACTCGTGCCAACGATTCAGAATTTGGACTGGCAGGAGGAATCTTCACAAAGTATGATATTGTTGTAAAGATAACCAAGTTAACACCCTTTGATATTTATAAAGATGGTTATGCTTTTTAGATGTTCAAAATAATTTTATGTACCCAAATAAAAACTTGTTAAACATTATCTCACATCTGATGCAAGACCTCACTTATTTGTGTTTGGATCAAAAGATGGATGTTTTCAAATGTTGAAAACTAGAAACAGATTCAGAATTTGAATTAATTGATTGTGTAGACATAACGATGTTAACCAGCTGACGCCATTGAAGGGAGTTATTATCAGTGAGAGTATTATGGATTTAAACATCTTTGAATAGGGAGATTAACATACCCTGATACAAATTAATTTCATGCTACCTGGTATATAAATTTCATCTTTTGGTGTCAAAACTAGAATATCCCATTTTAAACATGTCAGGCTTTTGCCAATGAAGAACTGAACATATGTATTTGTATTGTCACTCTCTAACAATAAGACTTAGCCAGTGAAAATTTTGCCAAGCAATCTTACACAAAAAAGCGAAAATTAGACAGTATACAACATACACGTTATCTATTATGAGGTTAAGCCAATGCCATATCATTTCCTGATGTGGTTGTGACAAAAGGTTGTATTTACATAGTCTATTATGCTTCTGTGGTTCTTAAGTATCATCTTGACTATTTTTGGTTTCAGTAACTTACAGAGGGCTCACCGAGTGGCAAGCAGTCTGGAAGCGGGCTCTCTCTATATCAATAACTACAATGTGTATCCAGCCGGAGTTCCATTCGGCGGGTACAAGAAGTCAGGCATCGGACGCGAAAACGGACCAGAAGCGTTGGACTATTACACACAGATAAAATCTGTTTATGTAGAAATGGGGTCAGTTGAAGCACCCTTTTGAAGGACTATGTTAATAATGTGTAGCGTGTGACTAACATTCTGACAGGTGATATCAAGGTTATATCCAAAGGAAAGCTACCTTATCAATCCAGAGCCAGGATGTATGTAGGAGGGAACCAACCCCATGTAATCTAGTCCTGGACTAGACAGTGACAGATATGTGAAAGGAGAATTGTAATTCAAATGAGTACAAGACATCTGATAGAGAAAAATTAATTCATGAATATTTTTTTTTAATTTGATAAAATTGTTTGTGAATTTAAAATTAACTATTTAACCAGAAATAAGGATACATTATTAAACAGGCATTCCACATCCCACAGGGGGAGGACCTAATGTATGAGACATGGCTAAAGTAGACAGAACATCCAGTTGTTAAATTTTCATTTTATAAATCGGTTTTATTTTCTACATTTTCAAATGGAAAATGATAAGAATGGTAAGGGAATACAAAACAAAATAGATCAATCACCTTATGGTTTGGAGAAACTGAAAATAAGACTATAAAATGTTGTAGAGATTGACAGCATGTTTGATCTGTAGGGAAAGGAATTTGGGTGATCGGGTAAAAAGGGCACAGAGAAAATTTCAACAAAGGTGTGAAAATTATTTATGAATAATACAGGTTAACACTTCATTGTGTTTCACAAACAGCATTTAGAAAACAGGGTTATACGTGTTCTGGTGAATGAGTTTTGTCCACTTTGCCACTACAGGTGTTTGTGAACTCCTGAGATATGTATCCAAGCTGCTCAAATATATAGGTTGATAGTAAAAAGTAACTTGATATGTATGTTAATGTCTTTGAGAAAATAGTAAACATTTATACATTCCAAACGGTTTTAAGATGTTGTTGAGCAAATGTTTGAACAAATAGGAATTTTTTCATATTTATGTGTTTATTGTCTTTAAGAAGTAACACGGAGGGAATTGAAATCCAAAACACTTTGATAATCTCTGACATTACTTCTAATTGACGGGGATTAAATCCCTGAACAACTGACAATCACTCCTGTAATATCAGTTGGATTTGGATCGTCTCCCAGTCGGTTCCTGCTCGATAAAATGCTGAGCTGAACTTCCTTGGCTGATGTCTCAGTTTACTGTTGTCTCATATACATGTAGTATTTAGCATTGGAGTGTTGTTTGTTTACATCATGGTAATGTTGTTTTGACTTCACTGTTTGAGGTTGTTTGTGTTCTAATATTGTATGACTGCCAAGTGATGTATTTATTTACATGAAGCAATTTGATTGATATTGTGAGATCAAGAAATACATTGAGAAATATTTTATTTTTAAATACATGTATTGCCATCATTAACAAATAAATTTTTTTGTAAATAATCTTCTAATATTTTTTTTTTTTTTTGTTGTCACACGAGATGGCCCAAAGGACCAACGTGAGCTATAGGAAAACCAAGCTACCTGGGAAATCAGGGCCGAGTTTCAATGGGGGAAAATCAATCGATTACTTTAAATTCTACCTTGATCTTTAGGGTAGGGAACAAGTGTTGTAAATACTCTCCCTTTAGTTTAGATGAGTCAATTTCAGCAAGCTTAACCAGGTGAGCAATACGGGCCCTTTGGGCTCTTGTTTTATTTTTATTACATGTGTCATAATATTGCAGGACCTACTTCTAACTAATCCAACCATGAAACAGATGATATAAGGGTGGGAAAGATTGTTGACTACAGCAGTTCATCATAAGAAACAAATGTTGCAAAATATATATAGAGACCAACATTACTTAAATATATATCCATAACCTAGAGGATTAATTGTGGAAAATTCATCAGTAAACTTGATGAAATATTACACTGGTGATCTTCAAAAAGTGCCTCCCATTATCTCTTACCGGTAGATCAAATGTCAACAACAGTGGTCACCATATCATAAGAAAGGGTGCGGCTGATATGTGGATGAAATAATGAAAAATCGCTCAAAACCGGTCCTGCGGCTTATACTTAGGTGCGGTTTATAGGCAGAAATATATGGTACACACTTTCAAACATCTTTGAAATTATCTCTTCAATTTCTGCCGGAATCTTCATTGTGTTTCTTCTTAGGTATTTTAACAACCTTTGCTGATATAAATTGTAAAATATACTGTTATATTGTCATTCTAAGATGTCAACAGGCCTGAATGGTCAACTGAATATGAGTGCTGCAAAGAAAATAGAGTATTTTCAGACAAGGCACAATAGATGTTTTTGTTCCTGTATTTATTGGAATATAAGCCTACCTGTATCTATTGCTGTTCAGTATAATGACAAACAAATGATATTTTATTGTCCTGCAATATGCTGATCTCCTGATTTGTATCTTGGCAATATTCTTCTATTTTGTTCGAGTACAAATTGGTGCAATTTAAAATGAAATATTGTCAGAGGAGACAATGATATACCTGTATATCAGTCATCTGTAATGTAGTTGTTGAAAATGTATAAACGAGGTCCTTTCTTCATTCATTAGAAATTTAAACAGTGAAGATTCGAGAAATACAAATGTAGTTACTCACGGGCAGTAATCAATTTATCAGGACCAACATGGATTTGTTTTTCTCATTACCAGTTACTGCCTGTAAAGTTTTAATGTAATGTGATGTGGTTGTGATCTTTACTGTTTCAATGTCCAAACTTTTGAAAAAAAAATCAAGAAAATACCAACATAGCAACATAATCATAATTCAACTAAAAGTACATAAAACTAGGGCAAAATATGAACTAAAGAAAAATTTACACTGAGATTCCTAAAAAAAAAATACAAGGAGAAAAAGACCAGGTGTTCAGGAAGAGTAAGCATATTCTGCTTTATCGACGACACCCGCCATTTAAACCTTGGTCAATCCAAGTAAGTAATGTCACAATGAGAACTAGGTAACATAACTCAAAAGAGGAAGTTTGACCTTCGGCCTATTCCTTAAAAGGACATAATTATATAGCTGTGTTCATCACTTTAGGCACAGCAAGCAGGGGTATTTGTATATATTAAAATAAATATTCCATGTCATGGTTCCTTGTTATTCTTCATAACTTTTTCTTTTCATGTTCAACAAGCAGGTATACAGAGTGTTTTAGCGTAGAAATAGCTGTTTTACTTCGGTAAGTAACTGCATTTGTTGTGTGTTCCAATTAGCAACATAGATACCTGGTTACAACAATTTGTTATATACAGTTGTACATCCATATTATGACTTCACTTACTTGAAATATCAAAGCTGACTCAACTGTAGAATTCAAGCAAAAGATTTTTGTAATTTTGCACCTGTCATATAGTCAGTTGACTTTTAATCTCTGGTCGTAGTCCCATTCTGAAACCTGAAGACTGATTTAAACAATTTATCCAATATCTGTGCCATTTGTACAGTCCTTCAAAAAGAAGGCACAGCTGGTGGACTATTTCAAGCCCAGAGGTTTGCTGTAACCAGCATGTCCTATTTCAATTCAATCAAATAGTGGCATGGTTCAGAATATACACATGTACTTAACTTCCTAGTGAAATTATGACATACATGAAAATTACAAAATTTATCAAATTATGTGGTGAATGAACCTCCCCATCAAACTTTCAACCTTTCTTTTGTTCAATTTTGATTTTCAGTAGTCACCACATAGATTTCAAAATTTAGGCTCAGCATCACTGCCGAGTCCTAAAAGGACAAAACAGTTGTTTAATGCAGTTTAAGTCATAATTTGTCTCTAGTGTATACCATTCCTTTGTACTGAAAGGCGCTCGTCACTTCTGTGTCTGTCAAATTTCAACCATTTTTACTCTAGGGTCAATGTTATGTCTCAGATTACTTGTGGTCAATTTCTACTGCATATTAATTCAGAGAGTGTGTAGTAATATGCAAAACATGAAGTATGTGTTAACAAAGTAACAGATTGATATTAAGAATTCAAAACATGATTCTTAGAAACTGCTTTATTTCTCGCTTGCATAGCACCTCAAACTGAAGTTACAAAGTGATCAAAACTTCAATCTAGATTATTGTCCACTACAATATATGATCACCCTTTACTTTCTCTATTCATTTTGACTTTTAGAACTTTCAATAATGGCCAATTTTATCAAAATTGATAAATTACAAATTTTCTATATATTCATCAAGTTAGACTTGTGTATAGCACTATACCAATATACCGCTACCAGAATCTAACGATTCTCTACATATTTAATCACAGTTTGGTGTTATATTATCAAAAATACTTTTCTTAAATTAAGGAATTTAAAGCACTTATTTGCTACTTGACGTAACTAACCTGCCAGCAAAATTATTCTGAAAAATTGAAAACTGTGAATCAGTACTTTCTGATGTAAATAAGAAAACAGCACAGCTGCAGACAACAATAGAGAGGTGAGCAACCAACACCCCATCTTACATAATATTTACATAAGGTTAATGAAGCAGTTGAGTTGAGGTTTCTTCACAAACAAAATGTCATGACACAAATTTTTAACCACTTGATATTTGGTGATGATTAAGACCATAAAGCATATCAAAAAGTAATTAATAATTACCAGAAATGGTAACAACTCATTGGCTTCAAACTCATTTTCCAGGAAAGAAATTTCACATAAATCTTTTTTTTTATGCTTCTTTCATTGTTTCCTTGGAATGAAACAAAAATACTATCAAGGATAAAGAAACCATAATGGAAAAAAAAACAGAAGGAAACATTTCCAATGTTTTCCTTTATAAATATCACCTAATGCTGTTCACATCCTCAATGTCTTCCTGTATCACTAACAACCAGCAGTCATAACAGGCCAATCATCGCGACAATTCCTGACCCTCATCAAAATCCAAGTCAACTTTTGACCACCAATTGCAAATTATAAAACACAAATATTAAAGGGCACTTAGAAATGCACACACACTAACACCCCAGAAACGGACATGTTTTAACATTCATATTACGTACACACCGAACTGTCAAAATCTAAGTAACACACACACACACAGACAGACACAGTGTGAGAAATGAGTACCTTTCTCTCAGCATTCAAGTTACGTACCAAGAAAACAGCAGAATATACAAACAATCACTTTCAAATTCAAAGGAGAAATAAACGTCTTTCTCCATACACACAACAATTCAAATTATCATGGGATTTAATAACCGTGGACTATCACTATAGTAGATCAAAACCAAACACAAAATTTCTTGTATATATCTTACCCTAAATATCCTTTCCAATAAAGTTTTAAGTATTCAAAAGAAAGTCAGAACAAATGCAACGTTTCGAATTAAAAGTCTCCCCACACCTAAAGCAATATAGTCTATATCCTATAGAAACATGTTATATTACGACTTTAATAATATTTCTTAAAGTGACTTGTTTCAAGCTTCTTCAAATATCACTGCGTTGTTATGATAGTATATTGAAACACGTCAACTGCCAATAAATCCAGTTGAGATCGTCTGACAGATGTCTGTTCTGCTTACTTTGATAATTATTCAGACTCTGTATTTCATCAGGAATCCATCTTCAGAAGAATGCCGACCTTCATTAAATCCAGGACACTCTGATGTTGGATCTCATTTTCGTTGTATTGTTCAGTATTAATAAGTAAGACACATTGAAAGTGAGGTTGATGGAGAAATGTATGGAGTCCATTTTCTTCACATGTCCTCATAATAAATCTATTTTTTCAGTAAATCAAAATTACCATCTGGAAGAGATTTGGTAAAAATGTTGCTGTTTTTTCACATTCCCCTGAATTAAAACTTTGTTTATAAACATATTAAAGCTCCTCCTTCAATTCTTTTCCAAATGAAACTGTTGCTTTTTCTTTGATGAACTTTTCAAAGTCATCAACCTCACGTTGACGGTCATACTGTACAGGATTTTCCTTATTGTTAGCAGGAGCCCAGTAGATGGTGGGGAACCCCCCAACACGGTAAGCTTCTGGTGCTTCATTTGCTGTGGCATCCATCTTAGCAATTACAAGGTTTTTCTCCTTTTTGAAACGTTTGGCAAGCTCTGCATATTTTGGTTCAAGTGATTTACAGTGGCCACACCAAGGGGCATATAGCTCGATAAGGACATCCTTTGTAGGGTCCATAACAATGTCTTTAAAGGAGTTCCCTACCACGGTCACGACTGGGCCTGTCTGTTTCTTGGGCACTTTCTGTGATTTTATAATCTGAGGCAATTTCCCTGAAAATAAATAACATACTTTTATTTCCACATTTCCATGTTAGAGTTGGGCTTTATTTTGAATATCAGCATGACCAGTTACAACAGAAATGTTCATTTATAAAATAAAGATGACCTGCTGATTGCATTGTGTTTCTGACAAGTTACAAACAACAAGGTCTGTATTAATATCTGTTGATCTGTACTAATTTCTGAAATATTGTATCTTAAGTGAAGACAAATTGATTTCTCTGTATAAACAAATTATCAAGCCCATAATTGTTATCATTTTATATTTAGCCTGAAATCAACGATTCAAAGTGACCATGTTTCTTTTTCTTAGGGTGGCAGGGGGTTGGTTGTGAAATTTACATTTATTTAAGGAAGATTTTAAACTTAGAATATGAAGCTTGCACCACAAGAAGTTAGATATGTCAATTTGATACATTTTTACATGTCATGAAATACCAGAAATTTCATATTAGGTAAAAGTATACATTATTTTCTGTTCGGCTGTGGGTGGAGCGATGGTGGAGCTGCATAAATCATGTTAAATCATTAACGCATCTGCTGAATATAGGAAATAAAATTTCAGGTAATTTTTACCAGGAAATAAATGAAAGGAGTTGTATAACCCTTACAAAATGGGGCTATCTTGTCAAACATAACATCAAAATGCCACGACAACTGTTTTCCTTTTTTAGTAATGAAATAAATAGAAACTAAGTGTTTCTTAATTAAAGTTGTAAGACAGAGCATACAGGTACTTGTGATGTTGCATAAACAAATTTTTGTCAGTTCTACCAAAATAGGAAAGGTCATTCACAGCTGTTTATCATCAGTCAGAGTTAGATCATATGTCAGTGGTTTGACTTGTCATATCAACAGGTCAGGAGTCAGTCTTATCCTTAAGTCAGCAGTCAGTCATAATCTTGAATTAGTGGTCAGTCTTTCCAAAAATAAGTGGTTGGTCAGACTTAAGCCATGGATCTGTCACATTCATCAGTCAGTGAGAAGTTATACCTGAAAGCTAGAGCTGCTACTCACCTTTGCGAAACTTTTTGAGAAAATCTTCCACGTCATCATCATCCCACTCCTCCATGTCGTCGAGCTTGTATCGACGATTCTTGCTGTCATAGCAACCGATGTTCAGTTCCTCTCCAGACTCTTCAAGGCGGAATTCAGATATGAGTCGCTTGTTATCATCTTCATCTGCTATAGCAAAGAGGATGTCTTTGTTGGCTGCAGCCACACTTGCCACACGTTTCCGCCACAGTTCGGTAGCTATGGAAATACAGATCAAATAAACTATTAAACGGTTTTAAAATAAGCAAGCATGTTTTCTGGAAAGGTACTGTCGGAGTATAGTGCAATAATTTGTTTTAGTTATCAACGAAATATTAATAAATAGATAGTGAATAGGATAAAGTCAATCACCTGTACCTCATCTATTATACAAGGCATTGGAAAAACACACTGGGTGAAAATGTTCAAATGGATTGATAAGTTTTTTTATATCATTTGATCACTGACTTCAACTACCAGGCCAAAATATTTATATGGACAATTTTGGTTAAAAACTTATCAATTGTTTTTCTACAAACATCACTTTGCATTTTAAGGTAAATCTTAAACTTTCATTAAAGGTTCAAATTACTTTATTAAAACACATCTGGTATTGATTAAAGGTTTAAGGATAATGATAATCCGTATTTCAAAAATTCTAAGCCATGGAAGTCATACACTATAGAAAGCTTTCGCCAAAAGTTACCCTTTAATTTGATTTTGTGAACCACGTACAGATTCAAAAACGTTTTTGAATCTGTGATTATGAAAGCAGATTAAGTTTGCTTAACTTGACTTCTGAGCCAGCAAGCACAAGTGTGATGTTTTAGGAATAAAGTTGCTTAAAGATTTGAACACACTTCACCATAATGATTGTAAGCACTGGTTTCCATCAAGATAGTTCAACATAACCATCAAATGAAAACTAACTTCATCCCAGTATCTGGAAATTCATTTCAGATTCTGTATGTCAAACAACTAAGATATTTCTGCCAAATTTGATGTGAAAAGCATTTCAGACCAGTATAATATCCAAATTGTGATTATGTCACTCTATGTTTTTTTTTTTTTTTTTGAAAACTATACTTTACATGTAACAAGCATGAATACTGTACACAAAGGCATATTTACCGTCTCTGTGATCAAAGCTCCAGTCCACAGCATAGAACACCAGACACAAAGGGCGTCTATTTTTGTAGTGTTTCTCCTGTTCACTGGTATATTGTCCAACCAGTGGATGTTTGTGATCCTGAATAAATTTTTGTACATCCTCTGGAGTTGCGTCATCTTCCTGTAAAAAAGTCCAACATCAATAGAAATTGATAAACCATATGTGTTTGACATGAACTTTTAATCTACCAAGAACAAGCAAGTTCTCTTACTATCAATTCTCAAAATCAATATTATCTATTTTTGGTTTTACAAGCAAAATTTGCATTCCTTCCACACCATTTTCAATATCAGAACAGCACACAGGTAGAACATATCTGTAAGAAAAGACGGCTTCCTTTTAATACTAACCATTTTGAAAATGTGCCATTTCGGTTCGTACTTGGTGTAAAATCTCGCTGGGATGAAGACCACCACAGATTTAGGGTTAACCTTGTACTCCTCACGAACATCCTTGGAAACAGAATGTCCAAAGGTGAAATCCTCTCGCAGGTCATTAGCTTTAAAGAGAATCACACATCAGCGTCCCGAACAATTAAAAGACAGTCAAACCTGTCTATAAAGGCCACTTTGGGAGAAGAAAAATATGACTTTTATGATAAAGAGGTTAAATCACTAGTTCTTATATTTGGACTCAAAACCAGTGCACTGTATAGACAAGCACTTATATTTGTTCACAATAAATATGATATTTAAGGCAAGTTTGAAAGTAAGTGATGTGTTAAAAACTTACATCAACCATTGAGAATTACATGCATGATTTTAATCTAGTACAAGTGAATTTTATAATCTAACTCAAATAAACTCAAGCAAGAAAAGTATACATACAAATAGCATGATATCTATTCCACTGCCTGATGAGACTGCATTTAATACATACCTGCATCCATGTAGACACGAAGAAGTGGGTCATTGATGTTATCGAAGAAGCCCATGATAGTGATCTGGTCTTTAAGCATGTAGTGTCTCACTTCCTTTGTTGTGTGTTTCAGTTTCGAAGCCTCACCTTGCTGCTTAATCATGTAATTAATGATACCTGTCGAGGACAACATACAGAGATGATGTTTTAAATATTCTGCCATTTTTATCTAAATGTTCGATTCAATCTTAATTTAACACACTAAATCCCATTTCTTCAACTTAGTTTAAATGGGTTCAGCTAACAAGACTTAGAAGTACTGTACAAAAAAACTCCCATGTGTCAAACACTTTTGAATCGCATACACTTGATAAGTCAAATGTTTTGTTTCGGTCCCAATATTTTCTCTTCTTTATCTGAGTAAATTAAACACTGATGATTTGAACATTGTTGAGTCAAATACTGTGTAAATTACCTGACACATCCCTTTCCCCGTTGTAATCAGAGTCACGGCCTTTTCTGAACATCTTCATTGTTGGATAGCCTGTTACACCGAACCTTGTCGCCAGCTCTGTTTCTACTGTAGCATCTACCTTTCCTAGAGGTATTGGTTCATCTATGGCTGCCAGCCGCTTGGCTGCTTTCTCATATTCTGGGGCCAACTTTTTGCAATGTCCACACCTATGAATCAGTTAAAACAAAATCCTATATGATATACCCAGTAACGTACAATAAAAAACAACAGAATACTGTGATGATGTGTTGATATAAGTCCATCAAACAAAGGCAAAATATGAACAAAGCACATCCTCTAGATGCGACACTTAAAAAAATAATCCACAAGAAGAAGAAGGTAAAGTATAATACATGCCCTCTTCATCATCACCAGTTTTATATTAAAATGACATGTTCTAAAAGTGAGAACCAAGGTAATGAAAAAATAACCATTAAACACAAATGAACTTCAACACATTAATCCTCATATATTAAAGGAAATTTTCCAAAGATATAAATAATTCTTTCCCTCACAAGAAGAAGAACACCTATGAAGGATGGGGGGATAATGTGATCCCTTACCATGGAGCATAGAATTCCAGTAATACAAGGTCAGCACTGTCAATAAAGTCCTGGAATGTATCCGTGGTTACCGTCACTACAACATCTGCTGGTGGCTTCCAGTCTGGCGATGCTCTCTCTTCCATGTAATTCACGATACCTATAATAGCACACAGAGTATGTTACATCTGTTGACATAGTTTCCCCAGTCACACAAATGTTGTACAAATTCTCTTTCAGTGGTTTTGTTTTCAATTAAGGGCTGAAAATCTACCCAGTATTAAGATAAAGAAAATTCATTTCAAACTTTAGATTTTGTTTCTGGTGAAATTGTTGTACAAAAGACACACAAGTCAAGAGCACTTTTTAATACAACTCTTGAATTAAATACAGTAGAAACAAATAGCACACAAGATCGCTTTAAACATGTACAACTCTTTCATCCTTCCAAGACTCATTCATGACACTAAGGGCCTAAATTTTAAAACCTAGGAGGCTACTGTGGAAAAACTCCAAAAATGGCAAAAGTTTAGGTTGTAGAGGTGCACTTGACCAATATTTCAATAAATTTCATAATTTTCATGAATTAAAAGAAAATCAAATTCAGGAAATTAACAGAATAAAAGATTTTTATTTCCACACATTATTGAAACACTTACCCTGAGTCTCACGTGGTCCCTCATAATCACTGACAACTCCTCCTTTAAAGAACTTGAGAGTTGGGTATCCAGAAATCTCAAATCTACCAAGTTAAAACATAACATTCTTACATTGGCTGTCTGTATGTATATACAAAATAAAACAACATCACACCTGTAATGAATGGGAAAATTAATAAGGCTGACAATCCCCTTTTCACCACTTACGACCCTGTCTGGTGTTGAATTTTTTAATGTAATTTAAAGGCAAATATATCCAAGTTGTTTCCAAAAAATGAAAAAATAAAAAATATGACCGCAAGACTACTAAAGTTTTGATAAGGGATATATCATAGATATAGGCACAACAGAAGAAATAAATTTTAAATGTTTTATACCTTTCTCCGAGCTCAGATTCCTGTGTGGCGTCAACCTTGGCCAGAAGGACTGGTGGCTCATTTTTTATCAACTGTTTGGCAGCCGCAGCATATTCTGGTGCTAATTGTTTACAATGGCCACACCTAAAATAGACATGCTTATTACTTGCATTCTAAAAATTGATGTAAATTTTCAAATTACTCAAAAAAAAAAAACTGCAAACGATAAACCTGACAATTTTTATCAGCTTCACAAAGTGAATTCACTGTCAGAATCTTCATTTAATAAGTTATAATAATTTTCAGTGAGCAATATTGAAAAATGGACAAACAACAGCATCTTTGATCACAATTTTTTCTAGAAAATAACAAAAAAGATTTCCTCCAGAGTTATTACAGATTATACTTGTTAGTCCATTATTATTGGGTATATAAAATATCAGCAAATGTGAATGATACAGTCCCCTCCTTTCACAGTCAGTGTGTCATATACAAAAAAATAATATGAACCAGGGTACATGTAGTTCACCGACATATACCAACTCAGATCTATTCAAGAACAAATGATTAGGAGTAATTTTCATTTCTGAATGTTTGTCTCTAAACCTACCAAACATTCAAATGTATCAAAATATTTCAGATTAGTAATAAAAAAGTTAATTATAATATTCAAATTCAATTGTACAGTGTATTGAGATCTAACTTGACTGTATCGTATCATCTGGCTGCTTTAACACCGAGCTAATAATGTACTGATTTTGGCATAATCAAATTTTAGCAAATTATCACTCTTTGGCAAATTAGCACCAAGATGAATTTGCTAATCTACAACTCTTGCTACGTAAACTTACAGAAAATGCAATAACTTTAGCATAAAAAGCACTGAAAAATTATTACCACTAAAATATATATTAACAGTATTAAATATTTTTCAAAAATAAAATGTCCTTGTCATCATTTATGTGAAGTTTAATTCATTTTTCTTATTTCACCCCTTCAACATAACCAGACATAAATCATGGTGAATTGAAAAAATAAATAACAGAATGAAATTTTGTTGAGTGCTAGATTACTGTACATGTGTTTGTGCTATAGATATTTACCAGGGAGCATAAAATTCCACCAAAACATTCTCATTGGCTGCTATAGTATCATCAAAGTTGTCGTTTGTCAGCACCATAACACCATCTCCTTCCTCTGTGAATTGAAAATGTAAAGACATTCAAAATTTTTCTAGGTGAAAATGCCTGTCGACTTTCCCCGATTCAGTCGGGAGTTTCCCAATTTTCACTCCCTATCCCGCCTCCCAACAACATGGATCAAAATTGGGGTAATCTCCCAATTTCAGAGATCTGTTAAGTAGGCCATCAGTAACCTTGCTATATTTGTCATATTGGTAAGGCTGACCACCTGGCCACAAAATCAATGTTTGACTTGGTGAGTATACTACCCAATTATCTATTTAGTGTATAATAAATTTATACCAAATATTTAGTAGGTTCAAACTTGTATTCAACAATTTATTTTTCAATATTATGTAGGCTTATATATGAAAACATTGTTTATGAGGTAGGAGAATAATAGATACCTAAATCAGAATTATAATGGTATATATTGCTTCTTTGGCTGTTGATAGATCAATGGATAATTATACAACTGGGACACACTGCAATAACTTAGAATAAGAATATATGTATGTATAAAATAGGTAGGAGCATATATATATATATACAATGTATATATAATCATTTGCTCTGTTCCATTTATATATATTCTTCTTGTATCATGTCTCTGTGATCACAATAAAGAATGTGGAGACCCAAACTTAATTTTTGGTGGAAAGCTCCACAAAAAAACCCCTAATTTATCTTGTTCTTTCACAATCACACTAAATGATATCCCATGTGTCAAATTAAGATAATTAGAATATCTTTCCAAGGACATCAGAAAATATTCATTTACACAGAGAGTAGTGAATAACTGGAATTCATTGCCAGAAAAAGTGGTCAGATTGCAAACCCTAAATACATCTGAAAATCAATAGGACAAGTTCTGGGAATCAGAAGAGAGAATGTTCAGGGTAGTGGACAGCCAACGGAACATTACATCAACTAGGAGTGGCTACATGAATAATTTAGCAAGACAAAATTTGGCCTAATAAATGCCTACATTCAGAATAGTCTTCAAATTCATGATAAAAAAGTCTTCAAATTCATAATAATAATAATAATAATAATAATAAGTTGTCATTATATAGAAATGTGCATTGAAAGTAATCTGATATCAGATATATCAGATCGAAATTTCCACTGACATGTAATATCTGCTTTGACATTAGTCAATATATATATATATATATATTCCTCAGACTGTGGAGGTAGAAATCAATGAGGCTGCATTAAATCTCCGTATTATTGACCTTAAAGTGATGATTTGACATTACCCGATGTCTACACGAGCGAGACCCGTTTCAGGTTTTTTATCGGTCAATGTACTATGGCAAGCTGATGTTACATTTTTAATCGGAGTTATGACGAATAAACATTTAAAACATCTTATTACAATGCCTGGCAATCACAGGCATCTGTAATGAGAAAAACAAACAGAACACATATAATGACAAATGTCACTCTATATTGTATGTGTTATCTAGATCCACTATCGTTAATCCCTTTAGAGATTCCTCCTCGGGACTTATATCCAACGTTTGACAATGTCCCTCATCGGACGGAAATTTTCAAACGTCCAACATAAATGAGTCCCAAGGAGGAATCGCAAAAGGGATTATGCTATCGTAAGCTCGGGTGTGTATGTGTCAGGCCGGTAAATCAAAGCGGAGGAGGAGGGTTGTGAATCAAGATATTTGTCACAGTACAGATAATTTTTCAATAAAATACCTTCGCCCTCATCTTCCTCTTCGTCGTCATCATCAGCTCTTGCTACAAATAACAATGATGCAACGAGCAGCAGAATAAGATATCTTTTGACTTCCATCTTTAGCCTCCAGTAGCCCTAGCACACGATTTTAGTAAACATGGACCGAACAACTTTGCCGACTGAAAACCGGAACTTTATTCGCCATAAGTAGTGCTCATTTCCGTTTCTTGAACGTGTTGGTAACACGTATTTTTCGGATGATAATTTTTAGAATGTATATATTTATAATACTTAATCAATCAATTCTATAATACATTGACAAGCTGAACCAAATATGTCATTTTTCTTGACAGTCTTGCGTATGAATACCAGTTGGCGATCTGTAGCCAATCAGAACGTGACAAGTTTTGAAGCTCCCGCAAAAATACTTGGACACGTTGAAAAAGATTGCTAAATGCCCCGCCCCTTCCCTTGAAACACGTTGGAAGTTTGAAAAAAAAAACAGAGAGAGAGAGAGAGAGGGAAAAGACAATATTTCACAAATAAACAATCCTTTCAAATTTTTAAGCGTCTGGAAACTATTTTTCGGTTTCCAGGCAAGTGGTTGATAAATGAATGAGAAACGGCAGAGCAGTTGGTAAATAAATCATCCTTGCCTGGAATTAAAATTGTAAAACACTGTTTACAGGACATAGTTGGAGTCTTAGAGAAACATGCTACCTTAAACTTCGAAAAAATATCCACGGACTTTCTACCAGATTCTCTAGACACTCTCAACAAATATACTCCGTTCACAAGCAATAAATGATAAGGTTTAAACCTAACCGCACAGGCTTGTTAAATACCCTTTTGCCAATCCAACCATTGTCTAGTTTGAAACATGACTGACAAGATGATATTGCTTGTCGTTGTTTCAAGAAGTAAAATGTATGTGACATTGTATGATTCAACCTTACGATATAGATATTTTTTTATTTATTGTAATCGAGTCTCTCAGTTCCTGTTTGGTTTAAACACACCGCCATGATATCTATTTAGCAATATTATTGGGCACAATATATCGATAAATTTATATGTTTGGTTACGAGAAACATTTAAATGTAAGCAAAAGATGCAACATGAAAGTGAATGATGAGATTTATTTATTTATTTATTAGTAACAAAATATTTTGATAAACGATAAAACTGTGGATATTTCTATTGTAGATGTTCCGTATTTATGTCTACAGCGGATTTTTATTTTCAGAAAGTCAATAAGGCCATAGCTAATTAGCAATGTACTGGCATTATCATTATTAAGAAAGGCGACGATCAAAGAAAATATTCCGCTGTGTCATTGTGATACGTGCACGAAGTAAGCCATCTAAATACTTTAACAGCGTCGGTGTTTTTAACTTCTTGTATTCATAATGTTCATTTTGCTGCCCCAAAATATATACTTGATCGAAAGTTTTGACTGGTCTAAAGTATTGATATAGTTTTGATTGCAAAACCGATGATGATCTGCCGAGACCTCGGGATTCCTCAAGGAAATGTTCTAGTTCCACTTTTGTTTATAATTGAAATATCAAACATGATGCGAATAGGGAAATAGCATTGTAACAAGATTTCAATAATTAACTGGCCAGGCCCAAAATTACTTTTAAAAATTAATTCCCTGTGACGTTCGATAGCACCATCACCTTCATTAGACAAATGTCCAATGGGAAACGTACTACCACTCACGTATGCATGCAGTAAACGAGGTGTCCGTCTGTCCGTCCACCATTGCATACCGCTTATTATCTCAAAAACTACATCACCGGTCATCACCATTTTCACTGGGGAAGTTAGGACTCTGGACCTACACAACCCTATTGTTTTTCGTCGTCGCCCGATATCCAATATGGCAGTCCTGATTTACTTACGTTTAAGTCACGATTAAGAAATGTTTTATGTCGGTTTATAAGGAGATGTACTCCAGAAAAATGTAAAAAAAAAAAAAAAAACCCAGTTAATCTCCAGTCCACCAGCAACAGAGAAATGTCGATAAGTGTCCTCTGTGACTACTACCACAATTTTCCAACCATGTCTGATAAAAAAAATTAGCTGTTTTTTAATGTGACCCACTGTTTTCCCTTCTTTCACAACTCTGATTGCAAACGGATTACATCCTCAATTAGACCATTCACACACGTGACTTCGTGACGTCATAGTGAAAGGTCTTATAACTGTATCAAGGCACTGCCCTATGAATTGTTTCCAACACTCTCTATAAACATGATATCCCCTGACCACAGACGAATATTCATACACAAGACATTTTTTTTCACACATTCCTAAACCACATGGTGGATGACATTTACCTTGTGTACATTGGTGTCGCGCGCTCAGCCAGAGTAACGACGACTGAATAGACATAGTCCATTAGGTGCCTACTTAACAGGTAAGATAGCCATTTATACAGCAGATAAAGAAATGATATTTTCATGTGTGATAGATTATCTGACAGAAACAAATGAAGCAGTTAGATATCAAAGGACAGATAAAATAGTTGTGCTTAACCAATATAAATGGAATTTTATATCTTTATCATAAACAAATTCCCTTTCGTGTCATCATGTTAAGATGATCTGAAACAATTTATCGATAAATACATAATGACAGAGTGCAAATTGTTACATAAAGTTTGACACTGAAATTATGGCAACCACAGACACATCACAATCTCACAAAGGAGGCCGAATCAAGTCGTATGGAATTTCATTCAAGTTAAAAGTTGTGGAGTTTGCCAAGGAATGGGGAAACAGCAAAGCATCAAAGCAGTACAGTATAGATAGGAAGCGAATTCGCGATTGGAGACAAAAAGAGAGTGAATTGAAAACCTCTTAACAAAACACCTCAAAAAGGAGACGTAAAGTTCCTGGTGGAGGCAGATTTTTTAGCACTGAATGTGTTCCTTTTACATCTAAGATGGTCTCTAATAAGCTCCCCCCTTAATTGCAATTTTTAAGCGCCCTGGGCGCTTATTGGATCGAATACGGTATTACCATGTTTGATTGCTTTAGTGAAATTTTCTGCATTGTAAATAAACATTGTATTTTCTCATGGATACTGTATTTGTAGATCTGGGAGGGAAAAAGGATAAAATCTGAAGTTATCATTTTCTATTGATCTACATTACATTTACACCTTGTTATTTACTTTGATTTGTCGGGAGTCGGTGGTGTACGCACTTCTTCGGCCATCTGTCTTGATTTACGAGACATAGACGGAGTTCCTTGGTTTAGAAACTTGTCGAGAGTGGTCATGGTGCTGGTTTTAGTGCCTCTCTTAGTGTCTTTTGTGAATCTTGTGTTTCTTTTTCTTAGAAGACTGTTCACTGCCAGATGGTGAACAAGACATTCTTTTTGTCTTAACAAGATGTTCTTTTTGTTCAGCAACTAATGTGATGGGTTCAGTTTCTGTTTCATGGTCAGTGATCATGGCATTCTCATCATCATCAAATGTGTTTACAAACAAAAAGCCAAAATTACCATATTGATCTGGACCCAATCTCAGATCTATTCAACATGGTAGCGTGTAGACTGTCACAATATATATAGGGCTGAACCCGATAAATAAATAGATAATTAACTATTAAAGTCTTTATCAGGATTTTCTGTTCATCTGCGTTCAGGACTAAGTGATGTTCCTCTCCGTAGCTTCCAAGTACTCCAGTTCAATTGGTATATTTGTTGATAATCTGTTATCCCTTTTAATCCAAACTGATCATGACATTACTTGGACCTGGACTTGACCTTTTGTTGTCATCCAATTCAGTATAATCAGATAACTAAGTAATCACTTATGAAGAATGTTCCAATAGCATCAGACTATCCTATGGTTATTTGAACAAGTCATGTTTCTAGATGTAGCTGTTGTACAGAAAACCAGAAGATTGTGATAAAGTTCAATATTTAATTAGGCAATGAATCTCATTTGTGAAGAAAAATAAGTTACATTAATAATTCTATCAGACTCAAACAACCTTTCACACTTAGTAGTTAATTTCTACAACTTCATACTCGAGTAAGATGGACAATATTATTACTATTATATTAGTTTTCCTGGCATAAAATTAACACACTAATCAGAAGGCCTAAAGCTTACATTAAAATAGACAAAATCTTAACATACGCAAGTTAGGAAAATACACATCCATTCTAGGTCTGGTCTCTACACACTTCCAAAACATTTACATCCTTAGATAAAGTAAGGAAAAACTAACATTCATATATTCCAGACTTCTATTCCTTCTCACAAAAATGCACTTTCAGCACAAACGCACATTTACTAAGTTAAATTCAAATATTTGATCATCATACTAAACTCTCAATATATCTTTCTCACTACTAAGCCTAGTACAAAATAGATCAACATACTCCTGTTAAGCACTTGATAAGGTAACCACAGACCAGGAATTAGAAATTACTCAGTGATAGAAAATACCACCTGTCTATCCCTATAAGAACGAATAGTCTGACTACGGTCCTAGTACGTTTACCATAACTATTATTGTAAAATATTAAATAATTAGAAAAACTTCTCAAAAGACCCTAAAAATAAATTCCTATCAGTAATACCACCCCCCGACATTTCACAGGACAAAAGACAGACTGCATCGGGACTAGGAATTCACCAAGTTATCCGGTGGATAGTACAAACACGGCACACATAAAACACACACCTGTACTAGCTGACAGCAACTTATACAAGTTTTCCCGTAAGCACAGTGCAGTCATATTAATTCTATAAATAACTTCTACAAGTGTGCACACAGTTAATACGTCACTTCCGATCAAAACAAAGCATAGTACAGCAGAAACACACGACATGTTATTGATAATATTTCACCACTTTCCTTAATCATGATGGATAACAACTACCCAGAAACATTTACACATCTCTAAGAAAGAATAAGGTATTAAATATATATGTCATTTATTGCAAGATTAACATTTAAAAATAATATAAAGTGATACTGGGTCACATCACCATTCTGTCACAATATGGTTTCTAATTGCTCAACTGCAATGCAGTGTAAATCAAAGCACTGAAAGTACTGAGAGGCTAAACGTTTTGATAAATGTTAACAAATAACCGCTAAGCTATATTACTTTCCCCATACTCCTACACTTTGGAATGCAAAAATTACAAAAATAAGAGAACCAGAGGCTATTTTTCTTCTTTATTAAGTGATTTTATATCTATTCTTATTTCAAATTATAATTTAATAATTATTAATATATCATATAAAATAATATAAAAAAAAAAAATGGGAATATATCACACACACAACATATATTTATCGCCAACAAGCCAAATGATAGATAGCTCTATGATGAAGTTGACTAAATAAAACCTTTGAAATACCCAAAATGTTGCAATTACTATCCTATCAATATGAGGATTTAAACAAATTGAAAGGACTTTATACCTACTTCTTTATTTTGAATGTATTGCAAAATAATAGTCCTTACTTATCATAATTATATTTGTAGTTGAGGAAAGTAGATAAGGTATACACAGCATTTCAGATATATAAAATGTATTTACATGCCTATCTTCCTTGAAGTATCATGGTTACATTTTTCTTCCAGTAATTATGTCTATATAGGCATAGTTCTATGAGATTAAACCAGACTTCCATATATATACAAAATTTACACGCTAAATGAATATGTTATGGAAATATTTCGTTTTAGTCAATTGATAATTATAAACATTAATATTTTGGGGTTTTTTTATACACGCTTTGTTTGAAGGAATATTTTCATTTCAAGGAACTTTGTTACACATTAACAAACCTTGAGAAATCAGCACAATCAACCTTCATTAAATAAAACTAAAAGGCAAAAAATATAAGTTATAACAAAGTCAACATCATGATCAGTACAGTATTAAAAATATATCATTCATAAATCATGAGCACCAAATGTACCTTGCCTATGAAGCGCAAACTTTTTTATCTTCAAAAACTTGAAAAAGTGTCATGGCGGTGGGTGTGAAAATCCTAAAAAAAAGTGTTATATCGACGAGTGTAGGACGAACAGTCGAATTTTGTGACGTCTAATGAGGTAAAGTGATGTTATATATTAAGACGATCTTGCCACAACGACAAGGATTAAAGCAAAATTGATGTTCTGTTTGTAAGTTTTGTTTTTGTTTGTTTATAAGTGCTGTTAGTTGATAATTCAAACCAAGCCCCCAGACTAACTTCTAATCATGGCGCCAACTCGCACGTACAGTGTTCTGTACGCTTACGTCATGTCGAGAATTCCGTAAAATATATTGTTCAAAATTTATCAATAGTTCAACCACACTGTGCTTCTTTTTTAAATATATAGTAATCGTATTGTTATTTTTAAAAAAAAACTAATTTTGGATGCTTTTAAAATAGCAATTTGAAAAATCGCGGCATTATTTATGCAGAAAAATTGCCGCAAGAGGGCTCTAACTCTTTTCGATATTTTAGCCAATGAGAAGGCCATGATCGGTAAATTTTGTCTGAAAGGCAGTCACAATAGGCTATGCATACCGAGTGCGTTAGCCTAAAAATGAAAAGCTGAAACAGCATATATGTATATTGGCTCAAATTTGACAGCATCCCAGTATGCCACAGACAAAACAGACATCATGGGTCTTCAGATTTTCTAAATGTTACTTGGAAATTTAGACAATTTGACCTAAATCATCTAAAAAGCAATTGAAGGTCATTTCTTTGTGGTAACAAACATGAAATGACTCCATTACAGCATGTTATGTGCAAAAATATTTAAATTAAGTATCTTTGTGTTGTTGAAGATGATTAAAGATCTCAAAACTGACAGACAGATGGATGCCACAGCACAGTATAGATTCATTTGTCCTTCAGGAATCAGCCAAACTAAGTCACAAAATTAATGAAACTAGAATACTGAGGCAAGAACTGTGCCAAATTAAACAAGAAATCAAAATATTTTAAAACTGTTCATGAACACTATTGCAAATTCTGTTTTTAAGAAAATTGAATGTTCATTCTTAATCAAAAACGTCCTCTGAACATCCCACTATACATCACAAATCCGGGTTATGGAACAGGCCAAGATAAGATTTACTTCAGTCTACTTTTCTGTTGCTTTACGAGCTCAGACGTTGGGGGAGGTGGTACTGGAGCAATGGTCTTCGCAACCCGTCTGGGGTCCTTTGGTGCCATAGTTGGTCCTCCCTTCATCCTAACTCGATCTGCCAAACGGTTCTCCACTCCAGATTCTAAAAGTCCTTCAACATAAGTGTACGACTTCTCTTCCTTGGCGGTATGTACAGCCTACCTGCTAGTTATTTTTGTTGAAATTTCTCTGGTATCTGCAAACAGATAGTAATACCGGTGGTTGGTAATGTTAAATCCAGAAGTTCAGAGATGAACTGTATTTTTTTATTATTCTAGTACTTCAGTCTAAAATGCATCTACTATGACATAACCCAGTGAACTTGTACATTTCTCTACACTGAGTTAAATACTTTTGATATGTATTACCATGATATGTAATCTGAACTTTTCAAGAAATACAACTCTTTACCAAGGGAGCATTATCATGTCACAATGTAATCTATTAATGTGTATTTCATATTCTACATGTCCACATTTTTATTATAGTCCAGAGCAGCCATAAGGATCCTGGCATGGTAGACAAGTGGCACATATGAGTATCGCTTGGCACAATACATCACAAACAAGCAGATGAAAATTTTCAAAATATGAAGTACTCCTGTGGAGTGAAAAAAAATGTGTGCAAATTGGAAACCATGACTTCTGGTCAAAATCTCTTACAATAGATGTACATAAAACAGAATTTCATAGAAAAGTGTCGCGTGCCTAGGACAAAAATCTTATTTATACTAACATTGACCTTGACCCTTGAACCTGAAAAGCAATCCCAAGCAGGCACTTTTGGTGAGGAATCACTGTTAGGAGTTTGAAGTTGATCAGCATCTAGTTATCGTGAAAAAATCTCAGTACAGACGCCGACATCACCATACCTATGTCGCCTTTTGCAGCCCACACAAAAATATAAATTGTAGATCTGCTTAAAGCAGCACAAATATCTGTGCTGCTGTGACATTGATAGAGGGCCAACGTCCACCATTTGAACAAACTTTGCGAAGCTTCATTACAATATGCTACAGTAAAATATCAGAACCCTAAATGTTTGTTTTCTGATAATTCATTCGACCTGTGTGAGGGTCAAGGTCAATTATTTGAAAAAGAGACTTGATAGAATTTGCAACATAGAATCCTAGGCCTTCTGGTTTAATCTATAGACGGCACATGATGAAGTGCAAAGCAGAAAATATGGACTTTTGGTCATCTCGACCCATTGTTACCACAATCATGCTATGTCAACTAAACTACACGTCAAGGTTAATATTACATATGCATAATCAGTGGTCCTAATGCTACAATCACTACTTAGTTTTTGCTATTTTGAAACACAAATACACCACATAATGTTTTGAAGTGAAAACCTACCTGAAGTTCAAGTAGTAAGGCACCTGACGCAGAAACCTAGTATCCAATACAATCCTTCAGAGTGCATTGTGAGCTGCACTTCCCTTTTCTAAACATTCCTGGTCTCGGTCTGCTTCGGCTATTTGTCAGTGACTGTATTGACCAAAGCCTGATTTGCCATAAGCCAAAGCCCACTGATGTTCGTTAACACAATGGTGTAGAGTAGCTCCCCATAGTTCCTGAAGAATGTTGCAAGTATTAGGCGTACACTATCAGTTATCAAATCATGATTCTTTTTAGAAAAGGAGGTTAATAAATTTCTCAATTAAAGATGTAGCTTTATAACAGTATATTTTGTTTTATTTTTCCCCTTAATGATAACTTTCCACAAAATGTGTCAGGAAATCTACATCATATAGGTACATTATATAATACATATTGACTATCTACTTATATAATATATTTTTACTCTCAATAAAATGGCAGGCTAATACACTTGCAATCAAATGGGGGACAATTTATTAGTACTTTGATTGAATACTATATAATTTCTCAGCAAGAACTTACTCATGTGAGGTAGACAGCAGATCCTTTTTGGGATTGAATTCTTTCTACCAATTCTTTGCAATTTTTCTTGTTGCATTTTACATCTATTTTGGTTTGAGCTAGTGCTGTAAGCCTTTCCATATACACCATGCATGTAGAATCCTTCGTCAGGTGGAAACAAGACTCCTAAACCAACACTCTTTCCATCATCAAAATCATCATCATCGTCGTCGTCATCTCCAATCTCTTCTGCTCCAAATTCTAGGTCTGCCAGTGACACTTTTTCCAGCTGGTCTGTGGTTTTAGGTCTGCAACAAAAAGACTGAGATTACCAAGTAAGATCTCAGTAGACAGCAATGCCTACCTGTAACTCTAACCCAAATCTATTCTTATAGACATTTGTAATGTTTTATGTCTTATTCAGAGCCAAGGTCTTTAGAAACTTCCATGGTGAAGGAAAGCCAGAGTACTCAAAAATGTACTGTACATTTCAACTGATCCAGGGCGTTTTTTAACCCGGTGCTCAAAAGGTTCATGTATCAAGACGAGAACTAAAAATATATTTTGGTGATTATGTCTCCCTTTCCAACAAAAATATATATCATTTGACCTTTGATCTCAAGGTCAAGGTTATACTGAACTATTGGTAAAGCACTGCACATCTTCAGATGAGGCAACTACACATCAAGTTTGATGTAAAAATATTTACAGTTTAGGAATCCTTTGGAAAAAACAATATTCTTTATCTTCGAGTTCAAGATCACAGTGACGTTTTCGTAGTGCACTGAACATTTCCATCTGGTAATGTAACTGAACATAAATTTTATGAAAAATTTCTTTTTACTTTTTCGGAGACATACCCTGGACAATTTATTATTTGAAGAACCTAAGTATCTCTATTTCGAAAAAAATATACCTGACCGACCAGCTAGCTCCCAGCGAGGTAGGCCTCTCCCTGCCGCCGGACCTGCAAATATAGAAGTCTGACAAGTGTGAATATATTTGATTAATTGATAACAACACCGTCTTACCAAAGATGGGGGTAAAACCGTCGATAACCGAACGCCGCTATGGCCGAAAAATCGATTGCCTGTGATTTGCAGGCCGCGTACTGTTGAAAACAAAGCTCCGCTGCTTGTATCAACTTTAACACTGTTCGCAGGGGAAGAAAACACCATGTATAGGAAAGAGCTCAAATTCGGCGCAAACAAACACCATACCTTCTCTCGTCGCAATCGAATTATGAACTAGGTCGATCTATCAGCCGAGTCGCACCGTATTCGACTCCTGTTTCACAACCCCTCGAAGCAAGAAAACCCTGCTAAGCCACATACAAAAACATTCTCACCCCATGAGTGTGTATGGAATAACGAGTTCTGCACTGAATGCGTGCCAACTGAAATTCCCACATGTTCGGAGAAATATCTGTATACGACTCACGGACATTTACTTGCCGAAGGAACTTGCGATGTTGGAGAAGTACACAGTTTGAGCGGACCTGATGAAAAAACCAACTTCGTCCAGTCCTCCAATTGCTAGAGTTCCCAGTAGGGTCTGAATGTAGCCTTGTAAGAACTTCAATCCGATACACAATATAGACTTCATTCCTACAACAGGTTTAGAACAGAGAACCTACGTACCTCTATTTTGGTCAAAATATACCTGACCGACCAGCTAGCTCCCAGCGAGGTAGGCCTCTCCCTGCCGCCGAACCTGCAAATATAGAAGTCTGACAAGTGTGAATATATTTGATTAATTGATAACAACGCCGTCTTACCAAAGATGGGGGTAAAACCGTCGATAACCGAACGCCGCTATGGCCGAAAAATCGATTGCCTGTGATTTGCAGGCCGCGTACTGTTGAAAACAAAGCTCCGCTGCTTGTATCAACTTTAACACTGTTCGCAGGGAAAGAAAACACCATGTATAGGAAAGAGCTCAAATTCGGCGCAAACAAACACCATACCTTCTCTCGTCGCAATCGAATTATGAACTAGGTCGATCTATCAGCCGAGTCGCACCGTATTCGACTCCTGTTTCACAACCCCTCGAAGCAAGAAAACCCTGCTAAGCCACATACAAAAACATTCTCACCCCATGAGTGTGTATGGAATAACGAGTTCTGCACTGAATGCGTGCCAACTGAAATTCCCACATGTTCGGAGAAATATCTGTATACGACTCACGGACATTTACTTGCCGAAGGAACTTGCGATGTTGGAGAAGTACACAGTTTGAGCGGACCTGATGAAAAAACCAACTTCGTCCAGTCCTCCAATTGCTAGAGTTCCCAGTAGGGTCTGAATGTAGCCTTGTAAGAACTTCAATCCGATACACAATATAGACTTCATTCCTACAACAGGTTTAGAACAGAGAACCTACGTACCTCTATTTTGGTCAAAATATACCTGACCGACCAGCTAGCTCCCAGCGAGGTAGGCCTCTCCCTGCCGCCGGACCTGCAAATATAGAAGTCTGACAAGTGTGAATATATTTGATTAATTGATAACAACACCGTCTTACCAAAGATGGGGGTAAAACCGTCGATAACCGAACGCCGCTATGGCCGAAAAATCGATTGCCTGTGATTTGCAGGCCGCGTACTGTTGAAAACAAAGCTCCGCTGCTTGTATCAACTTTAACACTGTTCGCAGGGGAAGAAAACACCATGTATAGGAAAGAGCTCAAATTCGGCGCAAACAAACACCATACCTTCTCTCGTCGCAATCGAATTATGAACTAGGTCGATCTATCAGCCGAGTCGCACCGTATTCGACTCCTGTTTCACAACCCCTCGAAGCAAGAAAACCCTGCTAAGCCACATACAAAAACATTCTCACCCCATGAGTGTGTATGGAATAACGAGTTCTGCACTGAATGCGTGCCAACTGAAATTCCCACATGTTCGGAGAAATATCTGTATACGACTCACGGACATTTACTTGCCGAAGGAACTTGCGATGTTGGAGAAGTACACAGTTTGAGCGGACCTGATGAAAAAACCAACTTCGTCCAGTCCTCCAATTGCTAGAGTTCCCAGTAGGGTCTGAATGTAGCCTTGTAAGAACTTCAATCCGATACACAATATAGACTTCATTCCTACAACAGGTTTAGAACAGAGAACCTACGTACCTCTATTTTGGTCAAAATATACCTGACCGACCAGCTAGCTCCCAGCGAGGTAGGCCTCTCCCTGCCGCCGAACCTGCAAATATAGAAGTCTGACAAGTGTGAATATATTTGATTAATTGATAACAACGCCGTCTTACCAAAGATGGGGGTAAAACCGTCGATAACCGAACGCCGCTATGGCCGAAAAATCGATTGCCTGCGATTTGCAGGCCGCGTACTGTTGAAAACAAAGCTCCGCTGCTTGTATCAACTTTAACACTGTTCGCAGGGGAAGAAAACACCATGTATAGGAAAGAGCTCAAATTCGGCGCAAACAAACACCATACCTTCTCTCGTCGCAATCGAATTATGAACTAGGTCGATCTATCAGCCGAGTCGCACCGTATTCGACTCCTGTTTCACAACCCCTCGAAGCAAGAAAACCCTGCTAAGCCACATACAAAAACATTCTCACCCCATGAGTGTGTATGGAATAACGAGTTCTGCACTGAATGCGTGCCAACTGAAATTCCCACATGTTCGGAGAAATATCTGTATACGACTCACGGACATTTACTTGCCGAAGGAACTTGCGATGTTGGAGAAGTACACAGTTTGAGCGGACCTGATGAAAAAACCAACTTCGTCCAGTCCTCCAATTGCTAGAGTTCCCAGTAGGGTCTGAATGTAGCCTTGTAAGAACTTCAATCCGATACACAATATAGACTTCATTCCTACAACAGGTTTAGAACAGAGAACCTACGTACCTCTATTTTGGTCAAAATATACCTGACCGACCAGCTAGCTCCCAGCGAGGTAGGCCTCTCCCTGCCGCCGGACCTGCAAATATAGAAGTCTGACAAGTGTGAATATATTTGATTAATTGATAACAACACCGTCTTACCAAAGATGGGGGTAAAACCGTCGATAACCGAACGCCGCTATGGCCGAAAAATCGATTGCCTGTGATTTGCAGGCCGCGTACTGTTGAAAACAAAGCTCCGCTGCTTGTATCAACTTTAACACTGTTCGCAGGGGAAGAAAACACCATGTATAGGAAAGAGCTCAAATTCGGCGCAAACAAACACCATACCTTCTCTCGTCGCAATCGAATTATGAACTAGGTCGATCTATCAGCCGAGTCGCACCGTATTCGACTCCTGTTTCACAACCCCTCGAAGCAAGAAAACCCTGCTAAGCCACATACAAAAACATTCTCACCCCATGAGTGTGTATGGAATAACGAGTTCTGCACTGAATGCGTGCCAACTGAAATTCCCACATGTTCGGAGAAATATCTGTATACGACTCACGGACATTTACTTGCCGAAGGAACTTGCGATGTTGGAGAAGTACACAGTTTGAGCGGACCTGATGAAAAAACCAACTTCGTCCAGTCCTCCAATTGCTAGAGTTCCCAGTAGGGTCTGAATGTAGCCTTGTAAGAACTTCAATCCGATACACAATATAGACTTCATTCCTACAACAGGTTTAGAACAGAGAACCTACGTACCTCTATTTTGGTCAAAATATACCTGACCGACCAGCTAGCTCCCAGCGAGGTAGGCCTCTCCCTGCCGCCGAACCTGCAAATATAGAAGTCTGACAAGTGTGAATATATTTGATTAATTGATAACAACGCCGTCTTACCAAAGATGGGGGTAAAACCGTCGATAACCGAACGCCGCTATGGCCGAAAAATCGATTGCCTGTGATTTGCAGGCCGCGTACTGTTGAAAACAAAGCTCCGCTGCTTGTATCAACTTTAACACTGTTCGCAGGGGAAGAAAACACCATGTATAGGAAAGAGCTCAAATTCGGCGCAAACAAACACCATACCTTCTCTCGTCGCAATCGAATTATGAACTAGGTCGATCTATCAGCCGAGTCGCACCGTATTCGACTCCTGTTTCACAACCCCTCGAAGCAAGAAAACCCTGCTAAGCCACATACAAAAACATTCTCACCCCATGAGTGTGTATGGAATAACGAGTTCTGCACTGAATGCGTGCCAACTGAAATTCCCACATGTTCGGAGAAATATCTGTATACGACTCACGGACATTTACTTGCCGAAGGAACTTGCGATGTTGGAGAAGTACACAGTTTGAGCGGACCTGATGAAAAAACCAACTTCGTCCAGTCCTCCAATTGCTAGAGTTCCCAGTAGGGTCTGAATGTAGCCTTGTAAGAACTTCAATCCGATACACAATATAGACTTCATTCCTACAACAGGTTTAGAACAAGAGAACCTACGTACCTCTATTTTGGTAAAACTATACCTGACCGACCAGCTAGCTCCCAGCGAGGTAGGCCTCTCCCTGCCGCCGGACCTGCAAATATAGAAGTCTGACAAGTGTGAATATATTTGATTAATTGATAACAACACCGTCTTACCAAAGATGGGGGTAAAACCGTCGATAACCGAACGCCGCTATGGCCGAAAAATCGATTGCCTGTGATTTGCAGGCCGCGTACTGTTGAAAACAAAGCTCCGCTGCTTGTATCAACTTTAACACTGTTCGCAGGGGAAGAAAACACCATGTATAGGAAAGAGCTCAAATTCGGCGCAAACAAACACCATACCTTCTCTCGTCGCAATCGAATTATGAACTAGGTCGATCTATCAGCCGAGTCGCACCGTATTCGACTCCTGTTTCACAACCCCTCGAAGCAAGAAAACCCTGCTAAGCCACATACAAAAACATTCTCACCCCATGAGTGTGTATGGAATAACGAGTTCTGCACTGAATGCGTGCCAACTGAAATTCCCACATGTTCGGAGAAATATCTGTATACGACTCACGGACATTTACTTGCCGAAGGAACTTGCGATGTTGGAGAAGTACACAGTTTGAGCGGACCTGATGAAAAAACCAACTTCGTCCAGTCCTCCAATTGCTAGAGTTCCCAGTAGGGTCTGAATGTAGCCTTGTAAGAACTTCAATCCGATACACAATATAGACTTCATTCCTACAACAGGTTTAGAACAGAGAACCTACGTACCTCTATTTTGGTCAAAATATACCTGACCGACCAGCTAGCTCCCAGCGAGGTAGGCCTCTCCCTGCCGCCGGACCTGCAAATATAGAAGTCTGACAAGTGTGAATATATTTGATTAATTGATAACAACACCGTCTTACCAAAGATGGGGGTAAAACCGTCGATAACCGAACGCCGCTATGGCCGAAAAATCGATTGCCTGTGATTTGCAGGCCGTGTACTGTTGAAAACAAAGCTCCGCTGCTTGTATCAACTTTAACACTGTTCGCAGGGGAAGAAAACACCATGTATAGGAAAGAGCTCAAATTCGGCGCAAACAAACACCATACCTTCTCTCGTCGCAATCGAATTATGAACTAGGTCGATCTATCAGCCGAGTCGCACCGTATTCGACTCCTGTTTCACAACCCCTCGAAGCAAGAAAACCCTGCTAAGCCACATACAAAAACATTCTCACCCCATGAGTGTGTATGGAATAACGAGTTCTGCACTGAATGCGTGCCAACTGAAATTCCCACATGTTCGGAGAAATATCTGTATACGACTCACGGACATTTACTTGCCGAAGGAACTTGCGATGTTGGAGAAGTACACAGTTTGAGCGGACCTGATGAAAAAACCAACTTCGTCCAGTCCTCCAATTGCTAGAGTTCCCAGTAGGGTCTGAATGTAGCCTTGTAAGAACTTCAATCCGATACACAATATAGACTTCATTCCTACAACAGGTTTAGAACAGAGAACCTACGTACCTCTATTTTGGTCAAAATATACCTGACCGACCAGCTAGCTCCCAGCGAGGTAGGCCTCTCCCTGCCGCCCGACCTGCAAATATAGAAGTCTGACAAGTGTGAATATATTTGATTAATTGATAACAACACCGTCTTACCAAAGATGGGGGTAAAACCGTCGATAACCGAACGCCGCTATGGCCGAAAAATCGATTGCCTGTGATTTGCAGGCCGCGTACTGTTGAAAACAAAGCTCCGCTGCTTGTATCAACTTTAACACTGTTCGCAGGGGAAGAAAACACCATGTATAGGAAAGAGCTCAAATTCGGCGCAAACAAACACCATACCTTCTCTCGTCGCAATCGAATTATGAACTAGGTCGATCTATCAGCCGAGTCGCACCGTATTCGACTCCTGTTTCACAACCCCTCGAAGCAAGAAAACCCTGCTAAGCCACATACAAAAACATTCTCACCCCATGAGTGTGTATGGAATAACGAGTTCTGCACTGAATGCGTGCCAACTGAAATTCCCACATGTTCGGAGAAATATCTGTATACGACTCACGGACATTTACTTGCCGAAGGAACTTGCGATGTTGGAGAAGTACACAGTTTGAGCGGACCTGATGAAAAAACCAACTTCGTCCAGTCCTCCAATTGCTAGAGTTCCCAGTAGGGTCTGAATGTAGCCTTGTAAGAACTTCAATCCGATACACAATATAGACTTCATTCCTACAACAGGTTTAGAACAGAGAACCTACGTACCTCTATTTTGGTCAAAATATACCTGACCGACCAGCTAGCTCCCAGCGAGGTAGGCCTCTCCCTGCCGCCGGACCTGCAAATATAGAAGTCTGACAAGTGTGAATATATTTGATTAATTGATAACAACACCGTCTTACCAAAGATGGGGGTAAAACCGTCGATAACCGAACGCCGCTATGGCCGAAAAATCGATTGCCTGTGATTTGCAGGCCGCGTACTGTTGAAAACAAAGCTCCGCTGCTTGTATCAACTTTAACACTGTTCGCAGGGGAAGAAAACACCATGTATAGGAAAGAGCTCAAATTCGGCGCAAACAAACACCATACCTTCTCTCGTCACAATCGAATTATGAACTAGGTCGATCTATCAGCCGAGTCGCACCGTATTCGACTCCTGTTTCACAACCCCTCGAAGCAAGAAAACCCTGCTAAGCCACATACAAAAACATTCTCACCCCATGAGTGTGTATGGAATAACGAGTTCTGCACTGAATGCGTGCCAACTGAAATTCCCACATGTTCGGAGAAATATCTGTATACGACTCACGGACATTTACTTGCCGAAGGAACTTGCGATGTTGGAGAAGTACACAGTTTGAGCGGACCTGATGAAAAAACCAACTTCGTCCAGTCCTCCAATTGCTAGAGTTCCCAGTAGGGTCTGAATGTAGCCTTGTAAGAACTTCAATCCGATACACAATATAGACTTCATTCCTACAACAGGTTTAGAACAGAGAACCTACGTACCTCTATTTTGGTCAAAATATACCTGACCGACCAGCTAGCTCCCAGCGAGGTAGGCCTCTCCCTGCCGCCGAACCTGCAAATATAGAAGTCTGACAAGTGTGAATATATTTGATTAATTGATAACAACGCCGTCTTACCAAAGATGGGGGTAAAACCGTCGATAACCGAACGCCGCTATGGCCGAAAAATCGATTGCCTGTGATTTGCAGGCCGCGTACTGTTGAAAACAAAGCTCCGCTGCTTGTATCAACTTTAACACTGTTCGCAGGGGAAGAAAACACCATGTATAGGAAAGAGCTCAAATTCGGCGCAAACAAACACCATACCTTCTCTCGTCGCAATCGAATTATGAACTAGGTCGATCTATCAGCCGAGTCGCACCGTATTCGACTCCTGTTTCACAACCCCTCGAAGCAAGAAAACCCTGCTAAGCCACATACAAAAACATTCTCACCCCATGAGTGTGTATGGAATAACGAGTTCTGCACTGAATGCGTGCCAACTGAAATTCCCACATGTTCGGAGAAATATCTGTATACGACTCACGGACATTTACTTGCCGAAGGAACTTGCGATGTTGGAGAAGTACACAGTTTGAGCGGACCTGATGAAAAAACCAACTTCGTCCAGTCCTCCAATTGCTAGAGTTCCCAGTAGGGTCTGAATGTAGCCTTGTAAGAACTTCAATCCGATACACAATATAGACTTCATTCCTACAACAGGTTTAGAACAGAGAACCTACGTACCTCTATTTTGGTCAAAATATACCTGACCGACCAGCTAGCTCCCAGCGAGGTAGGCCTCTCCCTGCCGCCGGACCTGCAAATATAGAAGTCTGACAAGTGTGAATATATTTGATTAATTGATAACAACACCGTCTTACCAAAGATGGGGGTAAAACCGTCGATAACCGAACGCCGCTATGGCCGAAAAATCGATTGCCTGTGATTTGCAGGCCGCGTACTGTTGAAAACAAAGCTCCGCTGCTTGTATCAACTTTAACACTGTTCGCAGGGGAAGAAAACACCATGTATAGGAAAGAGCTCAAATTCGGCGCAAACAAACACCATACCTTCTCTCGTCGCAATCGAATTATGAACTAGGTCGATCTATCAGCCGAGTCGCACCGTATTCGACTCCTGTTTCACAACCCCTCGAAGCAAGAAAACCCTGCTAAGCCACATACAAAAACATTCTCACCCCATGAGTGTGTATGGAATAACGAGTTCTGCACTGAATGCGTGCCAACTGAAATTCCCACATGTTCGGAGAAATATCTGTATACGACTCACGGACATTTACTTGCCGAAGGAACTTGCGATGTTGGAGAAGTACACAGTTTGAGCGGACCTGATGAAAAAACCAACTTCGTCCAGTCCTCCAATTGCTAGAGTTCCCAGTAGGGTCTGAATGTAGCCTTGTAAGAACTTCAATCCGATACACAATATAGACTTCATTCCTACAACAGGTTTAGAACAGAGAACCTACGTACCTCTATTTTGGTCAAAATATACCTGACCGACCAGCTAGCTCCCAGCGAGGTAGGCCTCTCCCTGCCGCCGGACCTGCAAATATAGAAGTCTGACAAGTGTGAATATATTTGATTAATTGATAACAACACCGTCTTACCAAAGATGGGGGTAAAACCGTCGATAACCGAACGCCGCTATGGCCGAAAAATCGATTGCCTGTGATTTGCAGGCCGCGTACTGTTGAAAACAAAGCTCCGCTGCTTGTATCAACTTTAACACTGTTCGCAGGGGAAGAAAACACCATGTATAGGAAAGAGCTCAAATTCGGCGCAAACAAACACCATACCTTCTCTCGTCGCAATCGAATTATGAACTAGGTCGATCTATCAGCCGAGTCGCACCGTATTCGACTCCTGTTTCACAACCCCTCGAAGCAAGAAAACCCTGCTAAGCCACATACAAAAACATTCTCACCCCATGAGTGTGTATGGAATAACGAGTTCTGCACTGAATGCGTGCCAACTGAAATTCCCACATGTTCGGAGAAATATCTGTATACGACTCACGGACATTTACTTGCCGAAGGAACTTGCGATGTTGGAGAAGTACACAGTTTGAGCGGACCTGATGAAAAAACCAACTTCGTCCAGTCCTCCAATTGCTAGAGTTCCCAGTAGGGTCTGAATGTAGCCTTGTAAGAACTTCAATCCGATACACAATATAGACTTCATTCCTACAACAGGTTTAGAACAGAGAACCTACGTACCTCTATTTTGGTCAAAATATACCTGACCGACCAGCTAGCTCCCAGCGAGGTAGGCCTCTCCCTGCCGCCGGACCTGCAAATATAGAAGTCTGACAAGTGTGAATATATTTGATTAATTGATAACAACACCGTCTTACCAAAGATGGGGGTAAAACCGTCGATAACCGAACGCCGCTATGGCCGAAAAATCGATTGCCTGTGATTTGCAGGCCGCGTACTGTTGAAAACAAAGCTCCGCTGCTTGTATCAACTTTAACACTGTTCGCAGGGGAAGAAAACACCATGTATAGGAAAGAGCTCAAATTCGGCGCAAACAAACACCATACCTTCTCTCGTCGCAATCGAATTATGAACTAGGTCGATCTATCAGCCGAGTCGCACCGTATTCGACTCCTGTTTCACAACCCCTCGAAGCAAGAAAACCCTGCTAAGCCACATACAAAAACATTCTCACCCCATGAGTGTGTATGGAATAACGAGTTCTGCACTGAATGCGTGCCAACTGAAATTCCCACATGTTCGGAGAAATATCTGTATACGACTCACGGACATTTACTTGCCGAAGGAACTTGCGATGTTGGAGAAGTACACAGTTTGAGCGGACCTGATGAAAAAACCAACTTCGTCCAGTCCTCCAATTGCTAGAGTTCCCAGTAGGGTCTGAATGTAGCCTTGTAAGAACTTCAATCCGATACACAATATAGACTTCATTCCTACAACAGGTTTAGAACAGAGAACCTACGTACCTCTATTTTGGTCAAAATATACCTGACCGACCAGCTAGCTCCCAGCGAGGTAGGCCTCTCCCTGCCGCCGGACCTGCAAATATAGAAGTCTGACAAGTGTGAATATATTTGATTAATTGATAACAACACCGTCTTACCAAAGATGGGGGTAAAACCGTCGATAACCGAACGCCGCTATGGCCGAAAAATCGATTGCCTGTGATTTGCAGGCCGTGTACTGTTGAAAACAAAGCTCCGCTGCTTGTATCAACTTTAACACTGTTCGCAGGGGAAGAAAACACCATGTATAGGAAAGAGCTCAAATTCGGCGCAAACAAACACCATACCTTCTCTCGTCGCAATCGAATTATGAACTAGGTCGATCTATCAGCCGAGTCGCACCGTATTCGACTCCTGTTTCACAACCCCTCGAAGCAAGAAAACCCTGCTAAGCCACATACAAAAACATTCTCACCCCATGAGTGTGTATGGAATAACGAGTTCTGCACTGAATGCGTGCCAACTGAAATTCCCACATGTTCGGAGAAATATCTGTATACGACTCACGGACATTTACTTGCCGAAGGAACTTGCGATGTTGGAGAAGTACACAGTTTGAGCGGACCTGATGAAAAAACCAACTTCGTCCAGTCCTCCAATTGCTAGAGTTCCCAGTAGGGTCTGAATGTAGCCTTGTAAGAACTTCAATCCGATACACAATATAGACTTCATTCCTACAACAGGTTTAGAACAAGAGAACCTACGTACCTCTATTTTGGTAAAACTATACCTGACCGACCAGCTAGCTCCCAGCGAGGTAGGCCTCTCCCTGCCGCCGGACCTGCAAATATAGAAGTCTGACAAGTGTGAATATATTTGATTAATTGATAACAACACCGTCTTACCAAAGATGGGGGTAAAACCGTCGATAACCGAACGCCGCTATGGCCGAAAAATCGATTGCCTGTGATTTGCAGGCCGCGTACTGTTGAAAACAAAGCTCCGCTGCTTGTATCAACTTTAACACTGTTCGCAGGGGAAGAAAACACCATGTATAGGAAAGAGCTCAAATTCGGCGCAAACACACACCATACCTTCTCTCGTCGCAATCGAATTATGAACTAGGTCGATCTATCAGCCGAGTCGCACCGTATTCGACTCCTGTTTCACAACCCCTCGAAGCAAGAAAACCCTGCTAAGCCACATACAAAAACATTCTCACCCCATGAGTGTGTATGGAATAACGAGTTCTGCACTGAATGCGTGCCAACTGAAATTCCCACATGTTCGGAGAAATATCTGTATACGACTCACGGACATTTACTTGCCGAAGGAACTTGCGATGTTGGAGAAGTACACAGTTTGAGCGGACCTGATGAAAAAACCAACTTCGTCCAGTCCTCCAATTGCTAGAGTTCCCAGTAGGGTCTGAATGTAGCCTTGTAAGAACTTCAATCCGATACACAATATAGACTTCATTCCTACAACAGGTTTAGAACAGAGAACCTACGTACCTCTATTTTGGTAAAACTATACCTGACCGACCAGCTAGCTCCCAGCGAGGTAGGCCTCTCCCTGCCGCCGGACCTGCAAATATAGAAGTCTGACAAGTGTGAATATATTTGATTAATTGATAACAACGCCGTCTTACCAAAGATGGGGGTAAAACCGTCGATAACCGAACGCCGCTATGGCCGAAAAATCGATTGCCTGTGATTTGCAGGCCGCGTACTGTTGAAAACAAAGCTCCGCTGCTTGTATCAACTTTAACACTGTTCGCAGGGGAAGAAAACACCATGTATAGGAAAGAGCTCAAATTCGGCGCAAACAAACACCATACCTTCTCTCGTCGCAATCGAATTATGAACTAGGTCGATCTATCAGCCGAGTCGCACCGTATTCGACTCCTGTTTCACAACCCCTCGAAGCAAGAAAACCCTGCTAAGCCACATACAAAAACATTCTCACCCCATGAGTGTGTATGGAATAACGAGTTCTGCACTGAATGCGTGCCAACTGAAATTCCCACATGTTCGGAGAAATATCTGTATACGACTCACGGACATTTACTTGCCGAAGGAACTTGCGATGTTGGAGAAGTACACAGTTTGAGCGGACCTGATGAAAAAACCAACTTCGTCCAGTCCTCCAATTGCTAGAGTTCCCAGTAGGGTCTGAATGTAGCCTTGTAAGAACTTCAATCCGATACACAATATAGACTTCATTCCTACAACAGGTTTAGAACAGAGAACCTACGTACCTCTATTTTGGTAAAACTATACCTGACCGACCAGCTAGCTCCCAGCGAGGTAGGCCTCTCCCTGCCGCCGGACCTGCAAATATAGAAGTCTGACAAGTGTGAATATATTTGATTAATTGATAACAACACCGTCTTACCAAAGATGGGGGTAAAACCGTCGATAACCGAACGCCGCTATGGCCGAAAAATCGATTGCCTGTGATTTGCAGGCCGCGTACTGTTGAAAACAAAGCTCCGCTGCTTGTATCAACTTTAACACTGTTCGCAGGGGAAGAAAACACCATGTATAGGAAAGAGCTCAAATTCGGCGCAAACAAACACCATACCTTCTCTCGTCGCAATCGAATTATGAACTAGGTCGATCTATCAGCCGAGTCGCACCGTATTCGACTCCTGTTTCACAACCCCTCGAAGCAAGAAAACCCTGCTAAGCCACATACAAAAACATTCTCACCCCATGAGTGTGTATGGAATAACGAGTTCTGCACTGAATGCGTGCCAACTGAAATTCCCACATGTTCGGAGAAATATCTGTATACGACTCACGGACATTTACTTGCCGAAGGAACTTGCGATGTTGGAGAAGTACACAGTTTGAGCGGACCTGATGAAAAAACCAACTTCGTCCAGTCCTCCAATTGCTAGAGTTCCCAGTAGGGTCTGAATGTAGCCTTGTAAGAACTTCAATCCGATACACAATATAGACTTCATTCCTACAACAGGTTTAGAACAGAGAACCTACGTACCTCTATTTTGGTCAAAATATACCTGACCGACCAGCTAGCTCCCAGCGAGGTAGGCCTCTCCCTGCCGCCGGACCTGCAAATATAGAAGTCTGACAAGTGTGAATATATTTGATTAATTGATAACAACACCGTCTTACCAAAGATGGGGGTAAAACCGTCGATAACCGAACGCCGCTATGGCCGAAAAATCGATTGCCTGTGATTTGCAGGCCGCGTACTGTTGAAAACAAAGCTCCGCTGCTTGTATCAACTTTAACACTGTTCGCAGGGGAAGAAAACACCATGTATAGGAAAGAGCTCAAATTCGGCGCAAACAAACACCATACCTTCTCTCGTCGCAATCGAATTATGAACTAGGTCGATCTATCAGCCGAGTCGCACCGTATTCGACTCCTGTTTCACAACCCCTCGAAGCAAGAAAACCCTGCTAAGCCACATACAAAAACATTCTCACCCCATGAGTGTGTATGGAATAACGAGTTCTGCACTGAATGCGTGCCAACTGAAATTCCCACATGTTCGGAGAAATATCTGTATACGACTCACGGACATTTACTTGCCGAAGGAACTTGCGATGTTGGAGAAGTACACAGTTTGAGCGGACCTGATGAAAAAACCAACTTCGTCCAGTCCTCCAATTGCTAGAGTTCCCAGTAGGGTCTGAATGTAGCCTTGTAAGAACTTCAATCCGATACACAATATAGACTTCATTCCTACAACAGGTTTAGAACAGAGAACCTACGTACCTCTATTTTGGTAAAAATATACCTGACCGACCAGCTAGCTCCCAGCGAGGTAGGCCTCTCCCTGCCGCCGGACCTGCAAATATAGAAGTCTGACAAGTGTGAATATATTTGATTAATTGATAACAACACCGTCTTACCAAAGATGGGGGTAAAACCGTCGATAACCGAACGCCGCTATGGCCGAAAAATCGATTGCCTGTGATTTGCAGGCCGCGTACTGTTGAAAACAAAGCTCCGCTGCTTGTATCAACTTTAACACTGTTCGCAGGGGAAGAAAACACCATGTATAGGAAAGAGCTCAAATTCGGCGCAAACAAACACCATACCTTCTCTCGTCGCAATCGAATTATGAACTAGGTCGATCTATCAGCCGAGTCGCACCGTATTCGACTCCTGTTTCACAACCCCTCGAAGCAAGAAAACCCTGCTAAGCCACATACAAAAACATTCTCACCCCATGAGTGTGTATGGAATAACGAGTTCTGCACTGAATGCGTGCCAACTGAAATTCCCACATGTTCGGAGAAATATCTGTATACGACTCACGGACATTTACTTGCCGAAGGAACTTGCGATGTTGGAGAAGTACACAGTTTGAGCGGACCTGATGAAAAAACCAACTTCGTCCAGTCCTCCAATTGCTAGAGTTCCCAGTAGGGTCTGAATGTAGCCTTGTAAGAACTTCAATCCGATACACAATATAGACTTCATTCCTACAACAGGTTTAGAACAGAGAACCTACGTACCTCTATTTTGGTAAAAATATACCTGACCGACCAGCTAGCTCCCAGCGAGGTAGGCCTCTCCCTGCCGCCGGACCTGCAAATATAGAAGTCTGACAAGTGTGAATATATTTGATTAATTGATAACAACACCGTCTTACCAAAGATGGGGGTAAAACCGTCGATAACCGAACGCCGCTATGGCCGAAAAATCGATTGCCTGTGATTTGCAGGCCGCGTACTGTTGAAAACAAAGCTCCGCTGCTTGTATCAACTTTAACACTGTTCGCAGGGGAAGAAAACACCATGTATAGGAAAGAGCTCAAATTCGGCGCAAACAAACACCATACCTTCTCTCGTCGCAATCGAATTATGAACTAGGTCGATCTATCAGCCGAGTCGCACCGTATTCGACTCCTGTTTCACAACCCCTCGAAGCAAGAAAACCCTGCTAAGCCACATACAAAAACATTCTCACCCCATGAGTGTGTATGGAATAACGAGTTCTGCACTGAATGCGTGCCAACTGAAATTCCCACATGTTCGGAGAAATATCTGTATACGACTCACGGACATTTACTTGCCGAAGGAACTTGCGATGTTGGAGAAGTACACAGTTTGAGCGGACCTGATGAAAAAACCAACTTCGTCCAGTCCTCCAATTGCTAGAGTTCCCAGTAGGGTCTGAATGTAGCCTTGTAAGAACTTCAATCCGATACACAATATAGACTTCATTCCTACAACAGGTTTAGAACAGAGAACCTACGTACCTCTATTTTGGTAAAAATATACCTGACCGACCAGCTAGCTCCCAGCGAGGTAGGCCTCTCCCTGCCGCCGGACCTGCAAATATAGAAGTCTGACAAGTGTGAATATATTTGATTAATTGATAACAACACCGTCTTACCAAAGATGGGGGTAAAACCGTCGATAACCGAACGCCGCTATGGCCGAAAAATCGATTGCCTGTGATTTGCAGGCCGCGTACTGTTGAAAACAAAGCTCCGCTGCTTGTATCAACTTTAACACTGTTCGCAGGGGAAGAAAACACCATGTATAGGAAAGAGCTCAAATTCGGCGCAAACAAACACCATCCCTTCTCTCGTCGCAATCGAATTATGAACTAGGTCGATCTATCAGCCGAGTCGCACCGTATTCGACTCCTGTTTCACAACCCCTCGAAGCAAGAAAACCCTGCTAAGCCACATACAAAAACATTCTCACCCCATGAGTGTGTATGGAATAACGAGTTCTGCACTGAATGCGTGCCAACTGAAATTCCCACATGTTCGGAGAAATATCTGTATACGACTCACGGACATTTACTTGCCGAAGGAACTTGCGATGTTGGAGAAGTACACAGTTTGAGCGGACCTGATGAAAAAACCAACTTCGTCCAGTCCTCCAATTGCTAGAGTTCCCAGTAGGGTCTGAATGTAGCCTTGTAAGAACTTCAATCCGATACACAATATAGACTTCATTCCTACAACAGGTTTAGAACAGAGAACCTACGTACCTCTATTTTGGTAAAAATATACCTGACCGACCAGCTAGCTCCCAGCGAGGTAGGCCTCTCCCTGCCGCCGGACCTGCAAATATAGAAGTCTGACAAGTGTGAATATATTTGATTAATTGATAACAACACCGTCTTACCAAAGATGGGGGTAAAACCGTCGATAACCGAACGCCGCTATGGCCGAAAAATCGATTGCCTGTGATTTGCAGGCCGCGTACTGTTGAAAACAAAGCTCCGCTGCTTGTATCAACTTTAACACTGTTCGCAGGGGAAGAAAACACCATGTATAGGAAAGAGCTCAAATTCGGCGCAAACAAACACCATACCTTCTCTCGTCGCAATCGAATTATGAACTAGGTCGATCTATCAGCCGAGTCGCACCGTATTCGACTCCTGTTTCACAACCCCTCGAAGCAAGAAAACCCTGCTAAGCCACATACAAAAACATTCTCACCCCATGAGTGTGTATGGAATAACGAGTTCTGCACTGAATGCGTGCCAACTGAAATTCCCACATGTTCGGAGAAATATCTGTATACGACTCACGGACATTTACTTGCCGAAGGAACTTGCGATGTTGGAGAAGTACACAGTTTGAGCGGACCTGATGAAAAAACCAACTTCGTCCAGTCCTCCAATTGCTAGAGTTCCCAGTAGGGTCTGAATGTAGCCTTGTAAGAACTTCAATCCGATACACAATATAGACTTCATTCCTACAACAGGTTTAGAACAGAGAACCTACGTACCTCTATTTTGGTAAAAATATACCTGACCGACCAGCTAGCTCCCAGCGAGGTAGGCCTCTCCCTGCCGCCGGACCTGCAAATATAGAAGTCTGACAAGTGTGAATATATTTGATTAATTGATAACAACACCGTCTTACCAAAGATGGGGGTAAAACCGTCGATAACCGAACGCCGCTATGGCCGAAAAATCGATTGCCTGTGATTTGCAGGCCGCGTACTGTTGAAAACAAAGCTCCGCTGCTTGTATCAACTTTAACACTGTTCGCAGGGGAAGAAAACACCATGTATAGGAAAGAGCTCAAATTCGGCGCAAACAAACACCATACCTTCTCTCGTCGCAATCGAATTATGAACTAGGTCGATCTATCAGCCGAGTCGCACCGTATTCGACTCCTGTTTCACAACCCCTCGAAGCAAGAAAACCCTGCTAAGCCACATACAAAAACATTCTCACCCCATGAGTGTGTATGGAATAACGAGTTCTGCACTGAATGCGTGCCAACTGAAATTCCCACATGTTCGGAGAAATATCTGTATACGACTCACGGACATTTACTTGCCGAAGGAACTTGCGATGTTGGAGAAGTACACAGTTTGAGCGGACCTGATGAAAAAACCAACTTCGTCCAGTCCTCCAATTGCTAGAGTTCCCAGTAGGGTCTGAATGTAGCCTTGTAAGAACTTCAATCCGATACACAATATAGACTTCATTCCTACAACAGGTTTAGAACAGAGAACCTACGTACCTCTATTTTGGTCAAAATATACCTGACCGACCAGCTAGCTCCCAGCGAGGTAGGCCTCTCCCTGCCGCCGGACCTGCAAATATAGAAGTCTGACAAGTGTGAATATATTTGATTAATTGATAACAACACCGTCTTACCAAAGATGGGGGTAAAACCGTCGATAACCGAACGCCGCTATGACCGAAAAATCGATTGCCTGTGATTTGCAGGCCGTGTACTGTTGAAAACAAAGCTCCGCTGCTTGTATCAACTTTAACACTGTTCGCAGGGGAAGAAAACACCATGTATAGGAAAGAGTTCAAATTCGGCGCAAACAAACACCATACCTTCTCTCGTCGCAATCGAATTATGAACTAGGTCGATCTATCAGCCGAGTCGCACCGTATTCGACTCCTGTTTCACAACCCCTCGAAGCAAGAAAACCCTGCTAAGCCACATACAAAAACATTCTCACCCCATGAGTGTGTATGGAATAACGAGTTCTGCACTGAATGCGTGCCAACTGAAATTCCCACATGTTCGGAGAAATATCTGTATACGACTCACGGACATTTACTTGCCGAAGGAACTTGCGATGTTGGAGAAGTACAGTTTGAGCGGACCTGATGAAAAAACCAACTTCGTCCAGTCCTCCAATTGCTAGAGTTCCCAGTAGGGTCTGAATGTAGCCTTGTAAGAACTTCAATCCGATACACAATATAGACTTCATTCCTACAACAGGTTTAGAACAGAGAACCTACGTACCTCTATTTTGGTCAAAATATACCTGACCGACCAGCTAGCTCCCAGCGAGGTAGGCCTCTCCCTGCCGCCGGACCTGCAAATATAGAAGTCTGACAAGTGTGAATATATTTGATTAATTGATAACAACACCGTCTTACCAAAGATGGGGGTAAAACCGTCGATAACCGAACGCCGCTATGGCCGAAAAATCGATTGCCTGTGATTTGCAGGCCGTGTACTGTTGAAAACAAAGCTCCAGTGCTTGTATGTAGCCACCAGTTTTGGTGAAATTGGTGATGCTCCACCACCATGGTGATTATTTCGACAAAAAATCTAAAAAAAATCACACACAAATGATTTTAGAAGATTTTTCAACAAAACATTCACACTATTTGACATTCATCGCGATCAAATTGAACACTTTTATCAGGCCAGCAATTATTCAATTAATCAAAACATACTTAAACTCGGTACAAATGTACCTCACTGCAACCTACAGCCACGATCCTCCAATCCAGGGCAGCCATGAGAGGTAATCAGCTACAACAGCTCCAGTACAGCCATGCGAGGTCAGCTCATCACAGGATTCAGCTGTACAATATTATTCTGAGAGGATTTAATATTTTAGATTATCAACAAAAACACTGAATACCCACCAGTTTTGGTGAAATTGGTGATGCTCCACCACCATGGTGATTATTTCGACAAAAAATCTAAAAAAATCACACACAAATGATTTTAGAAGATTTTTCAACAAAACATTCACACTATTTGACATTCATCGCGATCAAATTGAACACTTTTATCAGGCCAGCAATTATTCAATTAATCAAAACATACTTAAACTCGGTACAAATGTACCTCATTGCAACCTACAGCCACGATCCTCCAATCCAGGGCAGCCATGAGAGGTAATCAGCTACAACAGCTCCAGTACAGCCATGCGAGGTCAGCTCATCACAGGATTCAGCTGTACAATATTATTCTGAGAGGATTTAATATTTTAGATTATCAACAAAAACACTGAATACCCACCAGTTTTGGTGAAATTGGTGATGCTCCACCACCATGGTGATTATTTCGACAAAAAATCTAAAAAAATCACACACAAATGATTTTAGAAGATTTTTCAACAAAACATTCACACTATTTGACATTCATCGCGATCAAATTGAACACCTTTATCAGGCCACCAATTATTCAATTAATCAAAACATACTTAAACTCGGTACAAATGTACCTCACTGCAACCTACAGCCACGATCCTCCAATCCAGGGCAGCCATGAGAGGTAATCAGCTACAACAGCTCCAGTACAGCCATGCGAGGTCAGCTCATCACAGGATTCAGCTGTACAATATTATTCTGAGAGGATTTAATATTTTAGATTATCAACAAAAACACTGAATACCCACCAGTTTTGGTGAAATTGGTGATGCTCCACCACCATGGTGATTATTTCGACAAAAAATCTAAAAAAATCACACACAAATGATTTTAGAAGATTTTTCAACAAAACATTCACACTATTTGACATTCATCGCGATCAAATTGAACACCTTTATCAGGCCACCAATTATTCAATTAATCAAAACATACTTAAACTCGGTACAAATGTACCTCACTGCAACCTACAGCCACGATCCTCCAATCCAACCATTGCAGCCATGTGAGGTCTAGTACATCCACACTAGGTCAGCTCATTCATGGATCCATCTGTAAAATATTTTTGATTGGTGTTGAAATCAAAATTTTATAAAATGTTGGAAAAAAAGATCTAGTAGTTAATTTTACCTCTTTAGAGAAATGCAATACCTTAGGGTCATGGAATTCACCCATGTTCAGGGTCATGGAATTCACCCATATTCTCCTCGGTTTTTTCTCTTCAAATTATTTTTATCAAAACTCTACTTTCATTCAGTTGATGCCATCATTTCAATCTGTCACAAACAGGGCTGCAAAAATTGGAAATTCAAATGCCAATTGAGCCTGTGTTCCTCATCTTTCATGTGCTGAAGCTGATTTTTTTTTTTTAAAGAGCAACTGATCGATGTTTTCTCTTTAACAAAAGGCCCACAGACCTAAACAATCATGTGACTAATTGCAACAATGTCCACCGGTAATAAAACAGCCAAGGGCCATAACTCTAATTTAAATCAATTCCATAATAACAAGGTTGCAGTTTATCCACTACAGTATAAATATACAGTATAAATGAAAATTAGCTTGCTTTCTAAACTGTCCTCACTTGTGACCATTTCATATTGTTTCAAAGAAATGAAAATTGGTCAAACACGACCTGAAGTCATTTTTATTATAGATATATAGGCTCTTCAATGAGTTTTCATTTCATAAATTTTCATATGAAATGAAATCAAATTTTAGATATTTTTTATGACATAACTTAGAAAAATCATATAATGGCAGTTTTTCAAGTAAAAATGTGGAGAATTAAATGAGTTGGGGCAGCCATTTTGTCGGATAATTTCATTTTACGATATTCAAAAGCTCCTGAGTACTACTTATATAAAGCAATGTCTTGTTTTCAGATTCTCATGTGTTCTGACAATGCACAGCAGTATTCAAACCAAGAGTTTTCTTGTAAGAACAAGAACCAACATCTCCCATTTGCCAGTTGAAAAGCTACAGTTCTGAAAAGATATTCCTGAAAAAGGACACCACTGATTATAATTTTGCCGTGAAATTTAAATGGTATAAAACTAAGTATACATTCATAGGAACACTGACAAACAATTAAGCATCATTAAAGCAGGGCAATCATAATAATGTATGTACACTATTCAATAAATGCATAAAATAAGGGAAAGCAGTACTACATAAAATTTACCATACATCAAATTTCCCACATGGTGTGTTTTGACCAATTCTGCTCTCAAAATAGGAAGAAAGGGAGGCAATTTGAAAAATTAAAACCTCAATAAGTCTTAAATTTATTTGAATAAAGTTGCAATTGAAACTGAATCAAGTAATTTGTGCTTCTGTGAATTAAGATAACTGAAAAGCAGATTGATACTACATATATATAGTGTCTTATATTATGATGTCATGGTAACGGCTGATGTCATCATTACTTTGATGTCATCAATTGCTAATGATGGCTTTACCAATGAACTGTGATGTCATAGTAAAGGATAGAAATCACACAAAAACTTCAAATTAGCATCAGACACATTTCCCTAAAGTAATTAACAGTGATATGACAATAGATATTCTTAAATGTCATGTGTATGACATCACAAACACCTATGCTTACTGTCCCCTCCCCTCCCCCCTTCAAGTGTGATATTAGAAACCCTATGACATTACAATATTGTTTGAAAAATTGTTTTTATTTTACAGCTATAACTATGGAAATGTAATTTTATGACAATATTAACATGATTGTATGCCCAGTCTGAGAAATACACACATTATTGAGTAAAAATCATCAAAACAGAGAATTTATCCAAAATTCAAAAACTCATACTTTCCATTTAGTTACCATGGATACCACACCTTAAACTATTGGAATTGCCCTGAAATCCAGTCTAAATACATTCTAAGGTTCTTACTGACTGATTTAATACATGTTACCTACTATAGAACAGTTTTCCAACTGATACCAAGCCTTTTTGAAAACAGCTGATATTCTCACCCACAAGGGCACCCAAATTACCTCCCTTTATGTACTCCAGATGAAATTAAATTAAAATTATTATGAACAAGTTTCAGTGTGCTTTTTATGTATTTATAGCAATTATGAATAGGATTTAACTTAATCAAACATAGTAAATCACATTTTAAATAGATTAATATTTTTAATGTGCTTTATACATCACAATTAGTTTTTTGAATTTCATTAAAATCCTTCTGAGTGTCTAGAAAAAGATCAGATGAGCAAATCAATATATCACTTTACTGTGTATCTCGAATAGCTATCGAGTAATATAGATTTTCCCGCATGGTGTGTTTTGACCAATTCTGCTTTCAAAATAGGAAGAAAGGGAGGCAATTTGAAAAATTAAAACCTCAATAAGTCTTAAATTTATTTGAATAAAGTTGCAATTGAAACTGAATCAAGTAATTTGTGCTTCTGTGAATTAAGATAACTGAAAAGCAGATTGATACTACATATATATAGTGTCTTATATTATGATGTCATGGTAACGGCTGATGTCATCATTACTTTGATGTCATCAATTGCTAATGATGGCTTTACCAATGAAATGTGATGTCATAGTAAAGGATAGAAATCACAGAAAAACTTCAAATTAGCATCAGACACATTTCCCTAAAGTAATTAACAGTAATATGAAAATAGATATTCTTAAATGTCATGTGTATGACATCACAAACACCTATGCTTACTGCCCCCACCCTTCTTCAAGTGTGATATTAGAAACCCTATGACATTACAATATTGTTTGAAAAATTGTTTTTATTTTACAGCTATAACTATGGAAATGTAATTTTATGACAATATTAACATGATTGTATGCCCAGTCTGAGAAATACACACAAATTATTGAGTAAAAATCATCAAAACAGAGAATTTATCCAAAATTCAAAAACTCATACTTTCCATCTTAGTTACCATGGATACCACACCTTAAACTATTGGAATTGCCCTGAAATCCAGTCTAAATACATTCTAAGGTTGTTATTGACTTATTTAATACATGTTACCTACTGTGGAACAGTTTTCCAACTGATACCAAGCCTTTTTGAAAACAGCTGATATTCTCACCCACAAGGGCACCCAAATTACCTCCCTTTATGTACTCCAGATGAAATTAAATTAAAATTATTATGAACAAGTTTCAGTGTGCTTTTTATGTATTTATAGCAATTATGAATAGGATTTAACTTAATCAAACAAAGTAAAGCACATTTTAAATAGATATATTTCTTTAATGTGCTTTATACATCACAATTAGTTTTTTGAATTTCATTAAAATCCTTCTGAGTGTCTAGGAAATGATCAGATGAAAAATCAATTATTGCTTTACTGTGTATCTCGAATAGCTATCAAGTAATATAGATTTTCCTGCATGGTGTGTTTTGACCAATTCTGCTCTCAAAATAGGAAGAAAGGGAGGCAATTTGAAAAATTAAAACCTCAATAAGTCTTAAATTTATTTGAATAAAGTTGCAATTGAAACTGAATCAAGTAATTTGTGCTTCTGTGAATTAAGATAACTGAAAAGCAGATTGATACTACATATATATAGTGTCTTATATTATGATGTCATGGTAACGGCTGATGTCATCATTACTTTGATGTCATCAATTGCTAATGATGGCTTCACCAATGCACTGTGATGTCATAGTAAAGGATAGAAATCACACAAAAACTTCAAATTAGCATCAGACACATTTCCCTAAAGTAATTAACAGTGATATGACAATAGATATTCTTAAATGTCATGTGTATGACATCACAAACACCTATGCTTACTGCCCCCACCCTTCTTCAAGTGTGATATTAAAAAACCTATGACATTATTAATATGATTGTATGCCCAGTCTATGAGAAATACACAAATTATTGAGTAAAAATCATCAAAACAGAATTTATCCAAAATTCAAAAACTCATACTTTCCATCTTAGTTACCATGGATACCACACCTTAAACTATTGGAATTGCCCTGAAATCCAGTCTAAATGCATTCTAAGCTTGTTTTAACAGAAAGAAGTAATTATTCCGTCCATTAACCTTCAAAGGATTGGGGGCTTCATACATTTTAGGACCAAAAAGTTTCTTTGTTTTACCAGAAAACAGTAATTTCACTCCGAAATTATATTCAGGGTTCTCACAATGTTTTAAATTAAACTTCTACATGACTATGGCGAGACTCTCTTTAGCTGCAAGAACTCACAAATGTTCTCTTATTCCCTTGAAAAGAATGAGATATCGACACTACAAGAGTACATTAAGATTTGTATGGCTACATCGGGTCACACAAAGGGACAAACATGTACATTTTCTCGTGCGTGTCACAACATACATCTGAAAGGTATGTTTAAAACATAAAGGAATTCTTATTTATTAAAGTTTTACACTTAGTACATAAATATATATGAGAAAAATGTCACTTACATGTCAGTTTCGCAGCAGGTGTTTTCTGAATGACCAATCTCGTGCCCAACGCTTAAACTTTTGTCGCAGCACTGAGCAGATATTAGGATGGTCCAAGCTCATTGGTTGTCCCTTTTCTTCGACGTTTTCATTGGTCAATACGATCTTGAGACGCAAAATTCTTGCACGTGCCCGACGCACAGCTCAGGTGCACACTGTGTTACTGAAATGATAAAGCGCCCCAGGAAAGCCTGGTTCTTAAATTGATCTAAAAAAACACATTGGATGAAAAGATAAAATATTCAAGAGTTTGATGATGATTATATTGATATATATTTCTTGTTTTGTATTTATTGGGATTAAGGTTGGGATGGGGGTGGGGGAGGGGGTCGACTATAACCACGGCCCGCTTAATTACAAACTATATATAGGCACAAAGGAAAATAACATATGTATCCACATCTTAATGTGTCAGCTTAAAAAAGAACATAAGTTTAAAAAGATATTTCATATATCTACGGTACTCTGTATCTTCTATTCACACCAGAGACATTCTTCTAGCATCATGTGTTTGTTGTATATTCAATGAAATTTGACATATTGTTGACACATTTATAATAAATTGAACTTCAGTTATAAAATCAAGAACACCGCAAACGGACGTACGACATCCGTCTGACGAGGGACGTGTAACATATATGTCGCTGATCTGACCCGGTCTGATTTTTTTCTCTTCGATTAGGCGGGTTCTGCTAGACAGAATTGCCTGAAATGTTGGTGGGTTTTTTTTTTCTTCCTCCAAACATTTCATTTCTCACGTCCCTAAATTTATACTGTCACTCTTTATCAAATCCCTTAAATCTTAAACCTATATATAGGAATGGAGGCTATCCTAACCCCTTAGGACTATTAGTCTTGTTATAACAGAAAGCAGTAATGATCCGCCCATAAACCTATATATAGGACTGGGGACTATCCTTACCCCTTAGGACTATAAGTCTCTTGTTATATCATGTGAAGATATTTTTATAGATTATCAATTGATTAAACAATACCGATGCAGATAGTATAAACTTTCACTGTTCACTTTAGAAACCACTATTGTTAATGTCCGTTGCATTCTGTGTCATGGTTTACTTTCTCCGTTCGCTTCGTTGCCTTCTGAATTCACATGAAACCCCTCTACACTTTATTTTACCATTTATTGAAATTTTTTTGTTATATCTCTGTTTGATTCACTTGTCAAGATTCGTGTACAAAACAGGGGGAAAGTAAGAAAAAATGCTTTTCTCAAAAAAATATGAAATCTATTTTTCAACTTTCTATTTACTCTTTTATGGGATTGAATTATAAACCCTGTAACTTTTATCTGAGTATGTGTATGAATCTGCCTGTAACCAAATTCACCCTAGTATTATGAACTTTAATGCAAGTTATATTTTCAATAAAAAGGTAACATGCCAGCATTTACATCAATAAATAGTAGTTAAATGTACACGAGACTAAATACCTATAGTTTTACTTAGCATCGGATATAAAACAGTGGAGCATTTACTTACACCTCTGACAAGGTCAGTCTTTGTCTTCTTTTTGACAGTGTACACTCTCCCGCGAAAGCGCTTTTTTTTATCAATTCTATTACTATGACGATTTTCATTCGTCTATGTGATCATGTGACTAAATTTCATTCGCTTACCAGTGTCGCGCATTCACACTGTTGTAAAATAATTACCAAATAATGTGCGTCAAAAATTCTGGTTTAAACCACCAAATTTGCTTTTATGGCTTAAACGAAACTTAAAATTGATAAATAAAATGTATGTATACATGTATGTCACTTGTTCAAATTGCGTATTTTGGTGGTTCAGTTCCTCTAATTGAACAGTTTTGTGTATGCATATATATATGTTATAGGATTAGCATAAGGGTGTCTGAGCTAACGTCACAACGCGCCGTGCACGTGATTTTCAAGTATCTGAGCACGAATCGCGCTTTGTGGCATTCATGATATACGTGTCGCAGAAGAAAATAGTTTAAAACACCAGCGGTTAGATCACTTAAACTCGATCTTTGAAACTATGATATTTGGCATGCGACTTTCTTTCGTTTAAGATTGAAATTTGTCATTTATAAACCAGAGTGATGTATTAATCTGCTACAATCCGTCGATCTCTAGTTAATAATAATCAGTGTTTGTACTAGTGTATTTACAACATAATGTATACTTCAAATAGGCGAATCATGAGTGTTGGCTCCAGATTTTATTCCTTCACTCATGCAACCTCGTGCAACACGAATTGAAGATACACGATCCAATGGTACATTTGTGTAATACTAGTTATATAGAACTTTATTCCATCTTCATGTCACCCCAAGGAAAGTTTTTGATTTGGGCAGATACGTCTCTGATTTGGGGTTCTAAATTCACATAAAGAGGTTCGATCATTTCTATAAAGTTAAATCAGACGAGGTTCAAAACTGAACTGATATTGATATAACACAATGATATCAGGAACGCCCTATCATACGTCCCACATGATATCATTGTGTTGGATACTGAAAGCCGCATTGTAATGACGTCATAAGCACCGGCAATTCAAATGTATGAATATCAACAGATAAAAAATAAGATTTGTGTCGATGAATTCTTATAGCTAAAATACATCCTAGTATTACAGCAATATCCATTACTGATTTTTTACCATAGGAAATGATAAATATAATATTCACCTCGGTCCTGGTAGGATTCAAAAATGGCGTCCTGGCAACAACAAACTTTTGGGACTCAGTGTATTGATTAGTGGTCTGAAATACATTTGAAGTATTTGTAGAGTCATCTCGTTAAACGTGAGTATATAACATACACTGTTTTAATCGACGTATGCTGTAGTTTTCTTCTATATTTCTTTTATAGAAACTTATTGGTCATATCATACAGAGCTAGCGCACCTGTCTCTCTCGGTCTCATTACACTCATTCAAGTGACTGCCTACTAAACTGGACAGCTAGAAACACAGAATGGCGCACGGGATGTCTGCGTTCTTTTACTAGGTCACTAACAAATAAATGGTTATATGTATTCGACGATGTTTGCCTGCTGTTTATGCTCATGAAATATACGCAGTCGGTATGACAGTTCATTCATGGCTTTTAACAAACATGAAATTCATAAGCGAGATCGGATGAAAACAAAACAACATCCTGCCACGAGTGTCTCACGTTCTATATGTATGAATAAAGATGTATAGCAGTCTCTATGAAAAAGCCCGTATATCATAATAAAACGATTACAGAAAGGTTTTTATTGCCAGAGTCCAGTGACAAAATATACTTTTTATAAAGATGTTACTGTATATACTGAGATACAGTTAAGAACACCATAACATGTATATAAATACACATGTTAACATATACATCTTCATTATTGATGCTGAACTGTTAAACTTGACCTTTGCACAGAGCTGCACATCGGGTTTTGACTAATAGATAAAGAATACAAATAGAAAAGTACAGAATAGAATAAGATAGAAAAACGAATATAACATATTAGAGTGCTTTGACTGGGACCTGCTATAGCAGCCACTGGGGTTATGCCTCAACTGGTACAGGTCGAGTTTTCAGCATACATACTTAAGACAACACACACACTGATATATATATATTGAGATACACAGTGTATATTGTCCATTAGTCATAGGAAGGACATTTTAATGTTTCCTTCTGTGACATCACAGGTGTGTGGCAGTTTTCAATGTAAGAGCTGTCCAGAACATCAAATTTCGCAATGCAAGTTTAGGAAGGATAAACTACATAAAATGTTGTTGTCTTTCATTCCTATAGTTTTTAATCTTTATAAAGTACAAAGAAAGGAAAGAAATGGGAAGAAAACATGAATTTCATTTGTCTTATGAAACCATAACTTAAACAAAAAAGGGATTGTAATGCAAAGTATAAAAAAGATTTTGGTTTTTTTTTTCTTGAATAATAGATGACGTTTCATAAATGAGAACTTTCTTTTTGAAAACCTTTCATGAGAAAAAGTTTATTTCCATTAATTAACAGATAGATGTCTGCTGATCGGTGATAATTACTTGCCATGGCTGCTAAGCTGGACCAGTTTCCTGACCAGACATCCAGCCTGCCACAGCTACGAGATGGTCAGACCAGCCTGGTGGCTCCCTCTCAGGCTTCCCCAGCCCCTTCTCCCCGTCACAAGGCAGCACAGTGGGCCCAGGAAGTCCGTCAAAGGTAACAACCAAATTCACCTTTTCTTTCACACATATTCTCCAAGATGTTTGATTATTCTCACTTTCCTTTAAAATCTTTGTCCTTTGAATTTTGTAGGATTTTATGATAAGCAAATTAGAGTTAGCTCTGGAGCTTACAGCTGAAAATAGGCCTATGATGGAAACATGACTGGTCACACAATTGAAATTTGAACCATTTTTTTTACACAAGTGTATTACTGAGGAATTATTTCTCTTGTCAGCCCACCTGAGACTCACCAAAGAGTCAGTGTTTTGGGTTCGGTGGAGGAGGGGTGGGGGGGCGGAATATAAAGTCAGTGTCCTTTGGGGAGGAATTGTTGTTTCATCAAGTCAGTGTTTAGGGTAAATAGTCCACTGATTGACAATAGGACAATGCTACCAAAACACTGACTTGATTGGAAAAGGACAATTCTCCTAAAACACAGACTTGAGAATTATCCCCTTACACTACAAATAAAGTAGATGAGAGTGAAATTAAATCTCTGTGCATTTTACCACAACCAGAACAAATGAAAAGTATCAGCCATTTGATATCTAACATCTACACAAAATCTATTTCTTAAATAATTTGGAAGATTAATGATGCTGAATTACATCTTGGATAACGACAAAACATAAGGAAATGTGATATACTGATGACTTAGTACATGTAGATCTACAAATGTATTACCTCTCTGCTACTAGTTTACATTTCTCGTATACATTATTCTTTGTAGGTTAAAAAGTGGAGAGAGTCTAGAAGAAGATGTGAAAAATCTGAAGAAAGAACTGATTGCTGTCTTCATCACAGCCCTGCAACAGGACAGGTTGTCCTACTAACACTCCGCAGATGTTCAATAATTTTTGATCATATTTGATAGTGTTTGAAAATTGATGTCTTGTACTTGTGTCTATAAGCAATCTTTAGTATCATTGTCATTTTATCTTAACGCTCCCTAAAAGATTCTCAACACAGGAATACGTGACTGTTAATTGTGAATATTTACAAACAAGAAAGATAATCCAAGATTTGCTACTACAGCAAATAATTATGTATAAACGTTTAAGTATTTTATTATGTTGAATAAAATTATCTTTGTTACCATAATAGAATATCTTTATGTAGGTATTACGTAGACTTGTTGTTGATTATAAGTTTACTGGTTACAGTCGAGCTGCCTGGGTTTTCCTGCATGAGGTGTTGTGTTTACTGGAGCCACTAAAGGATTCGTTAGACTTTCCAGAAATAAAACCAGAGGTAGTGTATACAATCCTTATGCATTTAGTCTCCAGTATTATAAATCTGTTATTCTGCTTCATTTTACATAGTCTTTGATTTTATTATTTTGTATTTCAAAATTTCATTCCTTACAAAAAATCATTTTGGTGCCAACAATAAGTGAAAAATATGATACATAATATTTTAGTGTGTGTTTCGATGTTAGTGTGAAAGTTTAAAACAAACAATAACTCAAACTCAGATAAAACTGTTTTATGGCAGTGAATTTACTAATGACAGAATACAAATTTACCAATGATAGCTACACAATTTACTAATGACAGAATACAAATTTACCAATAACAGCTACACTATTTACTAATGACATAATACAAATTTACCAATGATAGCTACACTATTTACTAATGACAGATTACAATTTTACCAATAACAGCTGCACAATTTACTAATGACAGAATACAATTTTACCAATCACAGCTACACAATTTACTAATGACATAATACAAATTTACCAATGATAGCTACAATATTTACTAATGACAGATTACAAATTTACCAATAACAGCTACACAATTTACTAATGACATAATACAATTTTACCAATGATAGCTACACTATTTACTAATGACAGATTACAAATTTACCAATGATAGCTACACTATTTACTAATGACAGAATACAAATTTACCAATGATAGCTACACTATTTACTAATGACAGAATACAATTTTACCAATAACAGCTACACAATTTACTAATGACAGAATACAAATTTACCAATGACAGCTACACTATTTACTAATGACAGAATACAAATTTACCAATGACAGCTACACTATTTACTAATGACAGAATACAAATTTACCAACGACAGCTACACTATTTACTAATGACAGAGTACAAATTTACCAATGATAGCTACACTATTTACTAATGACATAATACAAATTTACCAATGACAGCTTGGATTTGTAATGTAGATAACAGTGACATTTGTGCGATTTTCTGATCGGAACATTTACATCTTTACCACAATTTGTTTACTGTACTTTTCAGATCGTTCATTACATTGAGCGAGTGTTACACCATGTGGCTCTACACAGGGAGAGGCTGTTTGATTTACAGATATCTGAGTCCCTGTCTAAAGTCTTCCCAAAGGTAGCACCAATATCACAGCAGTTTCAAGATCATTAAAAAGGATTCTTTATATCTATTACATGTATTTAATCAAATAACAATACATGAAAGTTACTCACACAGATCTTCATTCAATGGAATATTTTATTTACTGTATGGCAAAAAAGAGCCCAATCCAGATCAGAGTTTAAAAAAAAAACTTGTTGTACAAGATAACATAAACATTAAAATTACCTGTGCAAGAGAAAACAGCAGTCAGTTACTGACAGAAATTCTGGTCTTTCAATTTTTAAAAACGACAATTTTATTTCCATTCTTAGGAGGTGAGTAAAGTGAGCCAGTATGGGTCAAGACCAGCTAACAACTATAGTGCACCAGTAGTAAAGCTGAGCTGTTTGTCACCCCAAAAGTCCAACCACACACCTCGACAGGCCATGCTCCTTCCAGACAACACCAACCCTTATAATCCTGTACTGCCGGTAAGTAGTGCTAATACTCCTGTGCTAACTCCTGCTAAGTGTTGACAGACATTACTGTAGTAGTCTAGAATACATGGTGACAGACAATGTTATTATGGAATAAATGTTTTATGACATTTGTATTGTGAAGTATATGACAACAAAAAATAGTACTGTGAAGTAAATTATGCCAGACAATAGTATTGTGAAGTATATGATGACAGACAATAGTATTGTGAAGTACATGATGACAGACAATAGTGTTGTGAAGTACATGATGACAGACAATAGTATTGTGAAGTACATGATGACAGACGATAGTGTTGTGAAGTACATGATGACAGACAATAGTATTGTGAAGTACATGATGACAGACAATAGTATTGTGAAGTACATGATGACAGACAATAGTGTTGTGAAGTACATGATGACAGACAATAGTATTGTGAAGTACATGATGACAGACAATAGTGTTGTGAAGTACATGATGACAGACAATAGTGTTGTGAAGTACATGATGACAGACAATAGTGTTGTGAAGTACATGATGACAGACAATAGTGTTGTGAAGTACATGATGACAGACAATAGTATTGTGAAGTACATGATGACAGACAATAGTGTTGTGAAGTACATGATGACAGACAATAGTGTTGTGAAGTACATGATGACAGACAATAGTGTTGTGAAGTACATGATGACAGACAATAGTGTTGTGAAGTACATGATGACAGACAATAGTGTTGTGAAGTACATGATGACAGACAATAGTGTTGTGAAGTACATGATGACAGACAATAGTGTTGTGAAGTACATGATGACAGACAATAGTGTTGTGAAGTACATGATGACAGACAATAGTGTTGTGAAGTACATGATGACAGACAATAGTGTTGTGAAGTACATGATGACAGACAATAGTGTTGTGAAGTACATGATGACAGACAATAGTGTTGTGAAGTACATGATGACAGACAATAGTGTTGTGAAGTACATGATGACAGACAATAGTGTTGTGAAGTACATGATGACAGACAATAGTGTTGTGAAGTACATGATGACAGACAATAGTGTTGTGAAGTACATGATGACAGACAATAGTGTTGTGAAGTACATGATGACAGACAATAGTGTTGTGAAGTACATGATGACAGACAATAGTGTTGTGAAGTACATGATGACAGACAATAGTGTTGTGATATATTTGTTGATTATTACAGAGAGAAGATGAGCCCATGTTACTTACAAAACCTTTGACCATTGGTGATCTTAGGAGTTCTATTGCTGGGGTTGCTATGGAAATGGCTGCAAGTATGTTTAATAAGTCAATATAGATTTTTTATACTTCTTAACAATCAGGTGTTCTGTAAGCAAGATTTTTGTAACCTTATGCTGGGATAAAAGAAAATCAAGTTTGTTCTAACAAATGACTATTAAGACCAATAGTATGCTAGGATAAAGGGTTACAAAGTTTTAACAAAGATCAGATTTTAAATTCATTAAATAAAAAGTTCAATAAACAAGGAAGTTACTAAAGAAACTTTTTAGCAGTATTATCTTGATTAACTGCATAGCATGTGAGCAATATAAGGGTTTTGAATTTCTTGCCACGTCAGACATAAACTTCAAATTAGCGTTTGTTTTTATCATAGGAGAGTCAATATGGAGTCATCATTTTGGGACGGTCACCACTGCTCTTGCTACAGATATTATTGACCCACCAGATGAGGTATAATCTAAAGTTTCTAACACATTTATAACAAGGTTTTGTGACAGGTTTCTTATAAAGAGCTTGGTAAAAACCTGTTTTTTGGCTGCAACAATCTGATTGTCAGCTTCATAATCTCTGTTTTAATATCAATAATTCTTGAAAAAGAAAAAGTCTGTAGCAAGTTATATATATCAGCAACTATACTGAGGATAAATAAACTGACACTGACAAATATATCAGACTTTCAGTCACCGTAATATCTATTGGACATAATGAGTCACAGAATCATTAGGGGAGCTGATTTCTGCACCGTGGAATAACAAACTGTTTAGTAATAGTTTAAAAAGAGACAAGATGTTTAATTTGTGCCGATATTGCTGTGTTACAGACAAAGAATGATTTCCAAGTTCCCAAGACAAATAGACCAACTCCTCGAAGTTCTGTCTCCTCACTGTCAGGGAGTCAAAAAGACAGCAAGACTCCCCGCGTACAGGTAATGAAAAAGTATCTTATAAGGTCTTCTCGCATACAGGCACAGAAAAATTAACTCAGATGAGTCTTCTCACATACAAGAGTTAAAAATATAAGCTCATGTGGTATTCAATATACATTTATAGTTCAATTAAATCTTTCCGATAAAAGGTGAAGAAAAACGAACTCATTAGAGATTTCTTGTTCTGTTTACTCCCTAATATAGGGTAACAGGTACTTATTATAAAATTATCAATTAAATTCTGTGGAAGGTACCCCTAAACAAAAACTGGATTCTGAGATGGGATGGAGTTTTATTGAAATAAAAAAACTGATAAAAAAAACTATTTGTTTATCAGGAGGAGAAAGTGATTGACATGACAGGCAGAGAAGCTGTGGAATATTTTGCCAAACTTCACCATATTGGCAAAATCCAGTCCATTTACTTTAACAAGGTGGAGAATCGTCACTACCGTCCTTATGACCTGCGTTCTGTTGCCAAAAATAAGGTAGGTGGCAGATAGCCCACTATACTTCAAATGTAATACTGGAGACTTAACCTGTAATACTGGGGACTTAACCTGTAATACTGGAGACTTATCCTGTAATACTGGGGACTTAACCTGTAATACTGGGGACTTAACCTGTAATACTGGAGACTTAACCTGTAATACTGGAGACTTATCCTGTAATACTGGAGACTTATCCTGTAATACTGTAGACTTATCCTGTAATACTGGAGACTTATCCTGTAATACTGTAGACTTATCCTGTAATACTGGAGACTTATCCTGTAATACTGGAGACTTATCCTGTAATACTGGGGACTTATCCTGTAATACTGGAGACTTAATATGTAATACTGGTGACTTAACCTGTAATACTGGAGACTTAATACTGGGGACTTATCCTGTAATACTGGAGACTTAACCTGTAATACTGGAGACTTAACCTGTAATACTGTAATAATACTGGGTAATACTGGGGACTTAACCTGTAATACTTAACCTGTAATACTGGAGACTTATCCTGTAATACTGAGGACTTAACCTGTAATACTGGAGACTTAACCTGTAATACTGAGGACTTAACCTGTAATACTGGAGACTTATCCTGTAATACTGAGGACTTAACCTGTAATACTGGAGACTTGACTTAAACTGTGTAATACTGGGGACTTAACCTGTAATACTGGAGACTTATCCTGTAATACTGGGGACTTAACCTGTAATACTGGGGACTTAACCTGTAATACTGGGGACTTAACCTGTAATACTGGGGACTTATTCTGTAATACTGGGGACTTATCCTGTAATACTGGGGACTTATCCTGTAATACTGGGGACTTAACCTGTAATACTGGGGACTTAACCTGTAATACTGGGGACTTAACCTGTAATACTGGAGACTTATCCTGTAATACTGGAGACTTATCCTGTAATACTGGGGACTTAACCTGTAATACTGGGGACTTAACCTGTAATACTGGAGACTTATCCTGTAATACTGGAGACTTAACCTGTAATACTGGTAATACTGGAGACTTAACCTGTAATACTGGGGACTTAACCTGTAATACTGGAGACTTATCCTGTAATACTGAGGACTTAACCTGTAATACTGGAGACTTATCCTGTAATACTGAGGACTTAACCTGTAATACTGGATACTGACTTAACCTGTAATACCTGTAATACTGGGACTTAACCTGTAATACTTTAACCTGTAATACTGGAGAATCTTACTGTAGACTTAACCTGTAATACTGTAGACTTAACTGTAATACTGGAGACTTATCTGTAATACTGTAGACTTAATATGTAATACTGGTGACTTAACCTGTAATACTGTAGACTTAACTGTAATACTGGAGACTTAACTGTAATACTGGAGACTTATCTGTAATACTGGAGACTTAATCTGTAATACTGGAGACTTAATCTATAATACTGGAGACTTAATCTGTAATACTGTAGACTTAACCTGTAATACTGGAGACTTATCCTGTAATACTGGGGACTTAACCTGTAATACTGGAGACTTATCCTGTAATACTGGTGACTTAACCTGTAATACTGTAGACTTAACCTGTAATACTGGAGACTTATCCTGTAATACTGGGGACTTAACCTGTAATACTGGAGACTTAACCTGTAATACTGGGACTTAACCTGTAATACTGGACTTATCCTGAATACTGAGGACTTAACCTGTAATACTGTGGTGAGGTACTTAACCTAATCTGTAATACTGGGGACTTAATCTGTAATACTGGAGACTTATCCTGTAATACTGAGGACTTAACCTGTAATACTGGAGACTTATCCTGTAATACTGGTGACTTAACCTGTAATACTGTAGACTTAATCTGTAATACTGGAGACTTAATCTGTAATACTGTAGACTTAATCTGTAATACTGGAGACTTAATCTGTAATACTGTAGACTTAATCTGTAATACTGGAGACTTAATCTGTAATACTGGAGACTTAACCTGTAATACTGGGGACTTATCCTGTAATACTGGAGACTTAATATGTAATACTGGTGACTTAACCTGTAATACTGGAGACTTAATCTGTTATACTGGAGACTTAATCTGTAATACTGGAGACTTAACTGTAATACTGGGGACTTAACCTGTAATACTGGAGACTTATCCTGTAATACTGTAGACTTAACTGTACTGGATTAATCTGTAATACTGGAGACTGAATATGTAATACTGGGGACTTAACCTGTAATACTGTAGACTTAACTGTAATACTGGAGACTTAATATGTAATACTGGGGACTTAACCTGTAATACTGTAGACTTATCCTGTAATACTGGGGACTTAACCTGTAATACTGGAGACTTATCCTGTAATACTGGGGACTTAACCTGTAATACTGGAGACTTATCCTGTAATACTGGGGACTTAACCTGTAATACTGGAGACTTATCTGTAATACTGGGGACTTAACTTAACTGTAATACTGGGGACTTAATCTGTAATACTGGGGACTTAATCTGTAATACTGGAGACTTATCCTGTAATACTGGAGACTTAATCTGTAATACTGGTGACTTAACCTGTAATACTGGAGACTTAAGCTGAAAAACTGAATACTTTATATGTAAACCTGGAGATTTAAACCTGTGAATCTGGAAACTTAACCTGTATAACTTGGCTGGTCTCTTTTTCATCAGTGCTCTGGCTTTCTCAACTAGCAATTTTTGCGAATGACATTCAAAATCTATGAGTTTTCTTGTTGACACAACTTGTGTTTTGATTTTACAGGCTGACCCTGAACACTATGTGTTTTCCACCTTTGGTGTGCTGCATGTTTACCCAGATCAACCAAGTGAGAGCCTCAGTTTGGCTGAGTGGCAGAGAGAGGCTGTTTTATGGACAGCTGTGTCGTCCATCCCATTCTTCAAACAGTTCCTCATACGGAAAATGTTCTGCAAGTAGGTTTTATGAAGATATTTCTTAAAATATCATTCATCTAAAACACAATTGCAAATAAATTTGCGTCCTTGCCAAAGTAGAACACGATTCTGTAATAGCACGCCTACAATATCAACACGAAAAAGCAAACCTGTTCTGATTACTCTGTCAGCATCTGTGGGTACACAGATTGTTCTTTGTTGTCCAGGTACATATTTCATAGCTTCTTTTATGAAAACTTACGTTCCGTGTTATGTGAGCCGATCTGCAAGCACATGTTACAAGGAGTCAGATCCATGATTCAATAAAATTGGCTACCAATGGAAAACTCACATTTTGGTATTAGTAAACTTATCTGTGTGATAGCTTGAAACTTTTCTACTTAACAAAGGAAAGGCATAGTTTTCTTTACACAAAGCCTTTAGTACTAACACCAAATTCAATATCAGCGAGCAATTTCCATTTTGTATTTCCTTATCTATCAGCAGCCTTTTTCAGGTTCTACTGCTTGCTGGGTATTGGTTTTTCTCATGTTAGAATCTTTCATTATCTCTAAACTAGAACACTGTATTTGTCCTTTTAAGGGCACCTGTTCTGATAAAAGCGCCCTAGCAATTTTATTATTTACCGGCGCCCGGCACTCTTATTAGGACAAATACGGTATTACAAATTACAAGTGTCTTTGGTTGAAAATTGTGCCTTGCATTAAATTTGACACTTTTTTTTCCATATGTTCAGTTGATCTCTTTAAATAATTAAGACATATATTTGTTGACAGTACTGAGTATCAATTTTTAACATGTACAGATGGCGTTGCAACAAAAGATACTTGGACTTCCTACGGCGTCAAGACAACCTGACCGCTAACCTGTTACCAGCTGTTCCAGCATTCGGTGCAGCGTTACTCCAGGTCTCAAGGTAGCACCATAACAAATTTATAATCAGCATTTAAATATAGTAGATTAATACACATAGACATTGATGATATGATCAAGAAATTGAAAGATTTTTAAAATAAATGTGTACGTGTAATCTGTGCTATTGTGATTTGCCTTCATTCATGCTGTATCGTTTGCCACAATAACCTCCTAGATAACTCGGTGTGTTTTTATTCCAGACTGCTGAAAGAGCTGATCACTGTCAAGTTTCTGCCATTTGATGTTGAGTAAGTAAAGATTAGATTGTATTAAGTGAAGGTTTCACTTAATACATCTAACCAATTTAGACAGCTACATTTAACCTTTGACCCTTCTCCCACCACCCTGACCGAAAGGTACAAGGCGGAGTCAATTATGGTCCAATTAAGGGTATACTTGCACATGATTGGTTAACCAATGTAAGGCAATGCGTCGATTGAAAGAGGCTGAAAAAGGTTCAGTATTTTCTATTTATTCCTAAAACATAAAGTTCATTTTTATGAAAATTCTTCCGGTGTAAGCATGTCGGATTATGTGAGCGAGGCAGATTTTAATATTGTGACTGATCTCATACAGCAAGGGGAATGATCAGTTGAGATACCCATTGCGACATTTTTAGGGACGATTTTATCGATATTTTGAAGACAAAATATGAAGACATTACTTTGACACAATTGGAATATTCTATTCCGACACAGTCGTTATCGGCATTTGGAAATGAAACAAAACAAAATTCTACAAGATTTGGTCCCGCTCTTACATCAGACGATGTCGCAAAGAAACATATGGAAAGGACTCAGAAAAGAACTAGGACTAACACTAAGTGGTGTGTTTCGATATGGAATGACTAGGTGGCGCACAGGAGGTTGTTACCTAAAACATATAATGAGCAATACCCTCTTCTGGAAAATTTGATTGTTACAGACTTAAAAACATTTGCTTTAGTTACGTCATCTTATGAAATCATCATCACCACGAAGACCTATCTTCAGCACGAGGATCAGTTTCCACAGGAATAAGTCACAGTCAATCCTCGGCTCTGATTGGCTGGAACGTATGAAAATATCAAAACTGCCGTCTAAGTAATGTGATATCCTATAAATAAAAGAAAAAAAATATGTTTATTTATCACACTTTCAGGACATATAAAATTAATCTTATATATCAAATAAGAAATATGCCAAAATAAATGAAAAACTTTAAAGGACATTTACTTTTTCGTTGATGAATATGTTTTCTTTTTTTTCATTTTCAGTAAAACTTACCAGCTGTCTGATTTTGAGAATTACGTGAATTACAAGAATATACAAGCAGAAAAATTCCTGGAGAAATTTTTCAGGTACTTTCAATCTGTTGATTAAATTTCCTGCCTTTTGACATGTCTTTCCTTGAAAATGTTAAAATTTTTTTACTGCATGTAAGAATTCAGCAGAGCTTTGTTGAGCTGGCACATTTTATGTGAATCAATTGTATTAATATAACTGCCCCATTGTTAGGTATGTTTGATAATTCTTAACAGTGAAATATTCATAATTAATTCTATAAAAAAAATTCCTCTCACCAATTACTTTTTATTAACTTTTATTAAACAGAAACTTCAAGTATTTCTGTCAACAGTTTTAGGGTGATTGTAAATGCAAACAGTCAGAACAAATGTTCTTGTGCCTATAGAATTTATTATTATCTTGACTCATATACAGATACTGTAAGATGGTGATGGATGTAACAGCTGAAGAATCTTTCAAGAAACTGAAATACTGTGAGGACCAGGTGAAGAAAAAGACAGTGTTGTGAGTATACAGAAGATTTTGTGTTATATATCATGTATTACTAACTGTCCCAGTCATGGTACTGTTAATTTGTCAGTGTATAATTACCTGTCCCAGTCATGGTACTGTTAATTTGTCAGTGTATAATTACCTGTCCCAGTCATGGTACTGTTAATTTGTCAGTGTGTTATTACCTCTCCCAGTCATGGTACTGTTAATTTGTCAGTGTATAATTACCTGTCCCAGTCATGGTACTGCTAATTTGTCAGTGTGTTATTACCTGTCCCAGTCATGGTACTGTTAATTTGTCAGTGTATAATTACCTGTCCCAGTCATGGTACTGCTAATTTGTCAGTGTGTTATTACCTGTCCCAGTCATGGTACTGTTAATTTGTCAGTGTATTATTACCTGTCCCAGTCATAGTACTGTTAATTTGTCAGTGTATAATTACCTCTCCCAGTCATAGCACTGTTAATTTGTCAGTGTATAATTACCTGTCTCAGTCATAGTACTGTTAATTTGTCAGTGTATTATTACCTGTCCAAGTCATAGTACTGTTAATTTGTCAGTGTATAATTACCTGTCGCAGTCTTGGTACTGTTAATTTGTCAGTGTATTTTCACCAGTCCAAGTTATGGTACTGTTAATTTGTCAGTGTATAATTACCTGTCCCAGTCATAGTACTGTTAATTTGTCAGTGTATTTTCACCAGTCCAAGTCATGGTACTGTTAATTTGTCAGTGTATAATTACCTGTCCCAGTCATGGTACTGTTAATTTGTCAGTGTATAATTACCTCTCCCAGTCATGGTACTGTTAATTTGTCAGTGTATAATTACCTGTCCCAGTCATGGTACTGTTAATTTGTCAGTGTATAATTACCTGTCCCAGTCATGGTACTGTTAATTTGTCAGTGTGTTATTACCTCTCCCAGTCATGGTATAATTGTCATAAATGCCTGTCCCAGTCATGGTACTGTTAATTTTACCTGTTTAATACTGTATTATTCTTTTATACTCATAAATGCTGTAGAATGAAAAAAAAACTCAAGATAAAAAAAAACTTCTCGTGGTCAAAAACAAAATTCTTTTCCTATTTTGGTTGGTGAAGTAAATAATGCTTACAATCTTTCATTAATTTTAGCTCCAAGGACTCGCTTCACATGCAGAGAGTGAAGAAAGAGAATAGAGCAGAAAACCTGCGTAAAGCCAGGAGTGAGACAGGGTCAGTAATCTTTGAAATCATCTGTACCTCACATTGTTACAACATAAATATTGTCATTTATAATGCTACATATTGCCAATCAGAACATTTCAGTGCTTGAATATGTTATAAAGTGCTTTATATACGTCATAATTTGAACATTAATGTTTTTAAGAATTCAAAGTCCTATGTATATTGTTATATCCAGTAGTATAAATATGTTATAAAGTGCTTTATATACGTCATAATTTGAACATTAATGTTTTTAAGAATTCAAAGTCCTATGTATATTGTTATATCCAGTAGTATAAATATACTGTTATGTCCTGTAGTATAAATATACTGTTATGTCCAGTAGTATAAATATACTGTTATATCCAGTAGTATAAATATACAGTTATATCCTGTAGTATAAATATACTGTTATATCCTGTAGTATAAATATATATCCTGTAGTATAAATATACTGTTACATCCTGTAGTATAAATATACTGTTATATCCTGTAGTATAAATATACTGTTATATCCTGTAGTATAAATATACTGTTATATCCTGTAGTATAAATATACTGTTACATCCTGTAGTATAAATATACTGTTATATCCTGTAGTATAAATATACTGTTATATCCTGTAGTATAAATATACTGTTATATCCAGTAGTATAAATATATTGTCATATCCTGTATGATCACAGTTTTTTTTCTTGAGATGGTTTTTATTTCTCACAATTTTACAAAAACTTTTGAGTTTTCACAGAAACTTTTTCCATCCAAACATATAGCCAAAAAACAGAAATCCTTGAAAATGGCAATCTTAGCAGTGCTCATTAAAATAGATTTACGAATATTTTATTAGTGACGGAGTACTGTAGAAAACAGAAATGTGAAAATGGTACTTTTATGTGTATGACAACAGTACAGTAACAGATTTGTGTACCGTCAGAAGCTGTTGTTTGTTTGGTTGTAGGCGCCTGGGTAACTTTGTGAAACTTGTGGACCAGGTGATTGTGGAGCACATGTTTAACATTTGTAAGAACCAAGTCATCTCTTTTGTGGATCAAGTCCTGAAGATCGGCGATGAGGCACCAAGGGAGGGATTCTTTAAGGCCAATCTTATCATCACAAAACAAGGTAGCCATTTATACCAGACTTACACAGTGCACTCCTTATGTAATGTCTTCATGTATGTTCTACTACAAGAAGGCCCTGCCTGAAAATGCCCTTAGCAGATCACAGAGCGATATACCTGGCAAATAAAAGCTTTATTCAAAGGATTGCTTTAATTCTAATAAACATCTTTTCCTATATTTAGTAATATATATCAGGGATCTATATTTCATGTCTTTTTTATGCATTAAATGAAGGAATCACCACTTTTTAAAAGATATTGATGTAAAAAAATTATTTATTCCCCTTTTTAATACAAAACTTTGAGCTATACAGACGTGTTTAATTGCATGTACAGAAGAATCCAGATTGACGATTGTCATATAGTGCTTTACGGTTTTTTTTTTTTTTTTTTTTTTGCTTTAGATGTTTTGGGATTATCTCCACCTCCTGACCGGTTTATTAAGGTCCTGGCCAGCACCCTGAAGGGCATTCCAACTGTACTTGCTGCTAATGCAATTCCCATTGATGGATCAATCCCACCAGATCAGGATACTGTTGGAGATGACACGGAATCATCTGCTCCAACTAAATCTGATGCAGCCAAGTCTGTGGACAATGTGCGGTGAGTCAGTCATCTGAAGAGTGGGTCTGATACAGGAGAACACTGCTGAATCAGATAGTCTATACTTGCTAAACCAGATGAGAACCTGGTACTGAAAAGCGTTCAACTAGGGTAAATGTTCATTATAGATGGAAGATAGTCAGAATTAAAATAGAAAATGGAAATGTTGTTAGTTATTATTAAGAGTATATATTTAGTAGTGGCGTGGCATTATTTTAATCTAGAATTGCACCTGAGAGAAGAAAAAGTACAGCAAAAAGCTCCCTGAAGCAGGACAGTCACTATAACCTTGGAGACCGAGACAAAGCCATGTCATCCCAGGCCACCCCAGCAGGGGAGACAACTGCAGGAGAGACAACCACAGGGGAGGCAACTGATGTAGAGTCTCAGGTGGGCATGTCCAAGTCAGTTCTTGGGGATGATGGGGCAATGTTACCTGACCTCCCTCGACAGGGTAAGTTAATTTGGCAGAATGATAGTGGATGGTGAAAATTAGACTGTGTTCTAAGTGTGATTTTTATAATAGTTTTATTGTTATGAAGAGTAAGTGTGATTTTTGACTCTATTTACAGAGACAATGAACAAAGAAGAAGATGTGATGGGGGTTGCGACACCTGATCTGGTTGTTCGAGACGATGAAGGTCGATTAGTGGTGATGGGAGAGGGATTCATGGGTCAGTACGACCCACTGTCACGAGCAAACCTAGAGGACAAACTGGACAAGGAGTGAGTAACATTATAAATTCATTAAACCTTGTAATACTTCAAAATAAACTTTCTTCAGATCTGAAATCTTGTATAATTCAGACCCTCAGTAATGTGTACACTGGTTCCTTAGCCATGGCCTAAAGTACATTGAATAAAAAAAATTTTAAAAACTTTACCAGAAAAGTCAATTTCCTATGGTCATTTCCACATTAAACTTCCAAGACAAATTGTAGATCTTTCATTTATCCAATATATATTTTTCTGCTTAATTTTCATCATGTTTTGAAATGATGTGATTTTATTTGACAGTTTGGAGTACCAGCTGGCCCTTAAGGAACACAGCAGGATCATTCGTGCTGGCCTAGAAGAGATTGACCAATACTGTGAGCGAGCAGTCTGGATCCATCCCATACATCACTTCTGCAAAAAATGGAATGATGAATCTCTGAAAGAGTTCAAAGGAATGGCTGCCTACACTATAGAGGTAAAAAGACAACCTGTAACCAACCTAAACACTTCTAATAGATTGTTTTTACATTGTTAGAATCCCTATCCTGTGTCAGAACCTAGCATTCCTTTGAAAGATATTCTTTTGTCCTTTTTGTCCTTTTGTTTTTCACAGTTACAAATTTAAAAATTTATAAGTTCATTCTATCCACTTTCATTTTAAAACAGCAAAGACTGACTGAACTGCGACAATGGTCTGAAAGAATAAGGAACTTTGACAAGAGTTTCTCCACAGAGAACAACCTGTTCTACATAGACTGCATGGCCATTCATGAGGTACTCCTCCCTCGTCTCAATGACATCTACCAAGAGGTCGTGACCTTTGTGGCTGAAGAAGCAAAGATGCTGGCTACCAGTTTCTGTGTGGAGATGGAGGAAGTCCTACAGGTGTGTATCAGTGTAGTCAGGTGTACAGCTTCATGAATGGGGATCCATTTAAGTTGTAACCTATTACATGTAGATAGACATGCAGAATAATCATAGCCACCCTCAGCGAGGCTTCTGGACAATAAAGTTGTAGGTGAGTGTAAGATGAGAGGCTGAGTGTAATAGACTGGAGGCACTTTGTGGTGGTGAATCTGAAAGTTTGGTTTTGTTGATTTGAGAGGAAACCTTGATGATTACACTGCAAATCAGAAACATTTGATTCATGATAAGGTATGAATACCTGTGTGTACTGTGGCAAGAAGGGTAGGATTTCACTATAATGTGATTGTAATTATGTAATGTCTTCTTTTCATATCGACCGTCCATTTACTGTTGGTATTTAATTGTCAAATTTAGTTTGAACACAATAAGAGAAACTTATATTCATAAACCCGCTAATATATTGATGTGTGTGCTAGTCCAGTCACTGAGATTAATGTTTATCAAACATGCACAGTGATTTTAGGGAATAAAATATTAGAACCCTTTGCTCTTTTTCTTCTGGACTCAATAGATATTTTGAACTCACTGTTAATATTACTTTGTAACTGGAGTCATTAAAAATTTTGAAAAGGATGCTCTGGACTCGTTAGGAGAAATAAATTCTACAAAAATCTCTGCATACATTTATTCTTATCTCAAAAAGATAACTTGATATATTGCCAAACCTGTTTCATTGCCCTGCCAAATTATCATTGGACAGAGGGTGGCAATATATTGAAGTCAAATTGTATTTTGTCTTCTAAACTTAATGTCTTTCAGAGGAGTTAGTCTCTAAGTAGTTATGTCTGTTTTATTTTGAGTTTTAAGTTACTTTGCCATTTAACTGACTGTGTTTCTGCTGTTTCTACAGAATATGAAGGACAAACGAGCATCGGTGGACGCATTTGCGAGGTTTGCCAAGAACTTCAACATTTACAAGAAGAATGCTCCTCTGTACCAACAACGAATGGAATACATCAAATCTTTGTTTGAGGTAAAACAACTGTTTTACAAAGTATAATTCAAAATTAAACAGATTTTTTAGGGTGAAGTACATATTTACAAAAAGATTTCATACAGTAATGTGAAAGTGCTCAATGAACTTGGATTTGAACACTTCCCTCGAGTAAACATTTATAATAATGTAGTTATGTTAAATCAACGTTTTGTATAACTGCTGAAAACTATTCCTAATATCCATTTTAACTGTGAGTTCTGTTGTAGGTGATAAGGATGGGGTATCGTCAGCTGACTCCAGAGGAAGAGAAGAATGAAGAGAATGTCTCTGCTGCAGGTGAGGCATTCATGCTCCAAATGCAAGATGCATCAGAGTTTGTAAACACCCAGACGCCGCTGATGACTAAACTGTTGGAGGATACATTCCAGGTAATGTTGAACACAGATTTTTTATTTCTCTCTCTGATTGTTAATTAATCATAGAGATCTAAGTTTTGTGAAATTCATTGTCTAATATGATAAAGACTGATCTTTCTATTTTCATCAAGGATAGCAACTCATTGAGATTACATATCCAGTCATCAGTTTACAAGCTTTAAAACATTTATGTCATATAAGAGGCCAAATTCAAGGGACACAACTCTGCAAGGGTTTTTATTTTTGCTCTATGATGACAGTGTACACAATTATTCACATTTATTTCCTGGTTTCTCTTTTATGATATCAAGGGTCAGAATGTGAGTGATAAATTTTTATATTCCATATGTCACCTGACAAACCATCCACGCATTTGTAATGATGTGAGCCCATCCCAATGTTAACCCTCTCCAGGATGTTGCTGGACAGTGGGTCACTGCAGTGGTCACTTACCTTTATATATATTTAGTTCCATTCACTTGTAATGTTCCTCCTTTGTTATTGCCTAATGCAGTCATAGGAAGATGACCAGGTCTGGTATTGTATTTCTGACTTTGGCCAGAAAATAAAAACGATGAATATGCTTACTTTTAACGCTTCAAACCCAGAAACTTTCATTAGTCTCAAAATTTTATTTTAGATAACATTTTTTGTTTTTTTTAAATGTACATGAATTTTTTTCACTTTCTACAACATTCTTCAGAAACAGCTTCAGTTTGCTTACTCTATTCCAGGATAGTTTGGTCAGCATATGACAAACAAATATATTTTTAACTCTGGCTTAAGAGTTAATATCAAAGAGGGAACAGTATCACTTGATGTATATGACTGTATGATGAGTCACATATGTCTCTTTCCTATCCTTAGAGCAAACCTAAAAACATTCCCTTGTATTTTTCAAACAATCACGGACGTTATACAAATGTTCACTGTCATTTTAAAATCATTTGTTTTCAATTTTTTCACTTTTTGAGTTAAATATTGATTACACAATACTTATTTCCCTTAGAAACTCACATGAATGTAATATATGTATATGTAAAATTGTGTGGTCTGTGTACAATGTGTTAAATGTGTGTTTTATTTATCTGATGTCTGGCCAAATGACAAGTCATTGCCATAGGAATAGATAGCAGTTTTGTGCTGTGAAGAGATTTGTTTCAGAAAGAAAAACACATGATGTTGACAACAGAAAATAATATATAGTCTGTGAACAAGTCAGAGCCATGAATTATTTGTATCTGAAATGTTCCTGTGGTTCCAGCGTATGGCTAAGGCAAAGACACTGAAACAGAAGGTGGAGGCGATGAGAAATCCCAGCCTCTACATGGTACACGTGTGCAGTTTGTGTAGTGACCTGCTAACTCAATGCTCACTCAACAACACAATACATGTAGTTATGGCACTCATTTTTCACACACCAACAAAACACTTACTCAATCTTACACTCGTCAGACACCAACAAAACAGTTCATCATTTTTATGCTCCCTCACCAAATACCACTTATCTAATTTTATGCTCGTTAACCAATACATTACTTAATTTTACACTAGATCATCACACAATTACTCAGTCTTATACTTACAACACAACAATGGTTTGATCTTACATGTGACTCAATCTTACATTCACTACACAACACCTACTTAATCTTATACTCACCATACAACAATTACTCAATCTTATACTCACTCACCACACAACACTTACTAAGTCTCCGCTTACCACACAACAATTATTCAATCTTATACTCACTCACCAACAGAGCACTTAACTTAATCTTACACTTACCACACAACACTTACTAAGTCTCCGCTCACCACACAACAATTACTCAGCCTTACACTCACTCACCAACATAACACTTAACTCAACCTTACACTCAACATACAACACTTAATCAGCCTTATACTCACTAACACAACACTCAATTTTACACTCACCATACAAAACTTAATCAGCCTTATACTCACTAACACAACACTCAATTTTACACTCACCATACAACACTTAATCAGCCTTACACTCACCAACAAAACACTTTTTTAACTTCTGTGAAGTACCCTAATATAGTATAGCGAAAACCTGGAGTTAATGAAGACCTTAATACCAGTAGTGCATTTTGAGTGGTTGTGAAAATAGCTTCTGAAAGTGTTTTTACTTGTGAGTTGTAAATAAATCCTTAATAAGTGTTTACCTTTTCTGTGGTTGTTAAAACATTGTATTTTGCAGTTTTTTAACACTATTTCCTATCAGAAAGTGTCTAGTTGTTTCAATATTTCCTTATAGTAAGTTTTGTCTAGTCCTACTTAAACAGTTCCTGTTTATGAATTTGTGTAGCTGTTGAAAAGCAAATTTGTAGAAACATGATTTCATAGCATATCTATTGTCCATGATTTTCCCAGTAGTAATTCCTAATTGTGAGCTTTCTATAATAACTGAAGCAGTTCCTAATAGTGACTTTTGTAATATGACCATTCCTAATAGTGACTTTTGTAATAGGACCATTCCTAATAGTGACTTTTGTAATAGGACCATTCCTAATAGTGATTTTTGTAATAGGACCATTCCTAATAGTGAGTTTGTGTAGTTGTTGTGAGGTAAATCCCCAGAAGTAAATTTACCTACATTAAAGCATTTCCAGGTAGCATGTCTTCTGTCAATAATTTTCCCAGTAGTAACTCCTAATAGAGAGTTTTCCTTGATAATTCTGTCAACTCCTAATAGGTAGTGTATCTGTGATAATTAAATCAACTGCTAATAGGGAGTTTTCTGTGATATTTAAGTCAACTATTAGAGAGTTTTTTGTAATAGTTAAATTTGATCTAATCCTTATAGGGAGTTTACTGTGATAATTAAATCAATTCCTAATAGGGATTTATTTTTGTGATGATTCTATCTACTCCTAATTGGGAGTTTTCTTTAAAAGTTTAAGCAGTTCCTCAAGGTGATATTTTGTAATAAGGCAGTTTATAATATCATGTTTTCTGTAGCTGTTTGAGCAGCTCCTAATATGATTTAATTATAACTAAACTTCTAGTATGTAAAATACAGGTAAACAATAAGTGTTCCACCTTACTAGGTGTGTACACTAAGCGCAAAGATGACGTGTGTTTGTTTGTGTAACTGGCTGAAGTGATCTATAGACTAGATGACTGTTGCTGTGGGGTAAATACTTAATGAATGCTAAATTTGATTCCAGTGTCCAGCCAGTGTGTTTTCTGTGTAAGCAGATTGGCTTGTTTTAATGCAATATAGCTATAACATGATGACAATATGTTGTATGTTTCATTGGCTTGTTTTATGTGTGATGTTGTTTATTGAAGATAATTTGTTGTGTGATGGAATGTATATTTACAAAATAGTTATTTTAAGGAATATATAACCCAAATCATTTTTCTAAAGAATTCACAACTTAACACATTTTCTGAAGAATTTCAGATATTTCTGTTTTATTTCGCAAGTAAACATTGTATTATGAATAACATTTTTAAAAATTCAGCTTTAATAAAGCACAGTCTTCCTCATTTAATTTATTGAATTCCTTTCTAGGATTGTTACTTGAGGTAAATGCCAGTAAATTTAATGATAGAATTTAAAGCTTGTTTAACGGTCAAATATTTTTCCTTTAGAGATACAAAGCTAATTGCAAGAACTTAATCTAAAAATTTTTTGGAATTGATTTTACATTCAGCTCAAGAATAATTAGATACCTGTTAGGTTTGACATTATTTAATCAGTACTATGATGATAAACATCACAGAATCTTTTTTTTCTGTTTTTTTTTTTTTTATTTTTCAATCCATTTTCACAAACATATATGGTAAACCTGTTGCAGTATTTTTATTCATTTACCATTTACACAGCTTTACCAACTTGTTGTGTTTTCTTTGTAAGCACAGCGTATTGGGCATTTTTGCTTACAGCTCCTGGTCAAATATATATGCCTTTTTTTTTTGAACTTATGTTTACATGACACGTCTTCAGTATATCTGGTTTCACTATTGTCTGACGATGTATGCCATGTTGCTGATGTGTTCCTCACTTGCTACTGATACATATAGCATTGATTAAAATCAAATTTTGAAGGATTTGAGTGATCAAATGTACCTGTGTTTTGGATGTCATTATTGTGTCATGAATCTATCCAGAATGTGATTGTTATCTGTATGGTGTATATTAGTGATCACTGATATAGAATGTATGTGTTTGTCTTATGTTTGTCATGTCCTGTTACAGAGGCTGGAAAAGCAGGTCCTGGAGCTGTCCGAAAAGGCCACCAACGGGAAGTTCCTGGACACAAACCAGGACTCCACGGCAATCCTGCAGGAGATGAGAGGGGTATGTAGTCTACAATACTGTTACTCTGAGTTTATCTGAAACAATTTCAAATATGTCTGATTTTACCTTGTGATTTCATTACAATGTGAGCATCATGTTGTAGATTCGAGACCAGTTCTTTGACGTGTTGTCACGACTGCGACAGGCAAGTCGGTGGCGAGAAGCCATTTGTGGGGAAGCCTACAACCTTGACTTTTTAGAAGATCTGACGACAAAGATGAACGTACGACAGGAAGTGTGGAAGTATGTTGAGGTCACACGACACTCCATTGATGACTGGAAAGCTACGCCTTTCAGGAAGGTAGTACAGCTAATTAACATTAAGACCACATGAGATTTGAGCTAAATTTACAGCAAGACCACATGAGATTTGAGCTAAATTCATACTAAAGTTACAAGGATGCAAGGCTAATTTACAGCAAGGTCATATGAGATCTGTGCTAAATTTACAGTAAAGCCACAAGTAATTTACAGCAAGGCCACATGAGATCTGCTCTCAATTTACAGGATAGTAATAATGTGGCTAGTGCTGTACTTATCAACTTTTTCTAAAAATTAATGTTAATCTTTATCCTATGAAATGATATGTAATTAGTTATTAGAGAGCCAATGAAATTAAGGAAAATAAAACTTCTATGAAAATTCATAATAGTTCAGTATATAGGTTAAATGTATCTTACTATATTTAGAGACCTGACAGTTGCTCCTGTGTTCGATATTCTAACTGGTTACCAATTTTTCATGTTGTAGATGAACATCAAGAAGGCATTGGAGAAGCTGTTTGAGTGGCAGTCGGCGGCTGCACAGCTGAAGCCCTACCTGCCGCTTGGAGATCAGGTGTTAGGGGCGTGGTTCCATTCCATGTCAGAATTCAAGAAAAACTTACCTGTCCTTCACAAACTGGCTAACGAGGCTCTCAAGGTATATTTGTTATTTTTTTCTTGTATTTCACTATCAAACAAGTACATGTACTTACCTACAATTGATTTATCATGTTGTATAAATAGGTCACATATAGTAATGAGTTGGTCAGTCAGATTTTTCTTTTTGTCAAACAAGACGTCTACACCCTAACAAAATACTTCTATTTCCATGGATAGATTTTGAATATATAACCACAAAAATAATGTTGAATATCAAATTAGTTGAAATTATCTTATAAATTTCACATTTTTCTCTAAATCAAACATCTTTTCTGTTCCAAAAATAGTATTTGTGAAGCCCGTAAAGACATGAAAACAATTTGAAAAAAAAAATTTTTGAAACTGAACAAGCAGATGGCATAATTTATGTTTTATGTATATCAAGGGAGACTGGAAGATTACTTGTATATCAAAACCTATCTCCTGACTCCAGGGAGAGAATGTACTTGTTACAAGACAATGATAAATATTTGTTGGGGTTTCTTTTAAAGTTTTGATAATGTAGGTGGGAATGTTACCAGACATGCACTTACTGTGTGATGAATATTGTGATTTTTTTGTTGATTGGCCTAGCTAATAAGTGGTTTACAACTCAATTTACTTTAGGAGCGTCACTGGAAGGCCATTTTTGTTGGGATGAACGAAACTTATGATGGAATGAAGCAGTACACTGTAGCTGACCTTCTAGCATATGACCTTGAGGAACATGCACAGCTCATTCATAATATCTACCTCGGAGCCATAGAGGAGTTTGATCTCGAGGTGAAAATCATGCAGATCAGCAAGATGTGGGAGGAGAGAGAATTTAAACTGGCTAAACACATTCCTGACAGTGTCATCAGTAGTAAAGGTATGGCTGGAATATAATACGATAGTCAACAAACAATAACAGATTACACATAGCAAACGACAGACAATATACAACACACAACATCAAACGACAGACAATATACAACACACAACATACAACACATAGCAAATAACACATAGCAAACGACAGACAATATACAACACACAACATACAACACATAGCAAACGACAGACAATATATAACACATAACACACAGCAGATGACATACAACATACAATAAACAACATACAACACATAGCAGATAACACATAGCAAACGACAGACAATATACAACACACAACATACAACACATAACATATAACACATAGCAAACGACAGACAATATACAACACAACATACAACACATAACACATAGCAAACGACAGACAATATACAACACATAACATACAACACAAGATACAACACATAACAGATAACACAACATACAACACATAACAGATAACACACAGCAGACAACACACAACATACGACACATAAGAGATAACACACAGCAGACAACACACAACATACAACACATAACAGATAACACACAGCAGACAACACACAACATACGACACATAAGAGATAACACACAGCAGACGACACACAACATACGACACACAGCAGACGACACATAACAGATAACACACAGCAGACGACACACAACATACGAAACATAACAGATAACACACAGCAGACGACACACAACATACGACACATAACTGATAACACACAGCAGACGACACATAACAGATAGCACACAGCAGACGACACACAACATACGACACATAGCAGATAACACACAGCAGACGACACACAACATATGACACATAACAGATAACACACAGCAGACGACACACGACATACAACACATAACAGATAACACATAGCAGACGACACACAACATACAACACATAGCAGACGACACACAACATACGACACATAACAGATAGCACACAGCAGACGACACACAACATACGACACATAGCAGATAACACACAGCAGACAACACACAACATACAACACATAACAGATAACACACAGCAGACAACACACAACATACGACACATAAGAGATAACACACAGCAGACGACACACAACATACGACACACAGCAGACGACACATAACAGATAACACACAGCAGACGACACACAACATACGAAACATAAGAGATAACACACAGCAGACGACACACAACATACGACACATAACAGATAACACACAGCAGACGACACACAACATACGACACATAACAGATAGCACACAGCAGACGACACACAACATACGACACATAGCAGATAACACACAGCAGACGACACACAACATATGACACATAACAGATAACACACAGCAGACAACACACAACATACAACACATAACAGATAACACACAGCAGATGACACACGACATACAACACATAACAGATAACACATAGCAGACGACACACAACATACAACACATAACACATAACACACAGCAGACGACACATGACATACAACACATAACAGATAACACATAGCAGATAACACACAGCAGATGACACACAACATACAATACACAACATACAACACATAACAGATAACACATAACACATAGCAGATAACATACAACAAATTACATTTAAAAGTTTTTACTGAATGCATTAATGGTGGCTATTGTTTGTTTTTCTGACATGAAAACGTCTTTTCACATAACATAACTATAGACAACAAAGGGAAGTAATTGTAAGGAATAGAGAACATCCCTAATGTAACATTCCCACCTACAGATCAGAAAAAGAAGTTAGAGGATTCTGCTGATATGGGTAAATATGTACTGAACATGTCCTAATTACTCACGTTTGTCACAAGGGGAGACAACCCCAGTGTGTGTGATCCTCACCTACACCTCAACCCTAACCCTACCATCCAAGGTGATGAACTCATAGTGGCTAATGATATTGTGTTTGCTTTTCTAATATTGTTATCTGTAAGTAAAAATATGGCTCTTTGAGAGAACTTGCTGTATTTTCGTTTGGTAACTGTGATATTTTATGTGAAATATGTGTTAGCTTTGATTGATATAAACAGTAGGAAAACTGACTGCATGGTTAGTACATACCAACAGTAGCAATCAGAACTCAAGTAAAAGGACTGATTTGTGCAAATAAACGTTGACTTCATCAGAGTTTTTTTTTTTATTTGTGGCAAAATCTTGTCTGACAAATTTTATTAACAATGTAACATCTCAGCATTTCTTAATGACAGTTAAAAAGCATGCAACATTATAGAGATGTACATTTTGTCTGAGTTTTAAATATTTGTGTGAAAATTTGTAACAAAATTAACATTGAGGTGACTTGATGTAACTAATGCCAAAATCACTCTAGAGTTGAATTCTCTTGCAATCTTAAACCAGTTCTAGAAATAATTTTTTTTTTTTTTAAAAATATTGTCTTGAAGATTTTAGTTTGTTAATTCAAGAACAAAAAAAAATGTGTTCTTGTTTTGATTTGTTGTGAAGAAGTAACCAAATTATTCAGAGTGAACAAAGATGAATATTCACAAATATATTTAAAACCATCAAGGTAAAAAAATTAGTTTTTAATGCCTGATTTTGTAGTGATGCTGTTGCTGCATGGTTGACTGTAGTGTGATAATAGCATACCTCATATAACTAAACAAAGTCTCTCACTTACAGCTGTACAGCATGTATGAAATTATAACCTATTTTTTATACAAATGATTACCTTGTAATACAGTGTCCCACTTCATTGTACATGGTACATTCAGCTCTTTATTCCTAAATTTACCAGCTTCTACACGGAGACTCTCCCCAAAAACGATCCTGACTGGTCACGGGTGATAAACCCAGCAAAAACATTCTTGAATTTTTGAAAAAAAAATTTGTAAATTTTAAACAAATTATTGGCAATCTGGAATAAATTGCTTGTCCCACAACAATGATAAATATTGATATCTTTTTATCATATCTAAATGACATCAGCAAGATATTCTATTAGAAGATATTTTAGTAGTGTTCCAGATTAGTATAGCTTGTCCAGCGACATTGGCTTAGATTACCAATTTTATTAAATTTTGCATGTAGCATGCTTGGAAATTAGTCGTATATTTTTTTAAATGTCCTTTCAAAATCTCAACAACATATTTTCCTTAATCAAAATAAAAAGAAAATTCACTTGATAATAACCTACCCTTTTGAAGCTTGTATTTGCCACCAGGCACTCAACTGCTGTCAAGTCTCATTTTCAATAATGAACTTGGCATCACACTGAAGCAGGAATATTGTATGGGTATTATAAATTCTGGTATATTTTTCATTGAAAGAATTTTTTCCTGTGTTAATTGATAGACATAATTAAGAAACCAAGCAGCCCTCGACGCCGCACAAAACTGGAGAAATATCGCCAGGAGCGTGCTGCAGCACAAGTAGGCGAACCTCAGGGCCTCAATGTACGAGATGATGATTTCTTTATTCTCATTGAAGTGGATGACCTCAAGTACCAATTACAGGTGAGGTTAAAGGTCATCACTGGTTGCATCGGATATACACTATAAAGATGGTTTTATTTGAGGATGGAATAAAAATCCAGTGATTAGACATGGACTGAGAAATCATAGTCTGTTTCATGAAAAGTAAAATGGAATGAGAAATTATAGTCCCTTTCATGAAAATATAAATGGACTGAGAAATTAAAGTCTGTTTCATGAAAAATTAGATAGACCTAGAAATTATGGACTATTTCATAAAAAATCAAAATGGACCAAGAAGTTATAGTCAGTTTCATAACAAATAAAATGGACTGAGAAATTATTGTCTTTTTTTATGATTTCTGTGAGAAATGAATTCATTTTTACTTTAAACTTTTGGTAAAACCACAAAAATTTAAACCCTCAAAAGTGACAACCTTGATATATTGTGTAGCATCTTCATCAGCTGAAAGTGTAGATAACAGGATATCTCAAGTTTACCATCCAAATTACTGATTATCAAATCAGACCTCTCTGTTGATTACAAAAAAAAAACAACAAGTCTTAATACAATTGATTTATGTAATCCTAAAGATTAGAAACAATGACTGATGGAAAGAGAGATAATCACAATTTTATTTGATTTTCAGCATTCCCGTATCTCTATAAATTCAATGATGCAATCACCATACCTAGGCGACATGAGTCTTCTGGTGGAGTATTGGCATACAGCATTAAAACAGGTGGAGGAAATCACAGACCTGTGGTACACCTGTCAGAAAAAGGTATACTTCTGTCTTAGTGTAGTACCTCAGTTACACCTGTCAGACAAAGGTACACTTCTGTCTAAGTGTAGTTATTCTAGTGTAGTCATCTTATTGTAATACCTCAGTTACACCTGTCAGAAAAGGGTACTTTTCTGTCTTAGTGTAGTACCTTGGTTACACCTGTCAGACAAAGGTACACTTCTGTCTAAGTGTAGTTATTCTAGTGTAATAACTCTGATACACCTGTTAGAAATAGGACATCCTTGTTTTAGTGTGGTACTCTTAGTGTAGTCATCTTAGTGTGGTCATCTTAGTGTAGTCATCTTAGTGTAGTCATCTTAGTGTAGTACCTTGGTTACACCTGTCAGACAAAGTCACACTTCTGTCTTAGTGTAGTCATCTTAGTGTAGTCATCTTAGTGTAGTCAACTTAGTGTAGTCATCTTAGTGTAATACCTCGGTTACACCTGTCAGACAAAGGTACACTTCTGTCTTAGTGTGGTCATCTGTGTGTAACACCTTAGGTAGAAAAATGTACACATTCACTGCTATCCTAGTGTAAAGATCTTGGGAAAAAAATTGAGAATTACACAACCGTTAAAATGGCATGTTTCTGCATGCACTACCATCTGTTTTTGATAAGAATGTTAAAATAATGTATAATAATTTTTTATATATATTGCGACTAAATCTAAGAATAAAATAAAATTTTCAAAAAAGAAGAATGAATAAGTATTTCTAGGCTTTGTATTATGTGAGAATAGTAATCATTCTAAAGTTTAAATATAAATTGAGAAAATAGTGAATAACATAAATATCCTCAGATTGATTAATGCTGTATTTCTTGATGTTTCTTTGTAGTGGCTTTACCTCCTGAAGATCTTTGAGAGGTCAGAGCTGTACAAGAAGTTTCAGGCCCACAGTCATAAGTTTGAGACAATTCATGGAAAATTTAAGGTAATTTATTGATCCTATCACATCAAGTGTCATCTATTTCAGGACGAATGAATATCACATTTTGACTGTGTAAAATGTTCAGTGATTTTGAGGGCGCTGGTTCAGTTTGCCAACCAGTTATCAAAGTTATCTGAAGGAGAAGACGATAGTTCTTCAAAATGTGGTGTAGAAGAAAGTTGTCTCCTTGTCCTTTATTATATTTGTGTTTCTCACAGAAAGTTTTGTCCTTTGTGTGTTTGTTTTTTTTTTAAAAGAAAGGGACACAATACTGTACTTTATTTCAATGTTGAAATTGTTGTTTCTTAACAGGACTGGATGCGAGTAGTGTCAAATGATTCTAAGATTCTGACAGTGGTGCACAGGAAGAGGGGAGAGAAAGGGTACCGTCTGTTACAGGGAGACAACCTAAGGGCTCTGTTCCTAAATCTCATCGAAAGTCAGGTACAATGATTAATGACTTCTTTTTATAACCCTGCAATTTTATAGGGGTGAGGGGGTCGGGGGGGGGGGGTTATAGAGGGCACAATGTTATAGGGGTGGTGGGGTGAGGGGGTAGGTGGGGGTTTATAGAGGGCACAATGTTATAGGGGTGGTGGGGGTGAGGGGGTAGGTGGGGGGTTATAGAGGGCACAACTTTATAGGGGTAGTGGGGGTGAGGGGGTAGGTGGGGGGTTATAGAGGGCACAACTTTATAGGGGTGGTGGGAGAGGGGGTAGGTGGGGGGGTTTGGTTATAAAGGGCACAACTTTAAAGGGGTGTTGGGGGTGAGGGGGTAGGTGGGGGAGGTTGTAAAGAGGGGATTTGATATTACCCATATCAGTCTGTCATACTCCATTTAAAATGTATCATATCTGGAAAATCTCTTTAGCAGAGCTAACTCCCATTCATTATTTGGATCTGTACAGAGGAGATGAAATTTTACAATTCCCATAGAAAGTAGCTATTTCAGAGGATAATTCTATGCCACTTAAGTACAAGGAAAATTCTTATTCCTCCACAGAGAGATCCAAGCTTATTCCTTAGAAAATAATTTTGTTCTATTTCATCACTAGGAGGAAATCCTCAAACACCTGGAGGGAGTCTTGGAAACATCGAGGATGGAATTTCCTCGTCTTTACTTCCTCAGTAACGATGAGCTCATTGACTTACTTGGAATATCAAGGAATCCAAGGTTAATGCTACCAACTGCCAAGAAATGTTTCCCAGGAGTGGAGTCACTGACTTTTGATCTTCCACCAGGAACCTCTAGTATTAGTACAGAGCTGGACTTTGCCCTCAATGGTATACCTTTTACAAGTCATGTGATCGGACTTGTGGCTTACAGTCATACTTGACATTTCATTGATACTGGAGTATTGAAGAAAAGACAAAACTATTTTTAAGTTCGTGATGAAATATTTCATCACTAATTCTAATAATGGTCTTTGATAGATTAAATATCTATAATTAGAAACAGATCTTACTTAAGATATGTGAGTGAAGAGCACCTATCAGTACAAATTTAGAATTAGACACTGTAGAGCTAAACAGTGGTTTTAACTGTCCATACAGCTATTTTGTGAAATGACAGATGTTAAAGGCCTAAATTTTGAAATCTTGTGAAGAAAATGTCAAAGCCGTGTGTGTGTGTGTGTGGTGCACTTGAGCCATGTAATTCAGCTTATTTCATGACTTTCATGTGTCTGAGAATCAAAGAAGAGCATCAAGTACATGTGTATATTCTAAAGTTCACATCATACATTAAATAAGATGTATGAACAATTTGTGAAAGTATTTCTACATTTTTCCATTTTACAGCGGACAAGTTGGAGGTGACTACCATGCATGGAGCCCTTGGGGAGGAAGTGCCACTCTATACCAGAGTACAAGCATTCCCGAAGGCCACACGCTGGTTCAAAAGTATGGAGGCCATCATGAAAAACACCATGGCACTCATGCTGCAAAAGTGTATACAGGCACGCATGGATGAAGGTAGGGAGATCTTCAATGAAAGTATGGCCATCCAGAGTACGTCAAATTCATTCAATTCTAAAATTTGTTCTGAAAAAGTTAATAAAAAGGAAAGATTTTCTTGAAATAATTTTAAAAATATATATTATTTTTAGGTTCCCGACAGCCAATTCACCTGCTGGAGGAGATCTCGCGTCTGACAACAGAGCGAAGAGGCTCCGAGGAGGAGAGGATCACAGGAGACATCAAACTTACATTCCGACATTGGCTGCTACGTTTCCCAGCCCAGTGCGTCTTAGTGGCAGAGGCCGTCATGTGGGCACGTGCTGTCAACCGTGCACTAGAAAATGGGGAGGCTGATGAATTACATAGCCTTAAGTAAGTATAGGTGTAATGTAAGCACTTTATATACTGTACTAATGATTAAGGTAAAATGTATAAATATGATATACATTTGAATGTACTGTACAGGTGTGATTTATATACTGTACAGGTGAGTTAGGTATGTTATATAGGTGATATATATATATATATGTTGTACAGATGAGATAGGTATACTTTACTTACTATTGTTTTGTCACTAGTGACGTCTATTTTTCTGTGTAGGTCCAGTATAAACTCCAAGTATGATCAGTATGTAGAACTGATACGAGAGAGTTACTCCTTCAATGGATCATTACCAGCTTGTACCAAGCAAAGACTGCATCGCTTGCTGTGTAACCTTGTCACCCAGACCATCCATCAACGTGACGTTCTGGAATGTAAGTACTTACCACTGTTAAATTCAGTGGAACAATTCGAAAATGCGTCCAATAATTTTTTAAAGTTTAAATCTTTCAAATTAATATCTAAAACAAAAGCCTCTTTTTGCTTTCTACAGGTGTGTTGTCATCAGGTTTGGTAGGGACTGGGAACTTTGAATGGCTGAGAGAGATGCACTACCACATTGATATACAAACCGTACTGCGTGCAAAGAGGGAGGAGCTAGAGATACAGCCAGCACCTCCCACCAACCAGACACCTGTCAGTCAACGCAAGGCTGGGCGAGGAAGACGGACTTCTAAAGCTCTGGCTACTAAGGTCCGCGTGGAAACCACTATTGGTATGTACCAAAGTAACCTAGATGATCTTTATTGTATCACAAATCTTTACCTGTCATGTACACAAAGTGGTTTTGTACTGTATATCAAAATTCTGTTTTATAGACAAATTGACTCATTTTGAATAATTCATTTAAATTCATTATCTAATTTTAATGGGTTAATGCAATGGAAATGAAATGCACCCACAATCTGTGATAGGAAATATTACAAGTATTTGTGAAGAAAATATTTATCACAAGTGTATTGTATTGCTTAAATTTTGTGCAATAATTACAGTTAATTGAAAGGTGTATGAAAACATCACGTACCTGATATTTCAGAGGAACCACCCAAGTTGACACGGACTAAGACAGTGGTGTCAACAGACTATCAGTTTGGTCTGTGTTGCGTACAGCAGCTTGGGAATACATTCCAGTATGACTACGAGTACCAGGGACCAGTGAGCCGTCTTGTTCTCACTCCTCTCACACACCGTGCGTTCATCTCTCTCACACAGTCGCTCCGTAACTACCATGCGGGCACACTTGTCGGACCACCAGGTACCGGAAAGTCTGAAACCATCAAGGAACTCGCCAAGGTTTGTCACGGTTTTAACTTCTGTCTTCATGTTGACAAATATGAATGATGAACACGGACATGTACTTATAATAAATTTTCAACATGACAGCAAACACCTTTGACAAGAAATACCATACATTTTATTCATCAGCAGAATTTTTCACACAGTCTTATATCTCTTTTTAAGGGAGAGGTTATGTGTTGTAGATATGTATAGTATATCGTTTGATATGATTTGTCTAGGGATGAACTGTGGTATGTTTGAAGGTTGTCACAATGTTGGATGTGCTCATGATGGTGGGTCATGTGGGTTTAACTGTTGCAGAAATTTATAAACAGTTCTCCAATATGGATAGTCATGTATCCAAAGTGATGACTTGGTTAACTCTTACAGATATTTGGGTGTGCCATGTATACTGTCAATTGTAACGAGGAAATGACAGTTGAAATCATCATACAGATTATGTTGGGCACTGTCCAGTCTGGCTGCTGGACATTATTTGATGACACTGACCGTCTCACACAAGGTAAGTTTATATATTGTTGAAACACTGGTATCTGTCCTAAACTGAAGATTTAATTTTTTGAAGTCAGGAATAGAAAAATACTATATATGGGTATAACATGAACACACGAAATCTAAATAAATCACCACGATCTTGTTATCAGGACTAATGTCCGTGGCAGCCCAGCACCTTGACTACCTTAGGACTGCACTCCGTACTCTTCAGCTATCCAGTGAAAACCAGTACATGATCAGGGGTCAGGCCCGCCAAGACAAAGTACGTATGTAACAAGTAGTGGAAGTAACTCCTCTACAGAGGCAAGCTGTGTGTACAACATAAGTAGGGGAACTAACTCTTTGAAATAGGCAGGATATGTGCTCTTCACAAGAACAAGGGCAGATAACACAACTCTCAAAAGAGAGAAAAGGAAATAACACAACTCCCTATAGGGACAAGGGTAAATAATACATGTAACAAGGACAGGGAGGGGGGAAAACATTTGTAATACAACCTTCAACAAGGACAAGGGGAGATAACAATGCTCCACAGGGACAAAGGGAGATAACACAACACTCCAAAGGGACGAAGATAATTAACACAACTCTCCAAAGGGACGAAGATAATTAACACAACTCTCCACAGGGACAAGGGGAGATAATACAACACTCCAAAGGTACAAAGGTAAATAACACAACTCTCCACAGGGACAAGGGGAGATAACACAACTCTCCACAGGGACAAGGGGAGATAACACAACACTCCAAAGGGACAAGGAGATTAAACAAATCTCCACAGTGATAAAGGTAGATAACACCACTCTCCACAGAGACGAGATGCAACATTACACAGCGAAAAGGGGAAATAACCCAACTATCCATAGAGACAAAGGGAGATAACAATACTGTTCACAGGGAGGAGGGGAGATAACACAGCTATTCACAGGGACAAAGGCAGATAACATAACACTCAGTAGAGAAAAGGGTCAGATAACATTTCATGCACACAAGCCTTCTTCATCACAAATACAGTAAAAGAATCTTTATGATTTGATAAATTGATCTTGTTTGACATAAGAAGTATGCTGGTAAATTAACCTTTTAAATACACTTTGTATGTGATATTAGCTAATCATAAATTTTGTATGGTGTTTACTATAAAAAGCTTTCTCACTTTCCAGAGCCGTTTTCTGTTGGTATGTGACAATATGTAGATAGCTAGGACTGCTTTACTCGGTGAACACTACAGTGGTTACGCTTGCCAATGTCTGCTTTTCCACTGTTGAGACCAAATTCTTTTGCTAGCAGCTTTTGCATGTTAGATATTGCAGTATGATCAGGACTACGATCATAACTATCTATGTCTGTCAGCTGGTTCAATTGTTTATGCATTTTGTATGGGCCCATTTATCTATGCCTCTGCAATGGCCGAAGCTATCTAAACACAGGTGATGGTCCCATTTATCTATGGCCCTGCATTGTCGCCAGCTACCTCTGCCCTCCCTGACCCCTCAACCCCCCACCCCCACCCCACCCCACACAGTGATCGCCCAAGCCATATGTGCCCCTGCCAAGTGTATATATATACCTGCCTTTGCCCAGCTAGCTATGTTGTTGTATATGCTGCAGATATCAATGCCACTGTAAAGACCTCCTTTCTGTCAGAGTGAGTTCATTATCTAAAGTTTAATTGAGTCATCTCGTGCCCAGATGATGTCAGAAGGACTTACAATAAAGCATGCTTGTACAACCCCTTTCTATGTTCTGTCCCAATTTGTTGTGGTTAACTGAGCTGCTTAATGTCTTGAAAGGCAACAGAATATAACTCCTCTCATTCTATGTTCTTCAGTGCCTGCTTTAATTCCATTTCCATCTCCAATATGGAATTCTGAAGAATCCACTTCCATCTTTAGTCCCTGTATTTTTCAATGCCTCAGTGCCACAATAACCAATGTCCATCATTGCTTGCTTTTAGCTCTGGGTTAGATATCCCAGCCCATTATTTCCTTGTTACTTTCAGTGCTCTCAGTACCCATAGTGCACAAACGTTTCCAAGATATGCCCCTTGAATCTCCAGCACCCTCAGTGTCCTCCGTACCCCCTGGATCCTCAATGCCTCCAATGATCTCAGTATTTCAAAGTCTTCAGTGCTCTGACTGTGTCCAGCACCCATTGCCTGTATCCCAGTCACATCCTTGGTGTCACTAGAATCAAAGCCCTTCCAGTGTCCTCTGTGCCCCATGCTTTGCCCCGGTGACCCAAGCACCTCTTGTATAATTTGAATTCTTGTACTTCAAGGTCCCACACTACAGTACCCCTACTGCATTCCAGCACTTTCTTTGTACCCCTGGTACCCCCAGATCCTTCAATGATTACACAACCCAAAAAAGAACCATTTGTTTACTCAACACTACAGTACAATCAGTTACTCAAACACTCATAGACCTCCATTGTCCTCCAAGCTCCAAATAACACCAGAACCCTCCAAATTCTCATCTTCAAGCCTCCAAGTATCTGAACTTCTAGCAGCTCCAATGCATTCTGTGCTGCCAGCACCTCTTGAACCCTCAGTATGTTTGATACCTTCAAGTGCCTCCAATTCTATCTCTCCAGTGCCCTAACTTTCCTCTTTGCCCCTGGGCCCTCAGTACTCCCTAATACCCTCAATACCTTGAGTACCTCAATACATTTGGCATATCCCCTCTCCCAACCTACAGCAGCACATCCAGTATCAACTATACTCTCAGGAACTCCCCCCTACCATGTCCCCCCACAACAGTAACTTCAATACCTCCAGTTCCCTAGTACCCAAGGTACTCCCACCCCCTTCCATCTTCACAATGCATGCTATTTTATTACATTTTAGTTAATAATCAGTGTTTTAGTTGTACGGACACAATTTAAGGTTTTTAATGTGACCAGCTTAAGATATATCATGATCAAGTGAGTTAGGTATTAGGTTACATGACTAAGAGCATGCCACTTTTATCTTGTCTTTTTTATAGTTATTTTCCAAAGTATAATGTATTGAATTTAATGATGGAGGTATGTTAGAAGACATCATTAATTGAATTTCTATAATCAAAATATGTGTCAGGAAAAAAAATATTCTTGAAAAGTTCTTGAAAGTTCTGCTTAAATGTAGGAGCAGAAGAAAGAGCGCTCCTGAATTGAATATGATTTCAAATTAATCCTCTTTAAAGACATCTAGGTTCTAACTCTCCTGTTTCGAGAGTAAGTAGGGTACTTTGTCTGATTTTGATGATTTGTATTGTAGAAAACTGGTGTTGGAGACAAGGTGGTCAGACGTAACTCCTTGACCACTCTCCATCCTCTACCATCAAACATAGGCACAGCTGGTATTGAGCGACAAAACACTGTGCCACATGGATTCAATGTAAGTACTACACACAGAAATCACATTTTAAAACACTGGCTTTTTAGGCTAAACATACTCAGTACACATAGCCTATTGCGACGGCCTTTCAGACAAAATTTACCGATCCTGGCCTTCTCATTGGCTGAAATATCGAAAAGACTTAGAGCCCTCTAGCGGCAATTTTCTGCGTAAATAATGCCGCGATCTTTCAGATCGCTATTTTAAAAGCATCCAAAATTAGTTTTTTTTTATGCCCCCGCCATTTATGGCCGGGGTCATATAGTGTTGCCCATGTCCGTCCGTCCCGTCCCGTCCCGTCCCGTCCCGTCGCATCGCGTCGCGTCCCAAATCAGTATATACCACCTAACAACTTCATTCGGACCTTTCACTATTATTTCACATGGGGGGCGGGGGCATTCATGTCCTACAGACATTTTCTAGTTTTTCATAACAATACGATTACTATATATTTCAAAAAAGAAGCACAGTGTGGTTGAACTATTGATACATTTTGAACAATATATTTTATTTTTTATGAAATCATGAAAAAGAAGTGGCTACCAATTTTAATATAAGAGTTTTAGTTACAATGACATTTACACTTTTTAAAATTTAATTGTATTATCAGGAGAGTTAAAAAAAATGTTGTGTTTCTACAGGAGAAAGGATTAGTTACCTACTTTGAGGATACTTGGATAGCAGAGAAGGACTTGCGACGGCGCCGTCACTCAATAGAAAAGGAAATTGATATTAAGGAGTCAGATCTTTACAAGTCGAATCGTCCGCCACCCCTGTTCTATGAATATGTGCGATCACGCATCAAGAACACAAAACCAACTGCTGATGATTACAGCAGGCTCAACTCTGAGAGAGTTTACACACATCGTTACCTTGGTAACATCATGTTCAATGGAAAGCTTGTTCATGCTAGTGCTAATTTTGGATGCTTCATGACACTTAACACACAGCGGTCTATTGCTGCAGACATGCCAGAGGTGTACAGAGTAGGTACCTGGGGTTATCTCCCTTATGTAAATTTCTGCATTCTTTGGTTAGCAGAGTATTTCATTTCTTTCATATATTTCATTTATCTTTAACTACTAATTGGATTTAGAGATTTATCACACCAGTACATGTCATTTTACTGACATTTAATGTAACATAGACAAGAAAGCTTGTTAACCTGGTATACTACCTTTATATCTGGATTGTGAAATCTTGCATGTAAAACACCATGTTCTGTCTTGAATTCTCAGTAAAGTCTATAAGTTGGATTATTTACAGGGCTCTCACACTCCATTTTGGGACTGGGGCCCAGGGCCCTTAGAATTGGGAAAAATAGCGTTGTTTTCCTTAGAATTGTGAAAACCTGGGGTCTAAATTGGGAAAAAAAGATACTATTTTTCATTGGGAATATCAGCCCCAAATCTGGCAGATCGAGAGCCCTGATTTATAACATGTTTTTTCTCTATGATCCAGTTGCTGATGAGGCCTTGTGCCATGATCATCCCAGACAAACAGCAGATTGCTGAGGTGCTCTTGTGTAATCATGGATTTAAGGAGACAAAGCATTGGGCAAGGAAACTTGACCAGCTCCTTAGGATGTTGAAAATACAGGTAAATTTTCCCCACGTATATCTACTTGAGAATTTCTGAATCTCCATCTACAGATTAAATGAATTTCAGATTAACTCTTTTTCATCAGGCGCAAAAAGTGGGCTACAGATCTAAATCCATTGGCTTCTTAATCTTATCATATCTACAAGGGGTATAAGGACTTTGTAAAAGACTTGGTAATTGATTTTTACATGGCTGGGACCCATTCCTTAATAGATGCACATGTTTTTAATTATTTGATGATGTAAACCTAAAAATTGTTGTAAATTTCAAGAATAAATATCATAAATATTTGATCTTATCTTATTACACATTTGTAATGCAATGAAATTTACCATTTCAGCTACCAAGGAAGAACCACTACCATTTTGGGGTGAAGGATTTGAAAACCATCCTCATATCTGCGTCCAATGCTCTACATAACACAGCATTCTGTCGTCACTTCACAGCAATCTCAGGTATTCTACATGTAAAAAAAAAAAAAAAATAGTGATAAATCTTTGACTTCTATCATATAAGTGGGAAAAAAACTAATTGAACTTATCAGTATCTATGGCTACAAGGTGTTAGTTTCACTGAGTGACTTTAGATGAACAATGGTCAGTGATAATTCTATAGTGGCGTTGATATATAACCAGATGGACAATAATTAGGTCAAGCTGATGAGCAGTTCCTGTGAAAAAAACTTGTCAGATGAACAGATGATTGGCAAATTAACAAAAACGTTTGATATGTAGTATTACTGTTATATCTAACAGAACCAAACTCTCCAAGATCAGGATCCAGCAGCACTCCTACGTCACCAAAAAGTCCTCAACCACAGTCACCACGGAGTCCTGACATCTCTAGCCCATCACCGCGGGAGAAACCACAACCCATCCCCCAGACCGCATCAGAACGTAGAAATCTGGAGGAACATTGTCTGGTACATGCACTGCGGAACATCTTGTTGCCAGCCTTAGAGACGGATGAAGATAGAGACATATTTACCAGTAATCTCCGTAACGTGTTCCCAGCAAGTTCTAACAACATGGACACTACAACCTCTTTCAATACATTAATGAAGAGGACTGTCCAGGATCAACTGAAGGAAGACAGCCTAGCTGAATCTGAACCACTTCTTCACAAGGTAAGTCACACTGCCTTACTTATGTTAGACAGCCTGACAGATTCTGAACCACTTCTTCACAAGGTAAGTCACACTGCCTAACTTGTGTTAGACAGCCTGACAGATTCTGAACCACTTCTTCACAAGGTAAGTCACACTGCCTGAACATTTACCCCCATAGTGTAACTTACAGTTCTACACTTTATCTGATTTCTAAAATGTTGTCATCGGTCAATGTTAAAGAGTCAAAAGTTAATTCAACAACTTCTACAAATTCAAATGAAATCAATTCTTATATACATGGGACAGTTAGCATTCATGTCTTACAGGTATGTTTAGATTCATATATGCTTTGTCCACAGATCCTACAGTTAAACACAGCCCTCCAGATGAAGAAGAGTGTGATTCTGTGTGGACCAGCAGGCAGTGGGAAGACAACCTGTTGTACAACGCTGGGCAGAGCCTACAACAGACTCAACTATCTGTTATTTGCCCCGGATCACTCCAAGGATGAACTCAACACTGACTTTGTCATCCATGGCAAGCAGAAAAAGAAACTACGGGTAGGTCTAGATTTGTCTGTGGATTTAACATACGCATTACTGTTTAACTCTAGTTAATGGATAAATGACAAGATACCGTTATTTTCTACTGTAACCATTGTTATCAGGTAGATGTCATTAAGGTCAAGGTCATCATGCACTTGTATAATGCTTGTGAGTTAAAGGTTATGTGTACATGTGTAATGTGTTAACTCTAGGATGAACAGGAGGAGGACCCTGGGGAACTGGCAGACAGTGAGGGAGAGGAAGAGGAGGTATCATATTGCACACCTTCACCATTGTTGAATTTTGCATATTTTTCACTGCATGCTGCTCCTAGTTGCACTATGTCACCTATGTCTAGAGTGGTTAAGGCTGGCACTAGAGTTAAACATGCTACATAATCAAAACATGTATTTCAGTCCCAGTCATGTTTGTCTGAAAGTGTCTCCTAGATATGCTAGCCTTAAATGATATAGGATTTTACTAATACTAGACAGTTTCCACATAAAGCATCAACACATCATGGCGTGGGAGTGTCACGTCACTGTTTTGTTAAAACTCCAAAGAGTTTTATGTTTTATTAAGAGAATTTATTTGTGTCTTGGTATATTTTCTTCTGGTCGGTAATGTGTATTGAACTGATGTTCCTATATCACAACCAGTCAGAATATTATGTGTGATGTTTCAATGACTGTACTGTCACCCCCGTCAGACAAATGACCAGTATGAAGCATATTTGCACTGGAAAAGAATATATGAATCAGTCGTAAAATCACAATGCTGTTCAGCGGTATTATAATCTTATGTACACTTAGATGGAATGTAGTTTGATGAGATGGTGATAAAGGTGTTATGATATTGTTTAAATACATATTGGAAAAATATAAAAAATTGTTTAAAATAAAACATGACCTTGTCGTTAATAAAATTAGGGGCTTGATTTTTTACCATACATTTCAGTTTGGTGTAAAAGTGATACTAATTATATATATATATATAGTCGTTACAAATCCATCACAGTCTTCCCCAGTGTGTAAAGATACACTTATTTTTTCATCATCACAAAGAACAATGTCTTGATAAGCCAGTTTTACAAATCCATTCCGTATCAACTTTCTACTAACTCTCTGTTGTAGTGGAGATTTTTGTCCCATCCTGAATCAGATTGTCATCTCTCTAACTAAGTAATTTTTTTCAGGGATTTCTTAAAAATAAATTGAGACTAAGGAAGGTTCCTTAGATAATTTTGTGTGAAAGACTTCCAAGGTCAAGATCATCATTACTTTTCCTAGAATTTTGTCAAACAATGATACTTTTTGTGTCGCCTGCAGAGCTGATGGACACTTAGGGATCACTTTGTCCATCGTCACGCCTCAGCGGTGGCGGCGACAGCGTCGTCCATACGAAAGCTTTCCAGACTTTTTTTGCTTATGCTTTGAGTTATCGAAATGAAATTTGATATATGGCTTCTTGTTGCAAGGGTACAGATTAACTTTGATTGCTGGCTGTCTGTGACCCTTCTTGGCTGAGTTATGACCCTTTGAACTTTGAAAATTCTCTGGGAATATTGTTTTCTTGACTTTCTTTGGTTATGCTTCAAGTTATAGAAATGAAATTTGGTATTACAACTTTATGGTTGATCGTTGCATATCCAGTTCAATTTCTGGGTGACTGTGACACTTTATGCAGGTGACACATACAGTTCTGAGGAACTCTTGTTTCTTAGAAGCAAGGGCATTAATTTTCTATTAAAAACATTTTTTTCATAGGAACGGGGGCATTCATGGTTTTTCATTAAAATATTTTGTATAGTTTAGTCATTTTTTTTCTGAGGAGCAGGGTCATTCAGGTTTTTATCAAAGATATTTTTTTAGTTTTCTTCATATCATTAACAAATTTTTCCTGAATAACCAAGAGTAACTTGATCAGTCTGGGAAGAAGGTTTTTTTTTCAGTTTTGACCGTCTTTTGAAGCCAACAGAATGAAATATGTTTGAATCTTTATTTCCCTCTGATTAACTCAGTGGACCAGGGCTACATTGATCGCTTGCTAGTATGAAGAGTTTTCCAGCTTGTCCTGATGAACAAAGTTGATCAATGCTGTTTAAAATTGCAAGTGTATATAAGATAGACTTTTCTCATAAACAAAAATACAGGTGTCATTTATTGATATTTAGCATATTTAGATAAATTTATGCTTGACACATTGCTTGTGCGTATGGAATAGAAAATACATAAGTGATGCCAGTGCATGTTAAATATATACTGTCAGTGTTGTGCTCCTTCTTATTGTAATTCTCAGGTTTTGAGCAATCAAGAAATTTTATGCATGGCCTCTTCTTTCTGTCATGCTTTGGTTTCCATGGAGATATCTGCCTTAAAATGGTGGAATTTTTACCAACTTTTTATGAACAAAATTCAAAATCTAATTTCGTCTTATTGTCATTTCCACATATAGTTGATAAGTCTGTCTTATCATGTTAGATTTTGTCACAAATACCAGCGTGCCTATATTGACCAAGTTAGATACATACTGGCCAGTGCTTGGCTATGTTTGACAGCATCATTCCTCCAGATCACAACTTCATATGTCCTAGATATAATTAGCACTTTAATTCCTATTTGCTTTTTAACTGCACTACATAATACGATAAATTCATACATAATTTTTATTTATAGTTTGTGTAGGATATTATCTTGAAAGCATGCCATGCTTGTTGACCAGTAATTTATAATATTAACGAATTCAAATAATTATGAAAATGGAGAGTTTGTTTTATTCAAGCAGTTTAAGCAAAGCTATGATTTTACCTTATTTTAAAATATTGAAATTAAGGTCATATTTCTTTGAATGAATATTTTTGATGCTGTTGGTATGCAAGGTTTTAAAAGACTCTCTACTTGGTATCCAGACCAGGTATTGTTTTAAAAGACTCTCTACTTGGTATCCAGACCAGGTATTGTTTTAAAAGACTCTCTACTTGGTATCCAGACCAGGTATTTATCAATTCTAAAGTAATTGTTAGATAGCACATCTTTTGATCGGCTAAGAACATGAGAGCGACTGTTTCAAACAAAACTTAGCAGCTCTTAGTTTTTGTTGGACTTCGTTGACATTGGGACGGCTGAATCACTTTTAGACTCAATTTTTTTTTATGTTAAAACCAAATGCATGATCTAATCTCCAGTACATGCATTAAAAACAAGCAAACTATCCCCTAAATAGATCATGAATTTTGTTATTTAAGCACTCAATTGCATCTCTTCTTAACACCAAAATTTATGATCTGCTCTTCATTACATGTAAGGAAACAAATATTCTATCCCTTAATTTAGTGGGACAGCATCATAGCTAAATTGTTGAGTATTGATAAAGATTAGATACGAATGCTGTCTCTCCCATGTTGACCCTTATTTACCCTACCTACAGATTGTGGAAGAGATGGAGAAACAAATTCCAGAAAAGAAGGCCACCAAGAAACTACGTAGAATGTCGAGACTTCTCGGAAAAGTTTCCGATGCCATGCAGGAGCTGCAGGCATCACGTCCGAAGGATTTTGCTGAACATCCCAAAGTAGACATCATACGTTTGTCTCCTACAGCCCTCCCACCCAGCCAGGTAAGTTATATGTCCAATGTCCCCTACTGCCTTCCGGCCTAGCAGGTAAGTTACATGTCCCATGTCCCCTACTGCCTTCCCACCCAGCCAGGTAAGTTACATATCCCATGTCCCCTACTGCATTCCCACCTAACAGGTTAGTTACATGTCCCATGTCCCCTACTGCCTTCCCACCCAGCCAGGTAAGTTACATATCCCATGTCCCCTACTGCATTCCTGCCTAACAGGTTAGTTACATGTCCCATGTCCCCTACTGCCTTCCCACCCAGCCAGGTAAGTTACATATCCCATGTCCCCTACTGCCTTCCTGCCTAGCAGGTAAGTTACATGTCCCATGTCCCCTACTGCCTTCCCACCCAGCCAGGTAAGTTACATATCCCATGTCCCCTACTGCATTCCTGCCTAACAGGTTAGTTACATGTCCCATGTCCCCTACTGCCTTCCTGCCTAGCAGGTAAGTTACATGTCCCATGACCCCTACTGCCTTCCAAATTTTTTCAGGTTAAGTTACATATCCCATGTCCCCTACTGCCTTCCCAATTTTTCAGGTATGTTACATAAACTAAGTTCTCTACAGCCTTCCTTACAGTTGTTGTATACCTCCAGCTACCTGGTCACTATAAAGATGAGGTAAATATGGCTGATATTTACAATTGTTGTATACCTCCAGCCACCTGGTTACTATAAAGATGAGGTAAATATGGCTGATATTTACAATTGTTGTATACCTCCAGCTACCTGGTCACTATAAAGATGAGGTAAATATGGCTGATATTTACAATTGTTGTATACCTCCAGCCACCTGGTTACTATAAAGATGAGGTAAATATGGCTGATATTTACAATTGTTTTATACCTCCAGCCACCTGGTTACTATAAAGATGAGGTAAATATGGCTGATATTTACAATTGTTGTATACCTCCAGCCACCTGGTCACTATAAAGATGAGGTAAATATGGCTGATATTTACAATTGTTGTATACCTCCAGCCACCTGGTTACTATAAAGATGAGGTAAATATGGCTGATATTTACAATTGTTGTATACCTCCAGCCACTTGGTCACTATAAAGATGAGGTAAATATGGCTGATATTTACAATTGTTGTATACATCCAGCCACCTGGTTACTATAAAGATGAGGTAAATATGGCTGATATTTACAAATGTTTTATACCTCCAGCTACTTGGTTGCTATAAAGAAGGGATGTGGTGTGGAGGATTATTCCCTAAATTACTACAAGATAGCAGTTTCCTTTCGGATGCTGTCAAGTCATACATCACCTCTCTCAAGGACCGCAAGAACAAAGGTCAGCATGAGGTCCCATCTGTCTTACTTCGCTGGCTCGTATTGGATGGCGTGATGCACCCAACCTGGGCTGATAGTCTCAACACACTGTTTGATGAGGAGAAGAAGCTGTCAACACCCAACAGTGGAGGCATCCACCTTCAAGGTAAATACATTTTTGCTTACACCCAAGACTTCTACTTTCAAGGTAAATTCCATTATTACCTTCTCCCAACTGTGGGGCTTCAACCTCCAGGACAGGGCCTTCATCCATAAATACATGTAATTTTATCATACGGACACTCATTCACCCACTACATGATGGTCAATGTAGAATATTTACAAAATCAACATGGACAAGACCTTTCTGTACCAAGTCTTCAGTTACAGGTTGTTTATACAGAGGGAATGCTGATAATGTCAGAAAGACTTGCGTTTTATTAATCCTGTTGATATTGAAGACATACTTAACAATAAACAAATTATTTAACAGACACTACAGCACTGATGTTTGAGACAAGTGACCTAACAGAAGCATCACCTGCGACGGTCACCCGCTGTTCCATTCTACACTTCAGTCAGGACACTGTCCAGTGGAAATCTTTGTTTGACCGCTGGTTGAAGACAGCAAAAAGTCGTTGGGTGATCACTTCCACAGTGTAAGTCTTCCGCAACGAATTCTACAAATTTATTAAAATAATGATGAATTTGACACTAAAATTTCACTTATATGATCTTAAAGTTGACTTATAAATGAATCTAGATTTTTTCCCCGTTAATAAATGGTCTAGTTATCAGATTTCACAATATTGTAGCTAACAGATGTAACATTTGTAAACCTTAAACACTTAGTGAGATAACTTGGTGATCTGTTATAGGATGAAGGTATGGGAGGACTTGGTGCGAGATGTGTTTGGTCCCACGCTCCGTTTCCTACGCCAGGAGTGCTGCCCAGCCCTACTCACGGATGTTGGCCACACTGCTGCCCAGGCTAACCAGGTGGCACCAGGTATCCAGGAAGTCAGCACTTTCCTCCGCTACATGACTGCCTTATTGGATAAGGGCTTCCTCCGCGAGGAGTTGGAGCAGCGAGAGATACAAGCAGAGATGGACGGTAAAGTCACAAAGTCAAAATAAACATCAAGATGGGTGGGTAGAATTTTGGGGTCAAATTGAACACTAATGGATGGTGAGGTCAAAAGGGCAAAGTGTACACTGAGATAGGTTGGTAAAATGTTGGGGTCAAAGTGAACACTGATGGATGGTGAGGTCAAAAGGTCAAAGTGTACACTGAGGTAGGTGGGTAAAATGTTTGGGTCAAAGTGAACACTGAAGGTTACAAGGTCAAAATGTACTCTATGGTGAGAGATAAAGTCTCCAGATCAAATGATAAGACTTGTAAAGTGTAAGCAGATGAAAGAAAGGGACAAACTGTATTATATCATAGATTTTGCATGTGGCAGGTTTAATAAACAATAATAATTATTTCCGTGAACATACGTGTTACAGATGCAGGGAAGAAGTCTCCAACCAGCAGTATTATGACTTCTCAACACACTGCCAGCCGTTTGACAGGGAGCTCACACATTGAACAACTCATTCCTAACTATCTTGAGATACTTAAAGGTGTATTTGCCTTTTCGTACGTCTGGGGATTTGGCGGTCACATCCACGAAAGGTGCGTCTTCACATCATTGTTACGAATACAGAGGTACTGTAATTAGGATTTTTGATGTTTGTGATATACAACAGATATCATGGAATACATATATTCGGTGGGCGGGTGGCGCAGTGATACCACACTCGTCTTTAACCTAGTCATCAGGGGTTTGATTCCAAGAATGGATTTGGAAAGGTTGGCTGATCATGTGGGTTTTTTTATATATTCCCTTTTCCTAAAGCCCTTCAAGTGCTTACATCCCGGCCAACAAGAGTGATTAGTATTAAGTTGAAATAACTTGGTTCATAATTGTTCTAAAATAAATAAATGAAAATTTATATTTACTGTTCCTGTTTATAAGATATTAATCATATATTTATATATTTATCTGCTGTGAGCCCATGCTTGTTGATAAGCCCATCCATATGTAATATTGCTGTTCAGTACTGTTATTAACCTATATTTTTTCGCTGTCATGTAATAAGCCCACCCCTTGACTTTCAGTAATAAATCAACCGTTGGCCCCTCGACAGGACAAGATAAATATGATAAGACATGTACAGTATTTAGAATACATATGTAATGTTTGTTATTTACATACTGTGTATGAGAATCACAATATATAACATGTATGATGTTTATAATAAAAAGAAGAAATGTATGACAAAGTATGAGATGATTGTAAATATTTTAATCTTTGTGTAACAGAGAAGAGGATATTAGAGAGATGGTTCTCGGAACCAATTCAAATTGAGTGATTCATGAAACATTTTCTTATTCTTTTGTTCAGGTTTAAAGACAAGTTTAGCAAGTTTTCCCACGATGCTCTGTATCGAACTTCACACCCGGTGCGGATCCCTATGATGGGATCTGTGTATGACTATTGTTTAGATGAGACGACAGGAACTTTCATTCGCTGGAGTGATAAACAGCAGGAGCGCACAAAGATCATGGCTGGAGGCTTTACCTTAACAACAGAGGTTAGTTCGAAAATTTTGTCTGAATGAGTGTATCATGATACATGAAGAAAAAATTATGTAATCATCAATGTTACAATATGTTTGGCTAATATAATTATAAGTAATGATATATTACTTACTGACTTATATAGTAAATAATCTATATTTTTTTACAGGTGGAGAAGTACACTTACCACATAGACCTTTTACTGGGTGCCTGTCATCCGGTCCTCCTTGCAGGCAATCCAGGTGTAGGCAAAACTACCCTCATACAGGTAAATCATGTCATACAGTAATACTGTCCAACAGGTAGATAGCTTCATACAGAAATAGAATGGCTTAAAGGTAGCTAGCTTTATACTGGTAAATACTGTCCAACAGGTAGATAGCTTCATACAGAAATAGAATGGCTTAAAGGTAGCTAGCTTTATACTGGTAAATACTGTCCAACAGGTAGCTTCATACAGAAAGATGATGTCATAAAGGTAGCTAGCTTTATACTGGTAAATACTGTCCAACAGGTAGATAGTTTCATACAGAAAGATGATGTCTTAAAGGTAGCTAGCTTTATACTGGTAAATACTGTCCAACAGGTAGCTTCATACAGAAAGATGATGGCTTAAAGGTAGCTAGCTTTATACTGGTAAATACTCTCCAACAGGTAGATGAAATCATACAGGTAGATACCATACAGGTAAATAATGTCCTATAGGTGTATAGCTTCATACAAGGGTATGCTCTACAGGTAGATACCATACAGGTAGATAATGCTCTACAGGTGTATAGCTTCATACAAGGGTATGCTCTCCTACAGGTAGATACCATACAGGTAAATAATGCTCTACAGGTGTATAGCTTCATACAAGGATATGCTCTGCTACAGGTAGATACCATACAGGTAAATAATGCTCTACAGGTGTATAGCTTCATACAAGGGTATGCTCTACAGGTAGATACCATACAGGTAAATAATGCCATACAGGTATATAGCTTCATACAAGGGTATGCTCTCCTACAGGTAGATACCATACAAGTAAATAATGCTCTACAGGTGTATAGCTTCATACAAGGGTATGCTCTACATGTAGATACCATACAAGTAAATAATGCTCTACAGGTGTATAGCTTCATACAAGGGTATATGCTCTACAGGAAGATACCATACAGGTAAATACCTTACAGGTAAATAATGTCCTAGTGATAGATAGCTTCAGATATCTTCATACAAGTATATAGCTTCTTGTAGATTCATACTGTTAAACAATTCTACAACTATCATGAAATGAAACAATTGTCTGTATTAATGTTTACCTGTGTTATAGGCTTGTTTACCTGTGATGTCCTTGTTTACCAGTGTTTACCTGTGATGTCCTTGTTTACCAGTGTTTACCTGTGATGTCCTTGTTTACCAGTGTTTACCTGTGATGTCCTTGTTTACCAGTGTTTACCTGTGATGTCCTTGTTTACCTGTGATGTCCTTGTTTACCTGTGATGTCCTTGTTTACCAGTGTTTACCTGTGATGTCCTTGTTTACCAGTGTTTACCTGTGATGTCCTTGTTTACCAATGTTTACCTGTGATGTCCTTGTTTACCAGTGTTTACCTTTTATGTCCTTGTTTACCTGTGTTTACCTCTGATGTCCTTGTTTACCAGTGTTTACCTGTGATGTCCTTGTTTACCAGTGTTTACCTGTGATGTCCTTGTTTACCAGTGTTTACCTGTGATATTCTTGTTTACCAGTGTTTACCTGTGATGTCCTTGTTTACCTGTGTTTACCTGTGATGTCCTTGTTTACCAGTGTTTACCTGTGATGTCCTTGTTTACCAATGTTTACCTGTGATGTCCTTGTTTACCAGTGTTTACCTGTGATGTCCTTGTTTACCAGTGTTTACCTGTGATGGCCTAATTTACTAATAGTTACCTGTCTTATCACCAACAGAACATGATCCTGCCGAAGCACAGCTCCACCAGCATCATTATGTCACGCAGTATGTCCTCCGAGCTTTTCCAACACACCATGGTAGCTCAGATCCTAGAGCTCAAACACAAAACATCAAATGTATTAACCGGACCTGGTGGGACCAGTTCTCCACCCAAGTCTCAACAGTACCACCTCTTCTTTGTTGATGATCTCAGTCATGCTCAGTGCTATGAAAGTAAGTAATACCAGCAGGTGAATCAGATGTAAGAACTGGTAAAATGCAACTATTTGCCTTAAGTTATAGTCTTAGAGGGATGGCATTATACTCTGATAGAAAATCATAGTCTACCCAGGGTAGGAGGGAAGACTTTATACTCTGATAGAAAATCATAGTCTACCAAGGGTAGGAGGGCAGACTTTATACTCTGATAGAAAATCATAGTCTACCAAGGGTAGGAGGGCAGACTTTAAGGGTAGGAGGGCAGACTTTATACTCTGATAGAAAATCATAGCCTACCCAGGGTAGGAGGGAAGATTTGATACTCTGATAGAATATCATAGCCTACCCAGGGTAGGGGGGCAGACAATATAGATTGAAAGACTTGGAGGGAAGATAATATGCTGTGATATCATCTATTAGAAAAGAAAATATATGTGTAATTTGATAAGAAAATCTTCTCAAAATAGATCATATTAATTCAGTATACACATGATTAGCTATTTTTGTGAGAGGGACCATGATGTGATCTATACATTATTTCTATATAAACATAACAATGACAATGATAATAATGTGTTTCAGGCTATCAGCCTCCACTAGAGCTACTCAAGCAGGTGTTATCAGAGGGAGGTACATACGACCAACAACGTCAGGAGTTTCAAGGCATGGAAGAGGCACTTTTCCTGACAGCAACCACCCTTCCCAGTGTACCAGGTATTATAATTAAATGGCATTTACATGTTGTTACTAGCTACTTTAAAGGATATTGAGTGAAAACAGCATCTCACTTCTGTGTATCAGAATGAAACAACATGCAAAATGGGCAAATTATCTCCCTTGTTTTGGTAACACAGGAATATTTTAATGAGATTTCAATTCTCCAGTACATTGTAATGTGACATGACACTGAAGATAAAAGAAATGTATATGTATGTCTTTTAAAGTTTTGAATAAAATCTTTCCAATTTTTTCTTTAAGGTTCAGGGATGGGTAGATCATGTCATGTGATGTCGTCACGCCTGACACGACTGTTTGTGACGCTGACTCTGTTTACCCCAGCTCTAGATGGCCTGCTCAGTATGTATGGTCGCAGTCTACAGAACTGGCTGGAGGAATTCCCCACCTACTCTGTGGAACACCACTTTGAGTTTGCTCGGGTAAAGACACTGAAATATCATACTTTATCAGTTTGTCTCTTTTGTTATGAAGTGAAAGGATTCAAAATGGTAAATTTATAAAATCTGCAAAAAACTTGTTATTAGATTATTTAACACAGGAGTCAAGGAATATGATGCATCTGAAAATAACTCAGGTCCTGATCTGTAGTGAGAGTGGGCTCACTTTATTACGACTACTGTCCCTCTTCTCTCTCTCTGTTGTTCTGTGTTGTGAGTGTTCCTTTTTTTGTAAGAGTTATCTCCCTTGTCATAGGCAATGACCCTTGCCCTTCTGGAGATGTACCACCGTATTAAGGAGAAATTCCGCGCCACACCAGCTAATGCCCACTACATCTTCACACTTCATGACATTTCTCGTGTTGTCCACGGAATCCTTCTCATGTCTCCGAGGTCAAGGACACGTAAGATGATGAGACGGAAAAAGGATGGCCATAACGATTCCCGTGAGTAACACAGAAATATTAAAGGTCTGTATTGAAAATATCTAAAATGATAACTAACTCTTCTATAACTTTAAGCTTGTGAAATGGTTAACATATTGCTGGATGATTTCTGCTGTTTTGTATTGTTAAAGGTGGTAGCCGTAGTAACCAGGTGTCTCGCCAGACTTCCTGGGAATCACGCTCACGCTCAGTCAGCATGGCCAGTGGTGCTCAGCCACAGGAGACAGCTGCTCCCATGATGAAGGTCATTGCTCAGCTGTGGTGTCACGAGTGCACAAGGACATTTGCTGACCGTCTAGTCACAGAAGATGGTAAGTCTTACTATGTCATAAATTTTTTGGTTAAACAGGCTACACAGCTTTTTACTGTAATTGTAGCTAGCTTCTGTTTCATATCCTGTGCTGTAACTATTGAATTTTGTTTCAGAGCTCACTTTCTAGATTTAATTGTTTAAAATTTTAATTGCATGGCTCTGTTTGCTGTTTCAAATTTGAATCGTTAGACACCAGCTGCTGTGTCAGATTTTAATTGTCAGACTCCAATTGCTGTTACAGATTTCAAATGTTAGACACCAGCTGCTGTGTCAGATTTTAATTGTCAGACTCCAATTGCTGTTACAGATTTCAAATGTTAGACACCAGCTGCTGTGACAGATTTTAATTGCTGGACACTGGTCTTTGTTTCAGATTCTAACTGGTTTTCACGTATAATTGAAGACACTGTGATGAAATACTTTTGTATGGCCCGGGATGATCCTAAGACTGAAATGGCTGCCATCTCTGAGGAGACAGTCTCTCAGACGGTAATGGATGTGTTGTTTATGTTTTCTACCACCATTTTGATTATGTTATTTACTCTAGATTCAGTTGTTGTATCATGTTTCCTGATGTGTAGAACTGTGTGTGAAATGTGTGTAGCACCATGTTTGAATATTTGTGACTGTATCATGTTTCCTGGTGTGTAGAACTTTGTGTGAAATGTGTGTAGCACCATGTGTGAATATTTGTGACTGTATCATGTTTCCTGGTGTGTAGAACTTTGTGTGAAATGTGTGTAGCACCATGTGTGAATATTTGTGACTGTATCATGTTTCCTGGTGTGTAGCACCATGTGTGAATATTTGTGACTGTATCATGTTTCCTGGTGTGTAGCACCATGTTTGACCATTTGTTCTTTTGATACAGGGTCGGGTTACACCACAGACAACATCTCCCCTCCCTGTATCACCAGTTGAGGATGAGGAGGAGGAAGAAGAGACAAGAGAGGTCAGACTAGAAAATCTACCAAAGTTGGAGAAAGTGAAGGAAGATGAGGAGGAGGAGGAAGAGGATGTGAAATCTCAGTCACAGACACTGACATTCTCTGTGTCACAGTCCCAAACTCAGAGTGACGATCTCGCCAACACGACCCCTGTCACAAACAAAACAGGTTAGTGTTCTTATGTAACTGAAAACGTTGCTGATATTCAGCAAGACAGGTGGAAGTTCTTACATCTTACATAATTACTGACAATACAAATGTTTGTTATTTTTATTTGATATCCATGATATTACAACAGTGAACTTGTCAACTTTATTTGTTTTACAACTATGGTGAAACAAGCTTACAGTTTAACAATAATTACTCTTGTTGGCCTGGTTTGAAGTGCAGGCTGAAGGGGTCTTACTGTGGGAGAAAAAAGCATGTGTTTCTGGGAAAAACCCATGTGGTAGGCAGGTGACCCCTTGATTGTATGTATAAGTCTGAACAGGGAATCGAACCCTGTTCCCTATGATAAAAGGTAAATATGTGACCACTGTACCACCTGATATTTGTTTAGTTTCTGTGTTCTGATCTAATTACTCTGTAGATTATGGATTGTGTACCAGGTAGATTATGTAATATCAAACAAAATGTGAGGTTTTAATCTGAACAAGAGGAGTATGGTAACACATAGAAAGAATGAGGAAAGATATTTTTCACAAACGTTGACAGATTGTGGTTGTAACCTGGTATTTTATTAATCAACAGATGGCGCTGAAACTATGGCATCTGTTCGTACTGAACCACGTGGAGAGAGCGAGTCGGAGGACTACGAAACAGAATGTTCTGAGGAAACGGAGGAAAGCAGTGATACAGAAACTACAGAGACAGAAACAGATACTTATGATACTCCCAGAGGTAAGTTTTGTTTGGTTTATTGGTTATCTACAATATACCCAGTGGTTAATTTGTTATCTACAATATACCCAGTGGTTAATTTGTTATCTACAATATACCCAGTGGTTAATTTGTTATCTACAATATACCCAGTGGTTAATTTGTTATCTACAATATACCCAGTGGTTAATTTGTTATCTACAATATACCCAGTGGTCAATTTGTTATCTACAATATACCCAGTGGTCAATTTGTTATCTACAATATACCCAGTGGTTAATTTGTTATCTACAATATACCCAGTGGTTAATTTGTTATCTACAATATACCCAGTGGTTAATTTGTTATCTACAATATACCCAGTGGTCAATTTGTTATCTACAATATACCCAGTGGTAAATTTGTTATCTACGATATACCCAGTGGTAAATTTGTTATCTACGATATACCCAGTGGTAAATTTGTTATCTACAATATACCCAGTGGTTAATTTGTTATCTCTGATATACCTAGTGGTTTATTGGTTATCTACGACATACGTTGTGGTTTAGTTGGTATCTGCAATATTTACAACGATTTACATATTGTAGGGCCATTGTTTATATTTCCATTTGTTGTTCATAGATGTTGACCCTAAAAACCTGTCTCAAGGAGTGTCCACTCGCCGCAGCAGTCGGGAATCGTCAGGCATGACAGGTAGGTCATTTGCCATTTTGGTCAGTGTGTCCAGAGTTTGTGCAGAGTGGTGAATTTTTTGTCATTGATGTAATCCATTTTGATTATTCCTGAGCGCCTTAAACCTTTCCCTACCTTAAGAATCTCACAAAATTTATACATAACCGTTCAGCCACATGACAATATGTAGAGGAAAAAAAGTTTATTCATGTCAATTTCACACATAAAAACATGGGCTTTACAAATCTGTATCAAGTGTTTATAAATCAAAGGATTGAAGACAAGACTCACCAGTCAATAGCATCTTTTGATACAAATCTGAGATAAGGTATTCATGAGACTGCATCATACAAACCCTCTTGGAATGATCAGCGATGCTAGGGTATTGAGAAATAACAGGCAACTGATGAAGGTCAATTTTGATTGAAATAACTGTCAGAATGTTTATCGAGGTGTGTGCACATACTCCAATTCAGTTGATTCAATTTTATTTTTTTCAATATTGGTTTTTTATAAAGAATGTCTAGTACAAAATGTATTTACAGAATTATGGTGATGTTCGATATGGTATAGTGTATTTAAGCCTAAATCCTTCAATATTTGTGTGTTCCTACCTGTGTGTTCACATTTACCTTGTATGTATTACTAAAGTGTTTGTGCACTCTAACATGTGCACTACCACTCACAATTTTTGTCCCCATACACGTGTGAACCTTTCACTTCAGACTCCAGCACACGTAGCACAGATACTAGTGTTGGTCGGGAAACACCAAGACTTATCCACAAAGCCTCATCTGAATCTGGTCGCTCCAGTAGAGGTAAGTCGCACCAAGCCTGATCAGAATCTGGTCGCTCCAGTAGAGGTAAGTCACACCAAACCTGATCAGAATCTGGTCACTCCAACAGAGGTAAGTCACACCAAGCCTGATCAGAATCTGGTCACTCCAACAGAGGTAAGTCACACCAAGCCTGATCAGAATCTGGTCCCTCCAGTAGAGGTAAGTCACACCAAGCCTGATCAGAATCTGGTCACTCCAGTAGAGGTAAGTCACACCAAGCCTGATCAGAATCTGGTCCCTCCAACAGAGGTAAGTCACACCAAGCCTGATCAGAATCTGGTCCCTCCAACAGAGGTAAGTCACACCAAGCCTGATCAGAATCTGGTCCCTCCAACAGAGGTAAGTCACACCAAGCCTGATCAGAATCTGGTCCCTCCAACAGAGGTAAGTCACACCAAGCCTGATCAGAATCTGGTCCCTCCAACAGAGGTAAGTCACACCAAGCCTGATCAGAATCTGGTCCCTCCTCAACAGAGGTAAGTCACACCAAGCCTGATCAGAATCTGGTCCCTCCAACAGAGGTAAGTCACACCAAGCCTGATCAGAATCTGGTCCCTCCAACAGAGGTAAGTCACACCAAGCCTGATCAGAATCTGGTCCCTCCAACAGAGGTAAGTCACACCAAGCCTGATCAGAATCTGGTCACTCCAACAGAGGTAAGTCACACCAAGCCTGATCAGACAGAGGTAAGTCACACCAAGCCTGATCAGAATCTGGTCCCTCCAACAGAGGTAAGTCACACCAAGCCTGATCAGAATCTGGTCCCTCCAACAGAGGTAAGTCACACACACCAAGCCTGATCAGAATCTGGTCCCTCCAACAGAGGTAAGTCACACCAAGCCTGATCAGAATCAGAGGTAAGTCACACCAAGCCTGATCAACAGAGGTAAGTCACACCAAGCCTGATCAGAATCTGGTCCCTCCAACAGAGGTAAGTCACACCAAGCCTGATCAGAATCTGGTCCCTCCAACAGAGGTAAGTCACACCAAGCCTGATCAGAATCTGGTCCCTCCAACAGAGGTAAGTCACACCAAGCCTGATCAGAATCTGGTCCCTCCAGTAGAGGTAAGTCACACCAAGCCTGATCAGAATCTGGTCCCTCCAACAGAGGTAAGTCACACCAACAGAGGTAAGTCCTGATCAGAATCTGGTCACTCCAACAGAGGTAAGTCACACCAAGCCTGATCAGAATCTGGTCCCTCCAGTAGAGGTAAGTCACACCAAGCCTGATCAGAATCTGGTCCCTCCAACAGAGGTAAGTCACACCAAGCCTGATCAGAATCTGGTCCCTCCAACAGAGGTAAGTCACACCAAGCCTGATCAGAATCTGGTCCCTCCAACAGAGGTAAGTCACACCAAGCCTGATCAGAATCTGGTCCCTCCAACAGAGAGTCACACCAAGTAAGTCACACCAAGCCTGATCAGAATCTGGTCCCTCCAACAGAGGTAAGTCACACCAAGCCTGATCAGAATCTGGTCCCTGCAACAGAGGTAAGTCACACCAAGTCTGATCAGAATCTGGTCACTCCAACAGAGGTAAGTCACACCAAATATCATCAAAGTCTGACTGCTGTTGCAGAGGTAATAAATATAGGTCACTCAGGTCACTCCAGCAGAGGTAAGTCACACAATGCCTTGTCAGAGTCTAATTGTTCCAGCAGAGTTTTATTGTCACTGTTCTTTCGTTATAATGTTTGACCTTGTCAAGATCATTGTCATGATCAAATTGTTAAGGTCATTGATCTCTACTGTGTAACTTGATCAAGATCATTGGTCGCCGTGGTAATTTTGTCAATGGCAAGGTTTTTGATTTAATTTAGTTGCAAAACCAAGAGCTTCATTAATTGAATACATCATTAAACACATCACTCCAATTTTACCTCTACACAATTCAGTTGTTCTGGTGGCAACTGTTACAGACATCACTTTAATGTAATTTTTTCTTAACATTAAACATGATATTGTCATTGATGAATGTGATTTCCAGGACACCAGATAGAAATTTAAAAGGAACTCTTTATTGATTTATTTCTTAGGTAGATCAAAAAGCAAATATGTTCATTGGCTATTTATCTATTCAATTTTTTTTATTGGTCCTTGAAACATGTTGATTTGGCGAGAAATATGTGTGAACTTTTGATGTTCTAAAGCTGTTTATATTTGTAGGGAGCCAGGGTAACACAGTTGGGGGAAAGGTCTCCACCACACCAAGTCTGAAAACACAGGGTAGATCTGGCCATGGCAGTCTAAAGATGAAAACAGTGACATTTAAAGCAGGTCTGCTGGCGGACTGGGAACATGAGGCTTACTTTGGCCCCCTGCTATGTATGGAAGAGGTATGAAATTTCTGCCTTTATCATTAAGCATACTGACCCTCTGGAGACTCTGAAACACCTCGAAGATGTTTTAGTTTATCTTCATTTGATGAAAGAGGTCAAAGGTCACATGATATGACTATGTCAGCATTCTTGGATCTCGGTTGATTCCAGCAGACTTGTTTCCTGCTTTGTCTATTTTTCTGATTGTTTTTATAGATTTTCAGGAATGTTACATCTTATGTCCATTTAGATATGCTGAATACAAAGACACCTTTTGGATCACACAATCTAAAACAAACACCTTTGGGTCAAAGTCTCTAAACCAGACACCTTTTGGATCAGACTATCTAAATCAGACACCTTTAGGGTAAAATTCTCTAAATCCTTGTGGAGCAGACTATCTAAATCAAACACCTTTAGGGTAAAATTCTCTAAATCAAACACCTTTAGGGTCAAATTCTCTAAACTGGATACCTTTGGGATAAAACTCTCTACTTTGGACGCCTTTGGCATATTGGGATCAAACATCTAAACTGGCCATTTTTGGAACTTTAAAGTTTTCAGATTTTACATTAGGGAAATATAGAATAATTTTTGGGGACTTAAATATTTGGTTGAATGTAACATACTTTACTGTTATTTTGCAGATCAAGGCACCAACAGACTCTCTGACAGACTTCATCTTCTCCAAGTTTTTCCTGACGACCCACACTGAGACTCAGGGTATCCAGGTGGAGAAGGGTATGTGTTCCTAGTGTGAAAGGTGACAGAGGCTGAGGAGTGTGTTAATGTTAGGATATCTGTTAGCTATATAAAAATGTTGACAATTGTGTTGAGTGGATTAAAGTAACCAAAAAAAATCATTCTGTAAAAGTTTAATTTTTTGTGGGGTCCTATTTTTTTTGCTATTTTCAAGGATGGAATAAACCACCAAAAAAAATGGACTTCTAAAAAATCAACTTGATGGAGGAAAGAGTTGAACATTTCATGACTTTCATAGAAAGTGCATCCTGATGATTTTAAGCTTTTGGTATAACTGTGAATATTTGTGTAATAGAGGTCATTATTTCTTTCATTGCCTCTACTAGGATTCAAAGCTGGGACCTCTCGGTTACATGTCTGAAACTCAACCAATCGAGCTAAAGAGAATCTCTCTCTAGCTGATGGGTATATTGTGGCTAGTATTTACCATGATTACATTTGAACTATTGAAAAATACAGCCCTGCTATAATTTATAAACTAGATGTTATGTTGAACTGTTGTAGGCTATGTGGATTGCCAGGAAGAGATGCTCGGAGAAGCCCTCAACACATGTCTAAATGTATACAACGCCGGCACGTCACAACGACTGGAACTTGTGTTTTTCAGTGAGGCCCTACGACATGCGGCTAGGCTGAGCCGTGTACTGGTAAGTCAAATACTGTTATAGATTATATAATTTATGTTCCTGCTAATGTTGGTATCAAATTTTCTGAATAAGGGAAATATTCATTTTTGAGTTTTGTAGATGAAAAATTGGAAAATTATCCATGGATATTGAGTTTCTTACAAAAAATGTTCCCTTTTTATACTCCCATGGTATTGGTAGTGAGGGGTTGGAAGGGGGGATACCCCTTTCTGTCTGTCCCATTGTCCGATCTTGAGAACCTTGCAAAAGATTTGATTTATATCATGACATAATGTTCCACAAAAAGACAATAATGATCAATATATACATAGGATTTGTTGAAATTCATGTGTTATAGTCATCTTCTATTTTATATGGTTAACTCCAAGTGAGAATTTTGCTTATACAGGCCATCCCAGGAGGTCATGCTCTGCTGCTGGGAATGACATACTCCACTGGGCGAGCAACTCTGGTCCGTTTAGCATCCTATATAGCACATTGTAAGGTAAGAGTTGCTTAGGTAAAGTTCCTCTCAGACCAGACAACCACACTCCTGCTAAAGGATGTTTTGTCTGACTAAGGTAACAGGACCAGCAATCCCTCCAACTTGGACCAAAAGAAAAAAAATTAATGAAGAGATATTGTAGTCGAAGGGTTAGTGAATTTCTATTTGAAAATGACAAACAAAAAATTTTCTTGAGAAATAGATACATTCAAAGTTATGGATTTCTTAAGTATATAGATCACAGTATTTTTTCAATATTTTCAAAATGTTGATTAAACTTGACTATGAAAAATAGGCTTGAGCATCAGTAAGGTTGTCTGGGAGGTTTTCACATGATATAGACATTTATGCACATTCAGAAAGCCCCCAGTAGCTGCTGCAGACGTAAATGTCGCGGGGTAAGTCGTTTGAAACAAGATGGTGTGTATTAAGGTGTGCGACGTAAGGCATGTCAAAAGATCTGTGTGCTAAGTTGTGTTACGCATGCTGGGTTATATAATTTTTCATTATAATCAGAATGCATGACATCGCAACATAATCTTGTAACCATAGTTACCGCTAATGATGTTAAACCTTAACAACGGTAGTTTAGGAATGGTAAGGATGATATAATTAAACATCGTTAAAACTTAACAACAGTAGCTTAGAAACACTAGAGATGAAACCTTACTAAATTAACTGTTCGAATAAAATTTCTTATGGCACAACCAGTAGACAATGTGAGTGCGACGTTTTGATGACTACACAGTCACCTTCATTAGAAAAATTACTAGTGTGGAGCATATTAGCACTGACATATGAAGTGTAGTGTACGAGAAAGTGTGAAATTGACCAACTTTTTTGGCGGTTCTATAATCTGAGACGAGAAGTAAACAGATTATAGAAAAACAAGTACACAAGATAGCAACATGTATTGTGGTTGATCCAGCTAGGCATTTTTTAACACTTAGTCCAGTGAGGAGTGTGAAGCATACCAGCAGTGACACATGTAGTGTATAAGATGGCATAGAATTTACCAACTTTTAAGGCTACTCTATGATCCTGTGTATACAAAGGTCAAAAATAGTGTGAAGAGATGGTAAACATGAATTGTAGTCGATTCAGCTATGCTTTTCTTAACACTCGGTCATAGATGTATGAGAGTCTGTTGACCGTGTACTCATCGAAATGTGACATTGTAATACACTCAAGTCATCTACAGGTTGTGTTATAAGAACTTTTATTCTATTGATATTACCAACCTGAAGAAAATGTTCAGAAATGAATAAACCATTGTTAGATTATAGGTTATATAACTAAGACATGTAGTTAGAATATGCAAAATATAGTTAGCAAACATGAAATACAGATAGGATATGTGAGATGTAGTTGAGGCATGATTAGATAATTAGGGAGAAAAGTTACAGTGAAGGCGTGATTAAAAAGTAATGATACAGTTAAGGTGGGGTTAGAACAGTAATGATACAATTAAGGTGTGGTTAGAACAGTAATGATACAGTTAAGGTGTGGCTAGAACAGTAATGATACAGTTAAGGTGTGGTTAAAACAATAATGATATAGTTAAGGTGGGGTTAGAACAGTAATGATACAGTTAAGGTGTGGTTAGAACAGTAATGATACAGTTAAGGTGTGGTTAGAACAGTAATGATACAGTTAAGGTGGGGTTAGAACAGTAATGATACAATTAAGGTGGGGTTAGAACAGTAATGATTCAGTTAAGGTGTGGTTAGAACAGGAATGATATAGTTAAAGTGTGGTTAGAACAGGAATGATATAGTTAAGGTGTGGTTAGAACAGTAATGATACAGTTAAGATGTGGTTAGAACAGTAATGATATAGTTAAGGTGTGGTTAGAACAGGAATGATATAGTTAAGGTGTGGTTAGAACAGTAATGATACAGTTAAGATGTGGTTAGAACAGTAATGATATAGTTAAGGTGTGGCTAGAACAGGAATGATGTAGTTAAGGTGTGGTTAGAACAGTAATGATATCATTAAGATGTGTTTAGAACAGGAATGATATAGTTAAGGTGTGGTTAGAACAGTAATGATTCAGTTAAGGTGTGGCTAGAACAGGAATGATATAGTTAAGGTGTTGTTAGAACAGTAATGATACAGTTAAGGTGTGGTTAGAACAGTAATGATATAGTTAAGGTGTGCTTAGAACAGTAATGATATAGTTAAGGTGTGGCTAGAACAGTATTGATTCAGTTGAGGTGTTGTTAGAACAGTAGTAATATAATTAAGATGTGGTTAGAACAGTAATGATTCAGTTAAGGTGTGGTTAAATCAGTAATGATACAGTTAAGGTGTGGTTAGAACAGTAATGATAATTTTGCAATTACTATGAGTTAGGAACAGAAAAATATGTCAGAATATACCATACAGCAGCCAATTGTAAAAGACGCTGTATTGTTGATAAGAAAGTGTTGTGTTAATACAGTATCAAAAATGACACTACTGCTTTGTTTCCTTTTTTTTTTTGAGCAAAACAAATTTTTATTTCATTTTCTTTAAAATGTATTATATTTCACTTGTATTAGAGAATCTTGGTATTTTCTTTTCTAAGTGAATTATAATCATAATATTTAACATTTGAACAGATGAAATAATAGTTTTAGAGTTTACACTGCAATGAGTAATTTCTGTCTTCCATGATTAATGACATACAGGATTTAATTAACTGCATGGAGTTGAAAGGGAATTTTTCTAAGATACATTTTTGTGTAAACATCTAAAGCATGCAGGCCATTCAAGCATCTTTGGTGCATGTTATGGTTATGGTAAACAATAATGCTTGTTGTTATTTTTTACAAGATGCATGGTATGGTGATATGTTGAATAAACTTTGTTGGTGATTGTGATAACTAAAGCAAGTCCTTCAGAAAAAAAAAAAAAATGGAAAAAAAAAAATGAAAAAAAAAAGAAATGACTTGGTCTCTCATAGAGTGAAATGGGGGCTGAATATATCTTAGTTTGAGGTAGAATGTGAGCTTGCCCCAAATTAGAATGGAGAGTGATTATGTCAAACAGTGAAGTGGACAGTGGGTGTGTCTCAAGTGTGGGCATGCTTCAAACCAGAATGGATGGGAGAATGGGTGTCTCTAGTGAAAATGGAAGGAGGATGTGTCTCTTGGTGCAGTAATATGTGGTAAGGTGGAGTAGACTGTGGGAATGTCATATAGTGAATTGGGAAATGAAAAATAATGTCTCATTGTATCAATTTGACATCACTCAGGATTCAAGCAGTAATCCTTGCACTCAACATTTTTTTAGTTTGATTTTTTTCAAATTTGAGAAAAAGAAAGAACACATTTCAGTTTTTCATTAGGTAATGAGTTCATAGGTTAACTCATTCAATAGCCTGAAAAGCCCACCACTTGTAGGTTTTGTTAACTTGCTTGTTGTTATGTCACAGCTGAGTGGTGGGAGGTGTGAGGGGCTGAATTGTTGGGTAAGTGGGTGTGGCAAAGCATGTGACTATGGTAACAGTATCTGCCTTGGTGATTGGCTCCTGAAGATATAACAAACTGTCTCTGTATCATCTGCCACATTGTCTCACTTTAAGTGTATGTATAGCTCCAGAATCTCATGTGGTATCTTTCACGTGGTACCTCTCATGTGGTACCTCTCATGTGGTATCTCTCATGTGTTAAAACTTATGTGGTACCTCTCGTGTGGTAACTCTCATGTGGAACCTCTCATGTGGTACCTCTCATGTGGTATCTCTCGTGTGGTATCTCTCGTGTGGTATCTCTCATGTGGTATCTCTTGTGTGGTATCTCTCATGTGGTACCTCTCATGTGGTACCTCTCATGTGGTATCTCTCGTGTGGTATCTCTCATGTGATATCTCTCATGTGGTATCTCTCGAGTAGTATCTCTCGTGTGGTATCTCTCTTACTTGTTTCCTGTTTGTCATCAGTTATATCATTCAATAACCAGGAAAAATGAACTTCATGGTATTTACAGTTAGCAACCTGATTGTTTGTATGGGTAGAAATCTCATGGCATACATAGGTAGTAATCCTGTGATATCTATGGGTAGTAATCCTGTGATATCTATGGGTAGTGATCCTGTGGTATCTATGGGTAGTAATCCTGTAATATCTATGGGTAGTAATCCTGTGATATCTATGGGTAGTAATCCTGTGATATAAAAAGGTAATGTTCCATGGTATCTATGGGCAGTGGTGGTAACTATGGATAATGACCCCATCATATATGGGCAGTAATTCTTGGTAATGATGAGCAGTGACTACAGGGTATCTATGGACAGTAATGTCATGGTATCTATGGGAAGTAATCTATGCTATCAATGGGGATTTAAATATCTATGGACAGTAATTCTATGGAATCAATGGGTATAACTATTTTATATCCTCTCTCTACACTCTACATTCACTGTGATTATTTACAAAGGTGCATCATATTGTAATCATACATAATCTCGAGTTACATGGCAGATTATTTCACTCCTTATGTTTTCAATATTTTGATGAGTTTGACAGATTTAATGTAAAAATATGATTGTTTAGGTTTTTCTGACGACATCACAGTCAGCTCTATACATCTAATAACATCTTCATGTTTCCTCTGTATAAACTTGGTTTCTGGTTTCTATCTCGTCACGGTTAGACTGACCAGTTTCTGTACCTCTTTGTACCTCCTTGTGATGGTAACTCATCGATATCCACCTCCTGTCACTGGACATATACTTAAATCACCTCCCATGATCCTGAAAACTTGAAAATTAATAATCAAATATTTCATATATGAAATTGTACATGTATACAAAGTTTGTGCAGAATAACTGTTTGACATTTCGCTATAGATTAATAACCTGTTGTATTAATGTATTCAAATTATTAAGATCATGTGACCTTTATTGGAATTAATATTGTTACACGCTATACATGGAGGGCCTGTTTGGTAAGATATTGCAATACAGTCGAAGCTTGTTATCTCAAACTCATATAACTCGAAGGCCCCATTTAATTTGAAGCATTTCGTCAGTTCCTGCCAAACTTTACACAAAACGTTCAAACCCACTTAAATCAAATACTCGCCTATCTCAAAGTCTGAGTTTGAGATAACAAGGTTGGATTGTATCAGGTATCTCCAGTTCAAATGTCACATGTCTGTCAATAACTGGGTCAAGGTCACTGAAACATGTATGTAGGTCACTGTCACTGTGCTTTGGATATGATGAGAGATTTGTACTTACAGTTGTTTGAGCCTAAACCACAGACGGATGTCAGTAGGAACCACCAGATTGTACGGGAACACATCAAACGAGCTTGTCACCACACCGGCATTCTGGGTAAACCCACAGTGCTGCTCATTCATGAAGACTTAGGAATGGAGTGTCTTGCAGACATCTGCTGTCTCATGGCTGAAGGTATGTAGCTAAATAGATATACTGTCACTAGATGTGGTCTCACAACGTTCAGACTAAATTTTTTGTTTCTTTCAGTTGTTCCATAATTATAAACCACCTGGGGTGGAATGTCACCTAAACTGAATTCTTAAGCACCACAAGAAAAATTTGGTGATGTACATTTTTCTGGTATCTCATTGCATGATTATATCACTATTGTGCTCTTTACTTCTCAATATCAAAATTTGAAAAATTGAAAATATACCATTATTATTATTAAATGATTGATTATTGTCCTTAAAACTGGTACATGTATATTAAGAATCATCTATACTTAAATATATCACGTGATACAATTTGATTTAGCAAAGAATCCAAGATGGCAGCTGAATCATATTTGGTTATGATTTTCAAGAAATGTTGTATTTTCTCCTAAAAAAAGAGGTGTATTGAGAGCCTTCACTGTCATTTCACAAAATATTGTAAAACAAAGATATTTAAATAAAGCCTCTCCTGGGTTCACCATGTTTCGTAGTGGTTTACATTCAGAAGAGCTCCATTGACAAGAAATCAGGAAAAAAACACACACACACACACACACACACACACACACACACACACACACACAGACCAAAAAAAACATACCCCTGTAATCAATTTCACAGATCAAATCCTGCTGACATAGTCAGTTTCATATTTGCATATTGAAATTGATATAGTTTCCTAAATCAGTCATGTGTAGGAATACAACAGGGAAAACTTTTTGTATTCTGATTGTTTTTTCTGTGATTGCTGATTTGTATATTTAGTTTCAAAATAGTTAATTACAACCCAGTGTATATATATATTCTTACTCATGTGAACAATTTATCAGGTAATGTAGCATGTGAGGGTGAATTCTTTTCTGTATCTCATTATCTGTATATAGGTCTGAGTTTGACCAGTCTTTTGTATATGCCCTCATATTGCAGTTGTATCTGATAGTTCAAGTTTTGTTTTCCGTCAAGTTTTCTGAAAATTTTTTTTTTTACATGTCTGTAGTGACAGGACCCTGATTTTGATGTAGGGATAGTAATTTGGTGATTGTTGTGTTCTAGGCACCAGTCCAGGTCTGTACACCGAAGACGAGGTCCAGGCCATTGTGTCACAGATGATGCCAGGCGGAGTACAGACTAAACGTGTAGACAAGATAGAACAGGCCTTTGAACGATACTTAAAAAAGATCAAACAAAATCTTCACATCATAGTGTGTCTGAACTATAGAGGTAAGTGCTGCCATTATGAAGTGTTCGACATACCTGATAATCTAATGAAATCTGTAATCATTCTGTCCTTACCATGCTGTTAGGCTCGTGCTGGCAATATTGCTGCCATGTCCATGTTAATGCTGGATAGGTCCTGGCATGCACACTTAAATGTTGTGTTTCTAAGTTGGTTATGGCATGCCCAGGCTGATAATGGGGATATTTGGTTTGTCCTTGTACGTCCAGACTTATATAGGGTTTATAACCAGTAGGATACATGGGGCTGGTATTTTTTTGGTAGTTTATTGGTGACTTAGATTGGTACTAGCTCCGCCATGCTATTGGAGTGTTTGGTTAATATTGAAGTATTGGGGTCTCAGTTTAGAGAATAGGAATGATATAAAGCATGATAGAAGATGACCATATGATATTGGTCAAGCGTAGACCAGAGTCAGTTTACCAGGAACATTTTTTTTTTGGTTGTAGGTAACAGTTACTCCAGTGACATACGAAACCTCCATGACAAGCTAAACCTTTACCCTAACTTGCTTAAGTACGCCAGCTCTGTGGACATGTTCCATCCGTGGACCTACGAGGCATATGTCAGGATTGCTGAGGTCTGGCTTCAAGATCAAAGGTCAAAGGTCAGTTGCATGGTGTTTGCTTTTTGTGTTTTATGTTGTATATATCAATGCTTAACAAATGTTCAGAGCTGAATTTTTTTCTGAATATACAAACAAAACAAACCTATTTACACTGTTGTAACTCCACAGATTTCTATCCCATGGCACCCGACCCGGATGCTGGAGCAGATGGCAATGACCAGCAAGGCCATGGCCTACATGCATCTCTCGGCCAAGAACATTATAGAGCGTCAGTTCTGCCACCAGAGGGAGCCACTCAGATTCTATTCACCTTTGACCTTCATGGAGTTTGTACATTTGTTCAGGGTCATATCTGCTTTTATTGTGAAAAAGGAACGGGTAAGTTTAGTCATCAATTTCAGGAGTTCAAGAGAAATTGAAACATTTCACCCTCATCAAACTTTCTAACATTGTCAAAAAGATTGTTTTACAAAAATCTTTTTCATCTGAAAGATTCACAAAGCATGTTTTTAGATCTAGAATGAAAAGATGCTGTTTATGATATTTTGTAATGAGTCTGTTGATGGAGTTATCTTTTTCATCTGAAAGATTTACAAAGCATGTCGTTCGATTAAGAATGAAAAGATGCTGTTTATGATATATTGTAATGAGTCTGTTGATGGAGTTATCACCTACGCTGTGGATTCAAGATATCAAGTGAAAAGCAACATTTATTCATGATGGTAATGTTGTATCTATTATTCTATCCACCAGGAGAACATAGGAAAGCATGAACAGGCTTTATCGAAGGTGAATGAGGCATTTGGAAGCATCAACCAGTTCAAGAGGCAGGTGTCAGCCCTGACACCTCAACACAAGGCAGCCATGGACGAGATCAAGGAGCTTGTGGAGCAGGTCGAGGAACACAGAGAGCAGTATATTGAGGTAGCGTTTATAGAGATTAGGCTTTAGGGGGACATCAGAATGATGTAAAACTTAAAGAGATTAGGCTTTAGGGGGACAACAGAATGATGTAAAACTTAAAGAGATTAGGCTCTGGGGGACATCAGAATGAGGTAAAGTTTATAGAGATTAGGCTCTAGGGGGACATCAGAATGATGTAAAACTTAAAGAGATTAGGCTCTGGGGGACATCAGAATGATGTAAAACTTAAAGAGATTAGGCTCTGGGGGACATCAGAATGAGGTAAAGTTTATAGAGATTAGGCTCTGGGGGGACATCAGAATGAGGTAAAGTTTATAGAGATTAGGCTCTAGGGGAACATCAGAATGAGGTAAAGTTTATAGAGTTTAGGATCTAGGGGGACATCAGAATGAGGTAAAGTTTATAGAGATTAGGCTCTAGGGGGACATCAGAATGAGGTAAAGTTTATAGAGATTAGGATCTAGGGGGACATCAGAATGAGGTAAAGTTTATAGAGATTAGGCTCTGGGGGACATCAGAATGAGGTAAAGTTTATAGAGATTAGGCTCTGGGGGCACATCAGAATGAGGTAAAGTTTATAGAGATTAGGCTCTGGGGGACATCAGAATGAGGTAAAGTTTACAGAGATTAGGCTCTGGGGGACATCAGAATGAGGTAAAGTTTATAGAGATTAGGCTCTGGGGGACATCAGAATGAGGTAAAGTTTATAGAGATTAGGCTCTGGGGGACATCAGAATGAGGTAAAGTTTATAGAGATTAGGCTCTGGGGGACATCAGAATGAGGTAAAGTTTACAGAGATTAGGCTCTGGGGGACATCAGAATGAGGTAAAGTTTATAGAGGTTAGGCTGTGGGGGACATCAGAATGAGGTAAAGTTTATAGAGATTAGGCTCTAGGGGGACATCAGAATGAGGTAAAGTTTACAGAGATTAGGCTCTGGGGGACATCAGAATGAGGTAAAGTTTATAGAGGTTAGGCTGTGGGGGACATCAGAATGAGGTAAAGTTTATAGAGATTAGGCTCTAGGGGGACATCAGAATGAGGTAAAGTTTATAGAGATTAGGCTCTGGGGGACATCAGAATGAGGTAAAGTTTATAGAGATTAGGCTCTAGGGGGACATCAGAATGAGGTAAAGTTTATAGAGATTAGGCTCTAGGGGACATCAGAATGAGGTAAAGTTTACAGAGATTAGGCTCTGGGGGACATCAGAATGAGGTAAAGTTTATAGAGATTAGGCTGTGGGGGACATCAGAATGAGGTAAAGTTTATAGAGATTAGGCTCTGGGGGACATCAGAATGAGGTAAAGTTTATAGAGATTAGGCTCTAGGGGGACATCAGTATAAGATTGTGGCTAATAATTGTCCAATTTGCAGTTCTTGCCATGTCCTACATATCTATTTTATTATATCTATCATCTGTTTGTATCAACTACATGGTTATATCCATCACCTATGTAAATTTGGATTGGTTTTATTAACTGCTTTCTAAATCATCTACCTGTCTGTATCTACAACATGGAATGATGATGTGTATGCTATTGGAACACTGACATATAAAACCTCTGATGAAGATGTAATATGATGTGGTTCTGCGCTTTGTCAGTTTGTATTTCTCAATAAGCTGAAATAGACAGTTCTGTGTTGTTGTTGTTTTCTCTTGGCCATAATATTTCATCACGATTGCATTGGATGACATGTGGTGGGCTTCCTGTATGTTGTTCAGTGAAATAGCAACCATTTACTACAAGGATAGCCTTCCTCAAAATGACCCTGGCTGTTGACATAGTAATAAAGCCATCAGCAAACAATACATTAAAGGACAAAGTCAAATTTGCTGAATCAGAAAATGTTAGTTGGATGGCAGGAACTTCATCGTTTTTATTGTGAAACAGTTAAGATGGTTATGCATCTTGTTGTAATGATTTTCAGTCTCTTGACAAGTGTAAGGCTCAGGAACAGAAGATAGAGGAATTACAGACACCTTTGGAAGATCTACGACGGGAGGCACAGACAGAGTTTGACAAGGTAACTTGTTTATCTTCACGACTCTTTCACAAGTGTGTGTGTGTGTGTGTGCTATATTTGCAGAATGATCTTACTAGACGTTTGACTTTCATTGCAAATTCATCAGAATAATTTTCATCTAGATCTGCAGCAATGTTTTTTTTTGTGTGATTTTAAGGTTGAAGCAAACTTTTCTGTAATTTTTAGGTGTGATTTTGTTATTTACAAAAGATATCAGAAAAGAATGAATATCAATATTTTCAAGGTTTAATTTAAACAAACAAAAGGTTTCGGTGAGATCTGAGAGTGGATTAATGGAACTATATATTAACATACTGTGTGATAGAAGAGAATTTATATCGGTGTGTGATTCTGTAGCCCAACAAACAGCCAAGGAAGGGCTCCGGCCCAGTAGTGGAACACTTCACTTCAACACAATACAAGGTACTAGTCAGCGTAGAGGTAAAAGGTGACAGAGGTACCACTTGGTACATCCATTTTACAGGTGTTGGGTATGGCAATTTCATTGTATCACAGAGTACCATGCTTTGAGATGCCACCAGGTATTGGGGCATGTCTAGGGATAGGTTGCAGATTTACTTTTTCAGGGTACTTTTGTGGAAATAGTTTTAAACACAATGTTTTACGGGGGCATCAGGTATTGCTTTATCATAGATTTATTTATTTTCCATGTAGCTATGATTTATATGTTCATAATCCAAATTGACAGTTAAATTTTGTTACAGCATCTTAACTCTAAAATTTTAAGAGTAAAGATAGTGTAGGGATAGTTTTCGGACATTTTCTTCTAATACTTAGTGCCATGTATACATTTACATATCTAACGCTTTACTGGTGTGAGTTTTTTCATTCTTATTTAGCATTTCTATCATTACAGTACTCTGCGACCTATGACAACAACATAATTTTAATCATATGATTCAGTGAGAGACTGGTGCAGTGCATAGGTTTAAAATTTGTAGCTAATGTATAATAAGTGAATTTGAAGGTCATGTGGGGTCTTTTGGAAACAAAAAAAAACTCAAGTTTCAGAAAGAAGTTACGTTGCTATAGTATACACATTTGATTGACAGACTATCAGGTATCCCGACACACAGAGGTAAAAACAGTACATGTGTCTCCATCACTCGATGTAAGCATGTTTATAATTGGTCAATGGATACATGTAAGTCTCTTCACCATTGGGTCAATCCCAAAAAGGGATGTAAGCTTCTTCATCATTGGTTAATGTCTCAGTGCAAGCATGTGCACCATTGGTCAATAATTTATCAATGTATTGCACAAATGACTGTTGTTGATGTTGTCAGTCATGTCCTGTAGCACTATTTTCTTCATAATTAAATATTTTGCACCAAAAGGAAAAAGAAATCTACATTGTCAGCAAGTTTTGTATTAAAATTATTTTATTAGACTCTTTGTATTTATTGTGAAAATATGATTATTTATTTAAAATTACAACATATAAATATGATACAGAATTTGTTAGGAGGCTTGATGATTCGTCCTGTCTTGTTCAATATCAGTTTTCTCACTCAAGAAACCACAATGTTCTGTAATACCTCAGATGATTTTGAATGTTAGTGTTCCAAAACCAAGGTCTTTGTTACTATTTATATAAAAAAAATATTAATTAACCTACAGAATGACATTACGTTTATTGAATTCATTTTTAGAAAATGATTTCGACAACTCTTATGATAGCTAAAAAATTAAAGAGCACCAACTCCTGAAGCCAGTTATACTGATACTGTATTCTTCTGGAGGTTGCTTATGTTTACACCTTAAACACAGGCTGTCATCATGGCACAGCTGACATATTGTCAGAAACCTAGAAAATGAAAGTCCACATATTTTATGAAAATAACAGGATGTTGATTCTTTGGAAATTTTTTCCATATGGTGATTTTTCTTGTCTGTAAACTTATAATAGTTATATATAAATACTTGGGACGAGTTGATTTTTAAAGTTCAAAGGTCAAGTTCATTATTATCATTTATAGCAAAAAATATCAAATACATAAAGGAGAAGGGGACATTCATGTCCGAGACATTTCAATTAATTTTTTTTTTTTTTTTTTTTGTTGCATTATTTGTAAACACACTTTTATAGTTACAATCTTAGTGACACATATATACTCATATAATTCGTCTTTTGTCTAATTTTATGTGTTTAGGCAAGTAATAAATTTGCACCACACCAAATACAATGAAGGCATAATGTATATTTCTCTTCTAATGAGTTTTGGCCCTTAAAGAAAGAATTTGAAATGGTAAAGAATTATGCATTGTTGCTGTAGAAAACATTTTTATATTTCATTTGGTTCATATTTAACCATTGAAAGGTTAACAGATAACTACTTAATGTTAATTTTACAATCTGCTACATGCAGGTAACAGCAGACCTCTGTCAACATTGGTATATAACATTCTGTTTATATGTAATATTCTATTTATATATAATGTTTACTTTATGTTTACATTGATCTTGATTATCCCTAACAAACCTTTTTGGATTTGTACCAGGTGAACCCTAACTACCAGGCAGCTCTCTCAGCCCTAAGTGTACTACACAAGAGGGATCTGGAGGAAGTGCGGTCCTACAGAGACCCCCCACAAATTGTCCAGTTTGTTATGAAGGCTTTGTGCCTACTCTTCAATGTCCCTCAGGAGTAAGTATAGATTTTACACCAATGTAGCCATTAATTGTCTCTTAGGCTGAGTCCAGTTGGCTTGTTCCTCCTTAGTCATGGATTCCTTTCCTATTTTTATGCTTTCCAAATATTTTCGGGGGAGCATATAGTCGCCGCCATGTCCTTCCCTCTGTTCCTCTTTCCTTAAGTCATTTTTGTGTCCAGAGCATAACTTTGCCCACAAGCAACGATCATGAAACTTGGTGTATACATTGGTCATACTACGACGATATACAGTGTACCAAATTCAGGGCTGTTAACCTCCTAAATTACAATGTTGTTGCCCTTCGTTCTAATTTCATGTCCAGTGCATAACTTTGCTTGCATTTAAGCTAGGATAATGAAACTAGATATATACGTTAATTATGCTAAGATAATGTGCAGTGTACCAAATTCAGGGCCCACAAAAACCCTTAATTAAAGAGTTATAATTAAAGAGTTATAGCTCTTTGTTGAAAATTTCTTGTCTCTTTGTTAATTATCAGCTGGGAGAATGCCAAGCTTCTTCTGATAAAGGAGAATGTTGTGGAGGACATGATGTTCTACGATAAAGACAACATACCCAATGATATCTTCTATCAACTTGGCGAGATCATCCAGCATCCACTATTCCAACCGGACCTCCTCATGCGTGTCAGTTGTGCAGCAGCTGGTGTGTGTGGTTGGGTCCATGCAGTGTACAAGTATGCACATATTCACCGCAACATGCAGCCACGACTTAAGAACCTTCTGGAGCATGAGGAAAAATTCACTCAGGTAGGTTTATAATTGTAGGCAGACTCTTCGCCTTTTTAGGTCATCATGCTTCGTCCGTCGTCGTCCGCCGTGCGCCGTCCGTAAACTTTTCATTCAAACGACTTCTTCTCAAATACTAGAAGGTCTAGGGGGCTAATACTTGGCACAGAGGATACTGGCATGGAGCTCTACCAAGTTTGTTCAAATGAATGACCTTGACACACTTTAAAGGTCACAGGGGTCAAATATGTTAAAATCTTTAAACAACTTCTTCTCATTAACCAAAAGGCTCAGAGTGTAGATATTGGGCCTGTGACATGCTGGGATGAAGGACTACCAAGTTTGTTCAAATGAATGACCTTGACCCACTTTAAAGGTCACAGGGGTCAAATATGTTAAAATCTTTAAACAACTTCTTCTCAATAACCAAAAGGCTCAGATTGCTGATATTGTGCCTGTGGCATGCTGGGATGAAGGGCTATCAAGTTTGTTTAAATGAATGACCTTGAACAACTTTCAAGGTCACAGGGGTCAAATATGTCAAAATCTTTAAATAACTTCTTCTCAAATACTTGAAGGCCTAGGGGGCTAATACTTGGCCCATAGCATGCTGGCATGTTTGTTCAAATGAATGACCTTGGCCCACTTTCAAGGTCACAGGGGTCAAATATGTTAAAATATACAAAGGACTTCATCTCAATAAGCAAAAGTCTATGAGTGCCGATATTGGGTCTGTAGCATGCTGGGAGGAAAGGCTACCAAGTTTATTTAAATGAATGACCTTGAACAACTTTCAAGGTCGCAGGGGTCAAATATTCTTTAAATAACTTCTTCTCAAATACTAGAAGGCCTAGGTAATACTTGGCCCATAGCATGCTGGCATGGAGCCCTACAAAGTTTGTTCAAATGAATGACCTTGGCCCACTTTCAAGGTCACAGGGGTCAAATATGTTAAAATATACAAAGGACTTCATCTCAATAAGCAAAAGTCTATGAGTGCCGATATTGGGTCGTAGCATGCTGGGAGGAAAGGCTACCAAGTTTATTCAAATGAATGACCTCAACCCACTTTCAAGGTCACAGGGGTCAAATATGTTAAAATATACAAACGACTTCTTCTCAACAAGCAAAAGTCCATGAGTGCTGATATTGGGCCTGTAAGATGCTTGGAGGAGAGGCTACCAAGTTTGTTCAAATGAATGACCTCAACCCACTTTCTAGGTTTGGCTTGCTTTTTGTCAGATGACCGTTAAGGCCCATGGGCCTCTTGTTTAATAACAAAATTTTGTTGTTTTTTTTTTTTTACAGAATTTCATTTTCACGCAATTCTATTAAAAGCCATAAATGGTTTTTTTTATGTCAACAATGAAATCACATTTTTTGTGAAGCTCAATTTTGGTGGTTTTAAAAATAAGAATACCTCTAATTCATTGACATTTGGAATCTACTTCTGAATGTTTTCTCACTTCTAGACATATGTATTTGTGGGTTAGATTTCATAGGATACCCTTGAAAATAAAACTCTAACAAAAAGTGATGATTTTACAGTAAATATACTGCATATTTAATCAAAGAAAATATTCATAGTAGATATAATAGGTGTTATGATTAAATACATGTATAATTGTTCATAATTTGAATTTTAAAAAATTGAAAGTATTTATTCTAATGAATAATTAATCTAGAAATGTTGGCACTGTCTTTTGTGTAAACAGAGTGGATTCTTCGGGTTGAAATAGTAGTTACTATTTATAGATTGAGTCATATCCCTGATGTATTGTTTCTATTGTGTTTAGGCTCAAGCCAAATTAGGACAGATGAGAGTGGAAGCTAACCGCATCAAAAGCTCACTCGAGACCAAAATTGTAGACCACAAGGCGGCTGTCAAAAGGGCTAAAACCATAGAGAAACACATGCAGGTAGTTATCCACAAACTGAAATTTTGTCACTAGTCTCTCTTAATCTAATCCTTGAATTATTTATATTCACTCCATTGAAATTTGATTGTCAAACTGGAATAATGTCACAAATCTGTATGTCTAATGTAGGAGTGTTTTGACTGTTGAGATGTTGTTTGTTTAACATATGCTGACCTTGACCTTGTTTGTGGTTTGACTGACTGTTAAGATGTTGTTTGTTTAACATATGCTGACCTTGACCTTGTTTGTGGTTTGACTGACTGTTGAGATGTTGTTTGTTTTACATCTGCTGACCTTGACCTTGTTTGTGGTTTGACTGACTGTTGAGATGTTGTTTGTTTAACATATGCTGACCTTGACCTTGTTTGTGGTTTGACTGACTGTTGAGATGTTGTTTGTTTTACATCTGCTGACTTTGACCTTGTTTGTGGTTTGACTGACTGTTGAGATGTTGTTTGTTTTACATCTGCTGACCTTGACCTTGTTTGTGTATACAGAGTATAGAGAAGATGATCGCCCGTGCATGTAACCTGATGGAGAATATGTCCATGCAGCACTACCTATGGAAGTCAGAACTCAAGAAAGCTAAGACACATGTATTGACTGCTCCTGGTGATGCCCTTGTGACTGCAGCAGCCGTGTTGTACCATGGTCCACTAGAGGATAAATTCCGGGCTGACCTGCTTCATGACTGGCTTGACCGCTGTCGTCAGGGTAATTTCACCCTGAACCAACATGTAGGACAGGAGCGGTACCCACTCAGTAGTATCTTGGAAGGCCTGGAACAGAAGGATGCACCAAGTGACAGTTCCCAGGCAGGTGATTCAAGCATTGACAGTGATAGTGCAACTTCTATACCAAGTCTGCCGGAAATTCGTATTTACCGATATCCTCCAACTGTGTATGACACCCGTAAATACTACAAGTCTGAGCTAAAGAAGCGGGGCAGCATTGAGTATGATGGTACTCTCAACACTGAGGGTGAGGGAGAAGACTCTGATGATGAAGATGACCAGAGTATTCTCCTAAACAGGACCGGTTACATTCTCCAAGAGATTCTGTCAGACTTTGATGAGTTGAGTAAGTGGCGCCTCGACAACCTGCCCACTGATCTACACTCCATACAAAATGCTCTACTTATGCGGGTGAGCTGTCACAACCGTAAGCACTGCTGGCCACTTCTTATAGACCCAGACAACCAGGCGCAAATGTGGGTACGCACTCTACAAACAAGTCGCAACATCTTCTCAGAAAAGGACCTCAGGGCAAGTACACCAGATGATGTGGATGGTATGTATCTTAGTCTTTAGTTACAGTAAATGATGTTGTTTAAAAGCGCTGTTTTTATAATTTGATGTTATTGTTAAAAGGCTTTGATGTCCAATGCATTCAATTTTCATATTTTGTCATCAAGATAAATATAGGGAAATAAGGAAATGTAAAATGGTGTTTCTTTTCAAATTGTTTTGAATAAAAAGTTTTTTATATTAATAGTGATTTTTATAACAGATTTATTTAAAGGTATTTAGTTATTTTGCTGCATCAATGACAAAAATTTAGCTGAACAAAGTTTCCCTTTAGTAAAATAGATTTAAAATGTTGACTGTAAATACCCTGGTCTTATATTACAGGTATCCCACTTGAGTCAAGTAGAGACAAAGAGAGTACATCTGACCCACTTCCCCCAAGTCGTGGCACAATACTCACATTCTCAGATATGTACTCAGAGGGCCAGACAACTGATGGCCACAACACAACTGATGGTCACACAACAGACCGCACAGCGTACACTTCGACCAGTGCGGCCACCATGACAACCGACTACACAAAGAGCGGAGGACGTCACTCACGACAGACCTGGAACAGTGAGGACCTAAGACCTGTCACCTCAGTAACCAACAGTTGGGAGACTAATAGTTTACGTGCCGACCAAAATGTAGACCATCCTGAACATAATCTATGGATCGTAGAGGCGGATGACCCCAGTCTGGACAGCAAACTTATCAATGCTATAGTGCACGGTTAGTTTGTCTTATTGTTTTTACTCAGTCCTTGTAGGTTAAATGGCACCTTGGACCATCGTCGCCTTCAGAATTCATCTAAACCTGTGACACACTTGAGGAAAAACACCAGCATTTTACACCTGTCTGAATCTGCCTACTGATATTGAAATGTGTTAAAACTGAACATTCTAATGAAGTCAAATAAATGCAGATCTCTTTCATCTATCACCATTTTTAAATTTAAACCCCCGCAGGACTCAATGTTTTACCGAAACTCAATTTAGGTAGGGACTCAAATGCCAGTCACTCATTGGCAGCTTTATTTGCACGAGTCCTGTAATCGAAATGAAAGAAATGTCTCCATTTACCACCCTATATATAACTATAGCTAAAAAAGGCATGGAAAGATGTACAATTTGTTTGCTTTGCTTCAACCCTATGTATACCTGATCATCTTTGTTTATAGGTATCACAGTGCTAGTAACACACCTAGAGAGAAAGCCTCTGGATCCATTGTTCCGCGGACTGCTACTGAAGCAGTTCTTTGTAGATAAAGAAGGACACAAGATCATCAAAGTGGGCAGCTACGAGTTCCGTTACCACCCTAACTTCTGTCTCTACCTCAGTACCTCTTTACCGCTGTTCCTTAAAGGTAGGTTATCTCCCTTACTTATTTCCTCTCTACTGATTTTGTGTACTTCCCCTGTTGTATTAGACTGGTTCCCAACCTATGTTATGCTACTCTCTGCTTCGGCTGTATTCAGCTATACATAGACTGGAAGTGAGCAGCCATCTTGGATCGGAATTCCTACTCCAGCTCTGTAGAGGTCACAGACATAAACATTATGATTGAATCAGATTAACAGGCATCAGGATGGTGAGATGGCACATTGGTTATACACTTGCCTTTCACTCAGCCATCCGCGGTTTGATTTCTGGAACGGACATGAAAAGGTAGAGGTCACCTGCCTGACCTCATGGGTTTTCCAAGGGTACTCTGTTTTCTTCCCTCAGTAAGACCCCTTCCAAGCAGGCCAACAACAGTGATAGATATAAGCTGATAGCTTGTTTCACAATTGTTGCAAAAAAAATAAAATCTATAGATAACAGGGGTGAATGTTAGTACTTTATCTGTATGTCCCTACTTTTATAAAAGAATTTCAATTTTCTTTTTTTGGGTTATGTAGAAATATGTAACCCAATTTTATGATTCATTACTTTGTTTTAGGTGACGGTCTTTACAGTGTCCCAATACACAGGATGTGTATCATCAATCTAGCAATGAGTGACGAGGCCATCATCAACTTGCTGCTCATCCAGACAATGAAGATTGAACGCAAAGAATTTGAGGGACAGAAACGCTCCAACGAGAATGACATAATTCTACATCGCCAAAGACTTTTCCAGGAACACGTATGTCTTCATTTACAGCACCCACCTAGTCATAATGGAAACAAGAAGTTAATTTAATTCGACAAAACTGAAAAAGAGTTTGATAATTAGTTAAATATCTTAATGATGCGCGAAACTCAGTTTAATTATTGAACTTTCACTGAAAAACTGGTTTTATCAATATATTTTTCCTCACTGTGTGTGTCTGTTGTCTCCAGGAGCTGATTCGTGAAAAGACTCTGAACCTCGATGTACCAATCCTGGAGGACAAGACAATGCTGGAGTCGCTAGTTGCCTGTCAGAAAGAGGTTGAACGAAACCGCCTCATCCTGGAAGAGACTCGCTACATGGGCGAGAACTTGGAGGAGAAGTTTGCCAACTACATGGGAATGATCATGAACTCGGCTGTAGTATATAACACCATCAAACGAATGACTGTCCTTCATCATCACTACTACCTCCCCCTGTATAAATTCATGGATATCTTCACAAGTGTGCTCAAGATATGTTACCGTGGCAAGGGCAGCATTGGTAAGGTTATCCTGTGTTATCAGAGCAAAGGTAGCAAAGGTGCTATTGACTCTAAAAATAGCTTTTAAATGTATCCAAGGAGATCTCCTTACATTGTGAATAGCTGAATCTATTGCATACATCAAATGAAATTAAATTTATGTAACCTTACTTGACCTTTGAACTTTGTCCCCTACAGGTGCCCCTGAGGCGAGGGCTCAGGAGCTGTCTGATGCCATGTCCTCAGCCATCTACAAACAGGTTGCCCTCATGATGTTTGAACAGCACTTTGCCCTCTTCCAACTCCTTGTTGCCATGGAAAGCATGCGACTTACACGAAAAACTTCGACAAAAGAATTAAGTCTTTTTATCAATGGCTTTGAGAAAACAGGATTGGACGAGTCGGTACTCCTGGAGAATAAACCCCAGTGGATGAGTAATCAGGTTGATATTTAGAAGTTCTCATGAAATTTGATAAAAATTTGTAAAGTTGGTGGAAAACTTATGAAATAATTCCTAAACGAAGGATAGTTCTTTCTATTCACTGAACATTAAAAACAATCAACACAGAAATACTTTAACTGAGAACTGGTTTTTCCCCACAGGCCTGGGTGGACTGCCTGGTGATGGAACAGCTCCACCATCCTTTCCATGGACTCAGACGATCACTCCAACAAACCAGCATCCAGTGGCAGGAATATTTCCAAGTAAGCGTTTTGGTTTTGCTTTAGATGTTTGCACCTCAGTACTCTAACTAGAGAAAGCAATCTTCGTCCAGCTTTCATTTCCCTAGTCGGATCTTATCTTCTTTATTTGGATTTTATGTGATATATCTATACAAAATTTGTTTATCATGTGAGACAGTATGCACTTAGAAGGTCAGGTCAAAGGTTGAAGGTTAAATGAGATTAATTGTTAAATCTTCTGACAAGGGTTTTCGTAAGAAACCGTATACATATGTGCGTCAGGTATAGAAATTTTGAGGCAGTACCTTGCTTTCCCTACTCCAAGGGTCAATAGTAAATGTATAACAAGGGTTAAGTTAAAACCAGAGATGAACTGTAGTGAGCTCATATAAAAATATGTAGTATTACGACTTACACATCAACTCACCATGTGTTTCAGCACCCAGTGGCCCTGATGAATCCGGTTCCTGGCTCTTCCTTACAAGATCTCACCGTGTTCCAGAAGTGTATTCTCTGGAAGATCATTTGTCCACATAGGGTAAATATCAACTTTGTCATGAAATTGTAATTTTACTGAAGACGCAATAACACAGAAATATGTTGGTTAGTAGTGTTTGACATTATTTCAAATTCTGTCTTGTATCAAAATATTTAGCCCTCAATAAAAGAGCATCGCCAAAACTATTCTTATGTATACATGCCATTAAGACGTTGTGATATTTTGTGGCATCATCTACTCCTTTCCTCTTGTACCAATTTACCAACATTATCCTCAATATGACCAGGGAGGGAGATCAATAAGGTCAAGGTATATAACTTATGGTACATGCCAAAGGTTGTGAAAGGAAGGCTTTTCTTAAACTGTGTTGTATTTGTTGCTAGTAATCATTAAACAGAGATGTAAGTTACTATACAATAGAAAAGAGATCCTTCGTCCCGATACAGACTAATCAGTTAAGATGGTAATAGATTCCTTGGGGGAATACAGAGTCAAGTCCAGAAACGAACCAATGTAAACAAAATATAGAGAACTGGACAACATCCTCATCTAGGAATGTTGTCCAGTTCTCTGTTTCGTCTATAAGATACTATGTAAGAGACTTGTTGTGTGATTCTGTTGTATATATTACAGCTCGCTGAGATTGCTTGTGCCTTAACCCTTTATGAACTTGGCAGTCTTCGGAAGGTCCCAGTCCACTACAATATCCGTGAGGTATATAACTACGTTGACAACACCACTCCAGCCATCCTTGTTCTGCCAAACTCTCAGAATGAATCTCCGATATCTGAGGGGACCAAAGGTACATCGTGTAGCAGTTTCATTTTGATAATGTACATATGAAGTTATTTGTTTTTCTAACTGTGTCAAAAACTCAAAAGAAATAGATTACATATGTTATGTTTACGTCCAAACGTATTACCTGGCAAGTACTCATGACCTTTGACATTTACAGGTAACACTTATGTCACTCCTGCGCACGAGATCAAACGACTTGCGAAGGAGGTTGGCATGGATGGTAAGGTGAAGGTCATGAACTTTGGGGTGAAAGGTCAGACGTCAGAAGCTCGCCATGCCCTTGAGGAGTGTATACAGAATGGTTATTGGCTTCTGCTACAGAACTACCACCTATCGGAGGAACCTGCTCGCCCCTTCTTTGCCCTCCTAAAGGTTTGTACCACAGCGACTCTTATTATAGACAATTTTACCGTTAGTACTTCGTATCATGTTGGTAGTAATGTTTTTTTTGTCAACCATAGCAATTACTAATAAAAAATATCTGCACGTAATTGATCTTAATGAAAATCCAAACAGAGGCACAAAATTATCATTTTAATATTTGTGGAAAGTCGGTTTCAAGTGGGATGAGTATTCTCTAAGTATGTTTAGTGGGACTGGATTTCTAGAAGAGATTAATTTTTATTACAGGACATTGTGTACAGTAAGTGGGTACAACATGAGCGCAGGAGACAACACTCAGAAGTGGCAGATAACACTGCTAACCTCGTTGTTTATGCCAAACCCACCATCAACCCGGATAACGACTTGGTCATTCACGACACATTCCGCCTCTGGATCACAACCAAAGCTGATGCAGGACGACAGATCCCAGGTGAGATCCTTGTGATGAACAGAAAACTGAAGATTTTAACTGTGTAACTTCTAAGAGATTGACTGTGAATGACAACAAGGCCACTGTTACACAGTCAGGAGAGTCTTTATATCCAAATGAAAGCAAATCTGATCAACCATTGTGAATATCAATTTACTAATGCTAATGTTACAAACAGATCCCACAATATATCTTTATCGATAAGGAGTGTAATTGTTGTGAATGCTTTATATTGCCATATAGTTCGTGATTTTCACAGCTCAAAATTTTCACTATTTTATTTTAAAACAAATTATTAACAAATTGAAATTTCATGAGCTGGATGTAAAAGGACATTATACATATTTGTCTCGTTATTTCAGGAATTGAATTTTCTTAATCATGATAAAAATGTTCTCCCAGTGAAGTTTAAACCTGCTATACAGTACTCTTATACACAGGAATTAAATATGGTCACATTACAGTGCATCGTGTTATAAAATCATGTCCTGATCTTTTGATATATCCCAAGCACCTTTGGAAAAAATAACAAAAGTAGATCTAAATGATTTTTTGAATTCTTTAATAGGAGTCTTGGTTCAGCATGGGTTCAAGGTCACTTGTGAGCAAACTGGAAACTTCAAGGCTACCCTCCAGAAATCATACCGCTCCACTGCTTTCCTCATGACAGACTTCCTTGCACACAATCCAAAGGTAAGTTAAGTCATAATGGTTTTCATTACTGGCAGTCTAAAGGTAACTCATGACAGACTTCCTCGCACACAGTCCAAAGGTAAGTTAAGTCATAATGGTTTTCATTACTGGCAGTCTATAGGTAGATCATGACAGACTTCCTTGCAGACAATCCAAAGGTAAGTTAAGTCATAATGGTTTTCATTACTGGCAGTCTAAAGGTAAATCATGACAGACTTCCTTGCACACAATCCAAAGGTAAGTTAAGTCATAATGGTTTTCATTATTGGCAGTCTATAGGTAACTCTGGACGGATTTCATTTCACATGTAGTGTACTACATTTTGTCTCCTTCACACTGCAGCAAAGTTTCAGTAAATATTCTGTTGGTTACAGATGAACAAGTGTAGCTATATCATGCCTCTTGCACTTCTGCATTCCGTGCTACTACAGCAGACTTTTTATGGACGGAATGCATTCCGTGGAGAAAACTTGTGGACACTGACTGACCTTGCCTTGGCAGTGGATGTGTTCAAGAAAGTAATGAAAATCAGTCATAGTCCAGAAGGAGTGAAGGAACTCATTTCCAAAGTGTATATGGACCACTGCACAGACGAGACTGACGCTAAGGTGGTCAGTACCTTGGTCAGCTCTCTGGCGGAGTATGCAATCAATCCCGATAGAACGGTCAGTATACAGTCTACCAAATCCTAAAGATTGTAAAAAAGGCATTAACAAATGAAATTAATGTGTAATTATTAATATTTTCAATATTTCTGATGGATTTTACAGATATCCACTATCAATGACAACATAATTTTAGAAAATATTATCCTTGTTGAATTTACTGATAAGATCTTCTTTCTTACTTAGCCTCCTCGAGAAAAGTCCAACATTGCAATCCTTTTGGAAAAATTACTCCATTCCAAAGACAACTTCCAACTGCGAAAAGCTGTGGACTCTCTGGAGGAGCTCTCTGCTAAATGTTATGGATTACCAGAGTCGGCAGATACTAACATTACATCTGTCACCAGCAGGTAATTAATTCTCTATATAGCTTTCAACTTTTAAAAGTTTTAAAAAACTACATATAAATATCTTGTGTGTTAAAAAATACTGTCTATTAAAATATCTGTGTGATATTTATGTAGAGAACTCTATTGTAAATCAAGATTATATGTAATTTATATGGTGCTGTATAAGGTACCTGGTTTACCTGTGCATGTATACAATTTCTTACCTCTATTATAGGGTATTAGTGAAGAACCTGATCCAAGTGACTGGAGCTCCAGAACTCTTCCAGAAGGTGACCACAAGCACACCCCCAATGGGTTGGTATGCAGAGGCAGTGTTCCCTCAGCTTGTGGCTTGTCTCCAGGCTTGCCCCACACTACCCGACACTAACAGGAACCAGGTGTTGCCGTTAGACACTTTCCTCCATGGAGAGGTGGAGTGTTATCGTAGCCTGCTAGCCACTGTCCAGGCTGAGCTTGCCCTACTCCAGCGTCGCGCCCGAGGGGAGATCCTCCTCAGTAAGCCCTTCCAGGATGTTATCTCGGCGCTAAGTAGTGACCGTGTTCCGAAAAGCTGGTTAGCACAGACATTTCCATCAGCATCAACTCTTACAGAATGGATAAGCTGCCTGCCAACCAAAATCGAGACACTTCTATCTTACTTCAAACAATCACCTCACATCCCAACCTACAACTTGTCAGTCTTCATGCGACCAGACCGCTTCCTTGAAGCTATTAAACATACACATGCTCGCAAAAACTTCAAAGATGTCGACTCCATCGTGTTTGATGTCCAGGTAAGTAATTAATTAATTACAAGTTGTCCTGTTGAGATGTTGAAAGCCAGATCTAGTGCAATGATATACATACAAATTGTATATGAGAAGGATGAAACTCTAGATGTTAATACCAAGATTTACAATCATAATAAGTGTGAAATATCATTGAGATTATTGCCCTTTGTTGCAACTCTTCAGTTAAGGGGACATGATTAGGTGGTTACCAGAGAATAACTACCACGGTAGAAATGTAGTACAAATTTATAGTAAATGAAGAAAAGTAGAGATAAAATCACCTGTATTACTTCTGAAACAAAATCTCAGAAATATACTGTTATTTTCATTGGATATAGTAGTAACTTCTCCAGGACTTTGGAACTCTTAAGCTTTTAGCTACCTGGATGTCCTGATGCATGCAGATCTTTTCAATGTACTATGTTCCAAAGACTATGTATGATCAACCCAGACTTTGTGTATCATCTCTGTAGGGCATGCATGTTTTATATTTTGTTTTTTTTTTTCTAGCCCATCATCAGTCTTTTAAAAAAAAAGTAAAACCCTTTAGTCACAGGATTTTACAGGATAAAATGTTGACCAGCAGTTGTGTCCCCTTCTTGATCAGGCCTTAGTTGCTAAATCTTAAAAAGTGCATGTGTAGTTATTGGTAATCTCTTTCTCTACAACCCCTGTCTAGAGATTTCTCCCTATTTAGAGATTTCTCCCTATTTAGAGATTTCTCTTTCAAACTCCTCGTTCAGCGTGAAACATAACTTTATGAAGAGAGGTTACGTCTTTGAATGTATGTGAAAATTAAGGTATTGGGATCACCTACCCAACCACATGGGTTTTCTTTTGGTTTTTCCCCACAATAAGAACCCCCTTATACATTTTCATCCAAGTCAACAAGAGTGATTAATATAAGCTGTTAGCTTATTTTGAAATTGTTGTAAAATAGGTAAAGTTTATATTCAATATATCACTTGCTATATGGTTCCTCCGACAGATTCCAAGGAGATATGTCATATTAAATCACTATAAACAAAACTTATTTGTTGCAATACAGGCCCTATGGACCTCTTTGATCCAAATCGCAAGCTGTCAGTCTTATCCAGTTCATCCCAGATTTTTATGTCCTGTTTAGTTAAATCTCCCATTTTACATGTCACAATCAGCAATGCTTAACCTGTAGCAATGTCTTGAAATCTAAGATACCCTGGAGCTATATTTACCTCTGGTTTGAAATCCTGATGAGAAAGTTAAATCTTTATGAAACATTAATGGTGACCTCCCATAATTACCTCCCCTGAGTTGTTCATGTTCTGATGTGAAGGATAACAAAGTTACCTCCCTTTAAGTTAAGATGAAAAATTCAGATGAGAATAACACCTGTATGCTCTCTGTAGTAATGAGCTCAGCTGTCCTGTTTATCATTACACAGTGGTCCTCCTCTTTGATGTTGCTGGCATTGCTTTGCACGGAAATTGTTCAGTCATAACTCAGTGTATAACGAAAGAGAAAATTAGGTATCTGCCTAGATTTCTTGTGACTGTGGGATAGTTTGGCCAGAGATAGTCATCAACATAAGCTCTAGAACATCTGTGGACCTACATGTAACAGTCTCTGTATGCTTGTTATTAAGGATTGAAAGGTGTGCAAAATGGCAGAAATAGGTTCAAGAAGACCTATTCAACTAAACAGAGAAGTAAACATGCATATATCGGATATCTTCTAAGTTTTAATGCTATAGACATAAGAGGTCTACATTGGTAAGATCTGCTTTGTTCTATTTTTTTTTCACCCATTTTTAATGTCAGGTCATATTTGGTTTCCATGAATATTAAGCTAAATAAATGTCAATTATGATGTTTAAGACCTTGATTGATTGGAAATTAAGTTAAAATTTATCCAGTTACTCCCGTTTTCAACACTTCTATCCTTTTATCAATCCTTGATTGGAAATAAGATCATAGATGTATCTTTTAAATACTAGTTCATATCTCTAGCCATTTAAAAATATATAACATCTGTAATAACTACACATGTTTACCTACACCATAAAGAGTTTGGTTTTACAAATTGATAGGTTTAGATATGTGTGTATATTGCACAGTGTTAGCATATAAGGATATATGCACGTATAGTACTGTACTGAGCAGTCAACTGTTTAATATACATGTACCAGCACTATAATGCTTATGATGTATGCATAGTTCCCTGATAGAAGAGATAAAAATTTAGTGCATGATTCTGACATCAAAGTATATTCAAGCTGACAGGGAAAGGCTGTATACATACACATAGGCTAGTGTGTTGATACTGTCTCAAATCACTATCTGATGTATTGTCTAGTACGTAGATGTATCTTCTACATCAACAAAGCTACATATCCATTAGTATACCCCCTGTGAAGTAAGGTATTTACAGGATCACAGTGAGTTGTGTGTCTCTACATCTATTGCCTTGAAAGTCTGGTTGATTGTGTTGTGGCTAGGTACCATATTACGCTCACAAGTCCGTAGAACAAGATTATACTTTATTTGTATGATGAGCAAATATTTTCAATGTACTCAGTGGAAACTGGACCCTAATATTATATAAGCCATCAACACAAATAATGATCAAGGCACCAGATTGTTGAATTTGGATTTTCTGTAAATTATCTTTCAATAGCGACTTTTAAGTTATATTTGTCTTTCATGCATTTTCATGGTTGACACACATTTGTTTAAAAAAAAAAAATTGCAAAAAAATTTAAAAGGGTAATGAAAAGTTATTATGATCAAGTATTTGTACTACAGTTTTGTTACCAGAAAGTTAATTTCCTCAAACTCACTGCAATGTGGAAATCGTGAAAGTTATAACCATAGTCATACGAAAGTTATAACCGTACCAAAGTTATAATCGTAGTGGTACAAAAGTTGTTACCATAGCCATGAAAGAAAGTTGGATTAACACATATCAAAGAATTTATTGTATCAGTCACCTGTTTAGAGATAGAGGAGACTTTGTAGTACTGTTCATGGTAGATTGTGTGTGTTGTGATCTGATAGCATTTGAACTGTAGTAAGGATATTCCGTCTGGTTAACTGATGAATTCTATAATAGTTCAATATTTTTTTACTTTCCAGGTGATGCCTGAGGGGATGAATCCATCAACAGCTCCACGAGATGGTATATTTCTGACTGGTTTAACATTGTACAATGCTTTGTGGGACACATCACGGGGCACACTGATGTCTAATAACACCGACTCTCAACCATGGCAGGAGATGCCTGTACTCTGGCTAAAGCCCTCGGACACTGGGTCCAGTCTGGGTCAGAAATATCATGTGTATCCATGTCCTGTGTACTGTACCAAGGACTCTAGTCAGCTGGGAGACCCAAATCTTGTCACCCACCTACCCCTTCCCACACTTGACCATCCCAATGCCTGGCACCAATCTCGTGTTTTCCTTGTCAGTGAGATATGACCAGTTAGCGAAGGCTTCGTCACATTCAGAAACATTCAAAGAAATTTGTGTAAGAAATACACGGGTGTCAGAATCCATAATGTACTTGCTACGGTAATGCAGGCATACTTTGGTATAATAAAAAAAGACTTCTGGTTATGTATGACATTCCATTTCCTGCGAGTAACAACAGGATTCAATATAACCAGAAAAATACTAATGTGAATTCAAATCACATACATAAGCAAAACTACTGAGGAAAAATAGAGCTGTTCAAATATTTCTCAAGAGACTGTGATATACATATAATTGTTTTTATATTTTTTAAAAATTTATGTATATATATTCTGTATGTATATAAGTATACATAGCTGTAAATACAGAATTTTATTTAAGTTGCTTTGTTTATGAAACTCCACATTCTAATCACTATTGTTTATTTATATAGTGGGAAATCTTATATCCGTCACTACTGAGCATGCATTTGTTTGTGAGTGAATCCATCCATATGTATTTTTAGCACTGTAATATATTATATCACAGATCAAGACCTGAGATAACATGAACAATAGAGACGGTGATTCTCCAAGAGTGATTATTGTGTATATAATTCCTTCCTCTGTTAAATTGTCTAAGTAGTCGAGTTAATCTGTCGTTGTCTTGACAATATTACTGCTGTAATGGGCTTGTCCGTCCATTACGAGGAAATAAACATAACTGCTGTGGTAAAACTGCTGTCCGTCCATTGTTAGGAAATAACATAACTGCTGATGTCAGCTCCTGTCCGTCCATTTTGAGGAAATAGTATTATTGCTGTGGAAAAACTGCTGTCCTACCATTGTGAGGAAATAACAACTGCTGTGGTAAAACTGCTCTGTCCATTGTGAGGAAATAACCTAACTGCCGACGTCAGCTCCTATCCATCATTGGAGGAAAAAACATTTCTGCTAAAGTTGGCTTGTCTGTCCATTGTGAGGAAATAAAATTACTGCTAAATCAGCTTGTCTCTATACATTGTGAGAAAAATCATTTTGGTCAATGTGCAGTTTGCAGTGTTGTATAAGATATTGGGGTCTTAAAGTTGGAAGGAATTATCTGATGTTGTACATTCAGACCAATACTTTCCCTATTTGCCAATGGTAAAAATGTATCAACAAGTTACCAGAATTAATGTAATCTACAATATATATGCATCCTCTACAATAATTTTCCAATATCATGCAGTATTATCTTGTTTTTTAATGAAACGTGATAGATTTACATAATATATTTATTTTAAGTGCTTCTTTGGGTTAGGTATTTTATGTGCCAAAAACCTGTTAAGTTACATGTGCAACATTTGCCTGTATGGCTGGTGTGTAAACTGTTGCATGTGACCCTAAAGACCACAATAAATTTGAATATCATTTGCTGTTGTCAGTGTATTTTATCAACACTTATAAATAATCATTTTTTTTCTGGCCATTTTTGCTCAGTAAAAATTCAACCGTTGGAATGAACTGGAAAGCCGTCGCAAAAATAAGCAAGCACATATTGGGTATAGGACTGGAAAAACACTGATGATGAATAAACCTATCAAAGCATGAAGACCATAAGTGAATGAATTGGTCTATAAAGGCACTTTCTATAAAGGCCTGCTTGAAGATTTGTTTTTAATTTAGCAACACCAGACATCCTAGAAAGAATATATGTCTGTATAAATGTTTACTGTATCTAAGTGTTCATTAAAGACATATATTTATATACAGTAAACATTTATACAATGTGTAACAGAAACTGCTTTTCTAAACTTGTAGCTGTGGTGTTTACAGACTATAGAACATGACTAGTCTGTATTTCATGCTTGTGACTTGAATGGTCTTGACCAATTGTTGGATGAAGACTAATGAAAAATTGTTATTTATTAAAAATAATGGGCAATGATTGGATTCACTATGATCAGGTGTATAATGTGAGCATCACCCTTGGTGTCTGTTCAACTTGGGACAAAATGCATCTCCCACATTCAGTAGCGAGATAAAAACGTCAAAAAAAAAAAAGAAAAAAGATGAACGGTCACAGATTGCTTGATATTATTTATTCACAGTTGGCACATCATACAAGAGCTCATCAGACACGCTGCTGTTTTCTGTACAGCCATCAATCAAGCCAACCACATTAAAATCATTTATCATCATCATAGAAACAGTAAAATGTCCTTACATTCACATACAATTCTCTACCTGAGCAAATACTACCATCAATGACACTTCAGAGACTTTCTCTTTAATTACATTTTGCTTCTTTATTTCAACAAAAAATTAAAAATTTCATGTCAATAAAAAGTTTCGTTTTTTTCAGTTAAAGATATTTAAGAAAAATTGTTATATATAAAAAGCTGAAAGTTCAAAATCTTTTTGAAGAATTTCATGCAAATCCATCCTCACTGGTTGAAAAATGTGCAACAAAAAGGCTTTTACACTTGTGGATGATGCGGTAGATTTACATATGATAACACTGCAGCATTGTCTTCTTTAATTCTCGACAAGAGGTTTACACTGATGTATCATACATATAATGATATGTAGACCTGGACACAGGCCCACAATAATGATCACATTCAAAGGCACAATGATCAAAAAGGCACCATGGAAAAAAGATCTCCAAAGGCACTTAACAAATCACATTCTGAAGCACAGGAAAAAAATTACCACTAAGACAAAATGAAACATGTAAGGATTTCTTAGAATATTACTAAATTAAATAATACAAGTCCTGAAGCACTGAGACAAACTATATCACTAGAAAAAAAAAATCCCAGAAACCTGTAAAGATTTCGAAGGCATGATACAAAAAGATCACATTGATAAACACAAGATTTAATAATGTACATTGTACTGCTACATAACTAGACACAAATATAAGATTACAACATCAAACTCAAAACTCAGTTACAAAGACATCTTTGCATTCATGTCGCAGAACTAACACAATCATAAATAAATCTGGTACAAATGATCACATAACAAGAAAAGCAACACAAACCATTCAAATAAGTTTTCAGAAACAACGAGCAAAAAGACATCCCCTGCATTCTCGTAAGTTGCGAATGCAAGGCAGATGCTTTCTCAAGATCCCTCTCTCAAACCAAACAAAAATCTTAAGTGTGCACTGCCCTCATAAAATGTTGCATCTTTTTAAGGACTTGTACCTTCAATGTTTCTTTTCTCCAAATAATCTGTATGGAGAATTTTTTAGCAGAAATAGACGAGTCCCATTAACAGTGATTAAATGCCGTAACACAAGGGATCTAATACTGTACCCTTACAAAAACAAACAGGTGTGATGTCATCATTCTATGTTGCTTCTAACAAATTGCTTATCCAATAATACCATCAAATACCACTAGATTGTCTGAGAACTTGACTCAGAGATCAAACTGAAAAATTATTACAGAATTTAATGCAAAGTTTCAATATGGACTTCCAGTAAATATCCATTTTTTACCTAAAATTTTTGAATGTAGTATTTCTTTCACCTACACCTTCCTTATGATTTGAGTTGTTATATAACTACATCAAGAACTGGCACTTTCAGAGAAACTGACAAAAAACAAATTCACAACAAGGGTCAATGCCACTGGCTACGTAACAACAATACTTTTAGTCTTCTTTACCATCTTAAATTTCAAAAGAACTGGATAGTAGATTAAGATAAATTTCTGGATTAAAATTTCATCCATAGAAGGAAGTCATAATGATACTTGCAAATCTCTTTCATACTTCCAGGGGTTTAAACAACTCTTTACAAGGTGACTACATACACACATCATCTCATATAACATACATATTTCAGCAGCATCTGATCATGGTATTTTAGTGCTTTTGGCATTTAATGTAATATATCATGATTTGGTTAATTTTTCCAACATTATTTCTATTACAGAGGTTCAGGGTGTGATGGCTATGACTGCAGTAAATAAGTCATGATTAAAATTTCAGCATGCTAAAATATGTATGCTAATATGAAGAAATTGTAATTTGCATACAAATACGTTCACCACGCTAGAAATTACACAATACATAGTTACAACCAATATGAAATGTATAACAGATTTTTTTTATACGATATCAAACGACACTTTCAACACTTTCAAAATATGAAAATAAAAAAAGACAACAAATGATGCATAAAAATGAGAGGAATTATGGAAGTAATATTAATAACTGAAAGTGGACGACACCATCAAGGCCACTTGCTGGCTAAACATGAACTACCTATATAATTCAAACGATAATATACTGATTATTCACTATCTAGTAATTTCTATACCTATGTATTCCAATGGTAATTTAGTTACATTCTTTTACATATACATCTAATACAATTCAGAAGTTTCTATATATGGTGTGTCCTTTGTAGAATATTGTTTCGTGACAACTATCGACTGTCCCCTTGTACACAATAAGACAGAATCATGTACAACATTTAGCATATTCACCAGCAAGTGACCTTGAACTGACAGCTGGGAATAAAGGATTGGATGAATCACAGAAAAAAATCATATATAAATCTATGTATGCTAAAGATGATTATTTATCAAAGCAAAAACAAAACAATATCAATAGAGATACAGAAAATGAAATATTTTTTTAAATAAAATCTGCAAAGGGATATGTTAATTTTCTCAGATCAGCGAACGAACAACTTAATCTCTCACAAATAGTAAATAGTCCACAACCTTGATTTCTCTACAGGTAGTATCATCAAAAACTAAATACAAAAACAAAGTACAATATATATTTACACAACAAAAACATAACTTCTCATATATATGTATTCATCAATATCTTTCCCTAACTTGCCCACAATTTAATACCAATAGCAGATTCACAAGAAAATATGCTTAACACATCAAAATGACAGACCTAATGGAAACATTTTTTTTATTACAGACTCATTCATTCTCCTTCCACATGGTAAATGTGGGTTATTCAAGAGCTGGACCATACAGCAACACCTCTACATGTACAGGACCACACCTGTCTGTACAGTACAACCTCTATAGGTAAAGGACCACACCTGTCTGTACAGTACAACCCTACATGTACAGGACCACACCTGTCTGTACAGTACAACTTCTACAGGTACAGAACCACACCTGTCTGTACAGTACAACCTCTACAGGTACAGAACCACACCTGTCTGTATAGTACAGCCCTACAGGTACAGGACCACACCTGTCTGTACAGTACAACTTCTACAGGTACAGAACCACACCTGTCTGTACAGTACAGCCCTACAGGTACAGGACCACACCTGTCTGTACAGTACAACTTCTACAGGTACAGAACCACACCTGTCTGTACAGTACAACCTCTACAGGTACAGAACCACACCTGTCTGTACAGTACAGCCTCTACAGATACAGAACCACACTTGTCTGTACAGTAGAGCCTCTACAGGTACTGAACCAAACCGGTTTGTGTGGCACAGCCTAGTGGAGTATAGTAGAGCCTCTACAGGTACTGAACCAAACCGGTTTGTGTGGCACAGCCTAGTGGAGTATAATGTCTGATGTACTGTTTAACTTGGGTTGTTCTCTGCCTGTAACAATGTAGTTAATTATGCACAATAGTGTATTTTGCCATTCCACCCTGGGTATTGTAGTCTGCCCATCAAAATGCTATTCCATATCATAATTGTACTCTAACTTCGAAGTGTACACAACATTAGTATACAGTAAAAAGACAATGTTACAAATCAATTTCATGATCTACAAAATTTTCTTAGCAATGTTTTAGCACTGTTTCCTAATATAAAAAAAAATTCTTCACTGATGTATCGCAAATAAATCATTGAAAAAATTTACTTTTTTCTCCGTCATTAGCAGTTATTTGGAGACCAATCAAAGAATAAAATTGATTTACAGTACTATTTCCAGCCTACTACTTGGGTCATGGACCTCTCCTTGAATTTGAATTCTAACATTATCTTCAAGCTATTTCTAATGATGGTTTCTAGTTTTTGTGCAGACAGGTATAAATTAAATCATCTATAATTGTCAAAAAGACACATGAAATAGGTATGAAACTAATAGATGCTTATGGCTTATGGTGTGATATCACATGCCGCTCAAGTCTAATCACACACAACCATTGATATCCAATGAGACAGCTACTCAGACCAATCTCTATCAACATGGTGATGAGGCAGCATGAACAAGGTGCAACTAACATCAAAACAACATGCATTATCTATAAACTAAAGATCATATTCAAGGAGAAACTCAAGGCCAATGGCCAGGTGACTAGTCTGCTCTAACTTCAGTTTCCAACCAAAGGTAAAATGTGATTAAAAAAATTTGAGAAAAACTGAACAATTTAGATTAGAAAATTCAATTTTTAGATAAGATGTAGATATCAAATACAGTGTAACGTCTATAAGTTTGTGATGCTAAAGTGGGTGAGTGGAGAGCATGCTCACTAGACATTCAAAACATGCCGAGGAATCTGGTGGACACTTGACCAATGACCATACTACGCAATGACTTAACATGCTAACATGCTGACTAGTCTCATGGGACAGAATCTTTGATTACTGGCCATGCCATGAGCCTTATATAATACCGAATGGCCATAAAAACGGAACACACTCTATGTGCAGTTTAACAGATGACAAACAAGAAGCAAGGAGTTGAACATCAAAATTTAAACAAACAGTAACTAAAATGGTTTGGTGGGTCGGGGAATTCAAATGAGGGGGTCAATTTGGCAGTCAATAATAGGGAGCTGGGGAAATCTGTCCGAATGAATATGTCTATTATGGAAGCTTAAGTTTGGGTGGATGCCTTTAAGAGGTTGCAATGAGTAATCAACATATGAACAAAGCTAAGTCAGTTTGAGCTTTGTAATGTTCTGGAGTATTTTATCTGTCAGCTACTATCTATTTGTCAGGCGTAGGGGGAGGGGTAAGCAGTGGATGTCGGAGAAGTCCCTCAGCAAGCTCAAGGCCTGTAGACTCAGGGGATCGTAGGAGTGTCATGTGAGCCGCCATAGCCTTAGTTGGGATCATCAGACGCTGAACCTTGTTGCCGTGTTTCACGAGGTATGTTGGGCTGCTGTAGGGACGTCGGGGTATGGTTGACAGCGACTTCTTGGTGTATGGTGCCACAGAGGCAGCAGCCGTTGTTGTGGATTTGGTAGGAGGGGGAGCAACAGTGGGGGCCGGGGGATGTACTGGTATCGTCGTCATGGCAACAGTAGGTGGCAGTGGCTGCTCGCTGTGGTCAGTGACATAAGGATTGTTGACCAGGGACGTATCCTGCACCATCCCACTGCCCTGAAACATGGTGCTCAAGCTTAAACATGTACAGGCCGCCACACACATGCAGTTGGCTTACTTAATTATGGTGTGAATACACATACATCTATATTCCTTCAACACCATATCTGCATCATCTAGCACATTATGACAATAAAATACAAATAAACAGTGATATAACAACAGCAAGGTTCTTATAAATACTTTAATACTGTCTACAAATTTCTGATTAACTAGAACAACCCACTACCCATTAGTTTTAGAATGAAACATGATTTTTTTTATATACTGATGTGTGAAAACTTGACCACATTATCAGTCTGAAATCCATCAGCTGCTCTGGTTTTGAATGGCACATATGATTGCTTCAATGGCAAAGCTGTTTACACGAGTATGTTAGTGCAAGTGTACATGTAAGGGTACACATAGGCACATTCTTAAACATGTACGATATCAGCTAAATGCATGTATGCAGATTATAAGGTATAAAACACACTTTGAGTACAGCCATCCCTTGCCACATCCATGACCAATATTTAGTTTTGGGTAACCTGCAAATTGCAACGGGGATAATGTGAGAGTCCACAATGAAATGGTGAAAAATAAATTGTCTCCTTGCTTCTTAAACAGGACAATGTGTGATGAACTGAGAAAACATGATGTGAGGAAATAATATGATCTCCATGCAAACAACAAAACAGTTGGTTAAGTGTGATTCAAATCATTAACACAGAAATGTCTGCATGCCCAGAACAGAGTTAGTACAGAGTAATGCTTTGTTAGTATTCTGCCAAGTGAGCATGGGGGATTATTGGTAGAGTGAAATATCAATTCTTAACATTCAAAATTGATATCTCAGACAAAACATGAATACATCTATGTAATAAATAAATGTATACAAATAGCAATATGCCAATATATATCCAATAAAATCGCTCAAAACAATCGGTCACTATTAATTACATAATGGAGACAATTAATCTATAAATTGCTCCAAACAGGGTCATTAAAATACAGCGATCTAAGAAAAGATTATAAAATGTGCAGAGTTGACGCAATAATACTGCGCTATCATGGAATGCATTTTTAAGTCAATTGTGTGCACACAATTCTGGTTATGATGTCCAAGCCTGTATCCTGTAGTGATGCCAGCTGATATTGTGAGTCCAATGGTCACTTGAGCAGGGTGTAGGTCATGGAGGTGGCAGGGTAGGTATACATGAAGTTGTGATTTGGGTCCTCCACCTACAGACATATACAAGACACAACATTCAGTTACCTCATCATTTACCTGCCCTTCTGTATCCATACCACATCAGCATCTCACCCCTAACTACTTACCTCACCATAAACTAACCATTCTGATTCCTTAACCAAACATACCACATCAGTATCACTCTCCTTACCTATACACAGGTAGCTACCTCTGTCATCATTCACCAAACTTTCTAGAACTAAAACTTCATCAGTATGCCTTATGAAATGTATACACCCAACAGTAACTGTAGTTGCCTCCCCTCGACTTTCCGACAAATATTCCTCACCTTGTAATTTACTTAAATCTGTTTTTAATCCCTTTCTGCTGTTAGCATTTAGGTAGCATGACTTCTAAACAATACAAAATGAAACTGCTGTCTTCCTTCCCAAATACCAATACTTGAAAGATGTTCTCTACGTTATGTAAATACTGAGTGACCTTCATTACTTCTTTCTTCATACAAGTGCATAAAGTCATCAAAATTTCCTGCTGCTAAAAACTCCTGTATGCACCGACCAATTAGACTAATTAATTTGAATGACACGTACAACACTGGACAGGACAGACAATAGAGATCTAGAGATGGAAATGATTTATGGGGTACATTTTGTAAACAGACAGACACTACTAAGTCAGTGTTCCTATACTTCCTCCTGTACAGTACTATCTGTCAGTACATTGTGGCAACAACACATATCTTCCTCGTTACTTCTACACACTTCTCATAGCAAATTGACCAGGTTGTAAAGCATTCAGTTATGATCTGCTAAAGCCATCAGGAGGAAGACTGGAGCCCATAGCTAGATAATGTTACATATCCTCACAACCACATATAGTCTTCACACCAATGTGTGTAGCCTATTACAACACAAATCCATACTTATAATTGTCTGCCTTATCACTGGTAGTGGAGCTGCCCATCAACTGGGGCCAATGACTACAGCTACGCTCTGTACTTGTCCAACTAGGTAGTAATACAACCTCCCCCCCACCTCCCAAACCCTATCCCCCCTCCTCCATATCCAGAATTGTAGCATAATATATGTATCATGTGTCATGTTTTTCGTATTTCTCATGTTTAACTTCAATATGTATTGGGGGTTATTTTTAAATAAATTATATACAAGATTTATCAACCGAAATGTTTATCAAATTTTACTTAGAATGTCTTTATCCAAAACCAGATATCATATTGATATCTCACCACTGAACACTTATGAAAATATGTAAGACAGGCCATTTATCATGCATTTTACTTCTACCTTGTACACTTTTTAGCATTAATTCATGCCAGTTTTATAAATCATTTATCCTTAATGCCATGAACAAACTTCCACAAGATGCAAAATGTCTGAAGTATCTTCAGCTTTGTGTGTATGTGAATTTTGCTTTAAAGTAAATTCAAGACATTCTCTAGCAACCAGATATTTGCTGTGTCAGGACAGATTTTTTTTTGAGAACAGGCACCAATGCAAGGATGCAACATGCTATCTACCTCAAGATCATAGACAACATTAACAATTTATCAGAATCATGGCATGGACAGAAGTTTTAAGAAAGGGATACACAAGTATCCACAAATATGTGCAGAAAATGGTTTAATATTTTTTCAAATTAGTCTGATCAACTGAGGTAATATTAAATGGACCATTCATGTAAGCAGCCAACAACAAGCAGAAAGAAACAGGCTACACACATCATTTTTTCTTGCACCTCGGACATCCACAAACACCGACTGCTAGAGAACAACATCTCTGTGGTATCAAAATATCTTCAGCATGTGGTATTAACAACTTAAGGGTCAAAGAAATGAGAGGCAGTGAACACAGCAAAAACCATGAATCTTGGATATGATTGATTTGCTACAAAGTATTTGCCATGCATAGTCATGTTGATTACAGCTGCATACAACACAACCCAAAGGTTAGAACCAGCGTCCATAAAAATGTGTCCCTTTGCCATGAGTAGTCAGCAACCAACATGATTCTCGAACCTATATCCGGTACTTTGATTGTTATGTATGTAAGTAATAAGTAATTTGTACCATAAAAAAGGGTATCTGACATAGATGTAATTATCACATATTACATTATTAAATAATAAATACATTTTCACATAAGCATATTTATGGGAGGTACAGAGAGACCTTAATCAGCATCAAGGATATTTATGGGAGGTACAGAGAGACTTTAATCAACATCAAGGTATGAAGGACCTAATTTACTACTGCAATTTTCTGAGGTTTTGTTCCGTTTTTAAAAATGAAATAGTAACATGATTTTAGGCACACCATCTATATTATATATATAAAACTATTTTATACCGATTTCAGACTAGAGTCCCTTTCAACATCAACGACGAAAACTATGACATTGATAGAACACCAGCAACTTCCATCTTCACTAACACAAAGTGTACCCTATACCTAGTATTTGACCCTTCCAAAAGGGTGTTTTGGAAATTCACTTGCAATATTAAAAAAACATTTATTTAAATTTAACAGAAGAATGATATATCATTATGTCCCTATGTAGGTAACCTTTGTTATCTGAAGATATGCACAAGATTCCACAGGGTGTGCTGGTTATTTATCTCGCTTGATTTTAAATCTTGCAGTTGAGGTGGTGGAGCCGGAAAAAATGCACACAGGTTTATGATCAAATGTAATCCTAAAACCAATCACAAACAAGCACTTTCTTTCAGGATGTACTGAATGAAGTCTTAAAGGAATTGGCCAAACAAAACTCCAATTTTCTATACATAGTAACAGAGATGTTGACATCCAGACTTGACAAGTACATTCTTCAAGAAACAAGAAAAGAAGTTGAAACAGAACTAATGTGCAGAAAAAGAACCGGGACAGATCAACGAAAGCGACTGTGTTATCACTTCTGATCAGGTACAAAAATGTTTGAAGGATCCTTCACATAACTTAGTTTTTCATCATTTGACATATTTCTAAAGACAGTAACAATGACCTTTATGTTTGATTCCAGCCATATAAACTGTTGTTGGGTTCTCTCACTTATCAATGTGGTAACTTGGGTCAATTAACAACTTTTAAAGTGATATTCTGATAAAAGAAATTTAAAATAATGCTTCTATATTTATTGATATTTTTTTACCAATAGCACTTGTGACCTTGACATTGACCTTGGCACTTTTTCAGTATTCATCAAATCTAATTAAATTGATAATAGTCTTCATGCAGTGTCTGAACAACTTTTGAATTGACATTATTGTGATGACATTAACTGAGATGTCACAGAATGTCAATGTCTGTTTTTCTAAACATGCACTAAGAAGCTGATTATTCAAATCACATGCATGATGGTTATTAATGAAACATAATTTTGCTATATTTTTGAAAACTTAGTACAATTTCGTTGCTGTACAAAGCAAACTATGTCTACACAATCTGACACTAATTGATCTATTTGCTACAGAATCTGATTCTCATTTCACCAATCACATATACAGGATTATATAAACACGACTTGAGGACAGAAGCCCCAGAAATATAGTTTCATGCATACAAATGTTGTGTACAACTTGTCAAGATGTCACAGGATCAATATATCTTTTCCAAAGCAGTTTTCGCATCCCTTCATCATTGTGATTATATAGAATCACATTCCAAATAGATACAGAATATATAGATTTTCACCAGGTATCCACAATCACTACGTTATACGGGATTATGTAAAAGTACTGGTGATACAACAGTAACATTTGTCCCAATAACAGAATGTATGTATGTATTACACATTCTCTTTTGTACCAGGTAATCACCAGGTTTTCACAATCACCCTGTATCACTGAGTTTATATAAATGTGCCGGTGATACATCAGTAACATTTGTCCCAATTACAGAATGCGTACATGTATTACACATTCTAATTTGGTACAGCAGTAACACAAAATCACCTCAATATACAGCAGGTGTACAATCACCTTGTGACGTAGCCTGTACATGTGATCACCTCATAATATAACAGGCTTGGGTAGCATGTATGGAAAAAGTTCCAGGATTGCTATATCCAAGAGGATTAATCCTCTTGAAGGGTTATGAAGTTCACATGATTTATCAAATATACTTATATACACAGAAATGGAGTCAAATAAATTAAAAACAAAACAAATACATTTCAACAATTTAAAAATAGAATTTTCCTCAAGAAAACAAGTTAACAAAACATAGATGACTGTTGGCTACACAAAGCTGACGCCAAACGAAAAAGTGTAATGACTCTATATATTGGATTACTTACTACCTTAATCTTTCAAGACCATCTGCTCCATATCCACCACAACTACCTATTCAATGTCGGTCTGGTCACAGAAATACCAGAAAATATAACAATATATATAGCCTTGTGGAATCATGATGTGTAAAGTCGGACAACTGTCCATGACAATATATAATGAACATATTTTAATGCTGCTTTAACATAAACACAGTTTGGCTTGTTTCAATCATAATACCTTATTTCCTATGTGCTTCTCTACAAGAGGTTACTATTCTTCTTTTCAAAATTCCATGTGATTGAATTCGCATCACCATTGGCATCAGAAAGTTGGTGTCAAATGCACCTGATGGACATCAACTGCATGCAAGTAGTGTTCAAGTGAGGCTTTGTTTTCAGTGTCTTATAAAGTTCAATGAACACATGCTTATCCAAGTTTTATATGACAAAGACCTGATGACACTGGGATAGACCTGTTTCTTTTTAGACAAAATGAAAACAACCTCGAACTTTGGAATAAGTTGGGGTGGGTGGGTTTCTTGTCAAAACTCAAAATTTTCACCTAGTTTCTTTCCCAAGGAAAATGAAATATCCTTTGAAATCCATTTTGCACTCACCAGAAAAACCACTACTTTATACTGAGAAATTAAGCTACTATTCTTCATCTTTTTCACCCATTTGTCAATAGGGTGAAAGTATTTAGGCAGGCTACGTTTGATGTTATCAAAAAGAAATATGTTCTTATGTATTGAAGAGCCAATTTAACACCAAGAAAATGAAGGGTTACATACATGAGCAAAAATAACGCTTGGCAAATGTTTCTCTGTATTTAGTAATATCCTCGATCTGTAGGTACCTTACCGTGACCAGACAGAGTTTATTAGTAATATCCTCGATCTGTAGGTACCTTACCTTGACCAGACAGAGATTATTAGTAATATCCTTGATCTGTAGGTACCTTACCTTGACCAGACAGAGTTTATTAGTAATATCCTCGATCTGTAGGTACCTTACCTTGACCAGACAGAGTTTATTAGTAATATCCCCGATCTGTAGGTACCTTACCTTGACCAGACAGAGATTATTAGTAATATCCTTGATCTGTAGGTACCTTACCTTGACCAGACAGAGTTTATTAGTAATATCCTCGATCTGTAGGTACCTTACCTTGACCAGACAGAGTTTAAACATACCGCTCAAGCAAAGTACAGTATTATCCAAAGCAGGTTTTACTTTGCAATAAGATGAAATGTTTATGACTAGAGTTTGTAGAGAACAGACTTGATATACAAATGCAAGTTATAGAAACTTGGGTGCAAGTTTTGAGTTATTTGGAATACATGTGCAAATAGCAGTGTTGTTTTCCTTTCAAGTTACTTCTATTGGCAGTTGATAAAATGATACAGAATTCAAATGAAATAATTAATGACTAAAGAGATTTGCCTTAATTGCAGCATCAATCAGTAAGGGTTTTTTTTTTCCAATTTTTTTTTCAGTTGATTCTATTTTGCTTAGACCTTTAGACTCCCCCCCCCCCACCCCAATCTCTTTTCAGTTACTTTTGTGTTAGCCTTTTGCCAAATCAATACATTGAAAGAAATTGCTACATTTGACTTCTGTTTTTTTTCAGGGCATTGTTGATTTAGGCTGCCATTGTTTAACAACATCGGTTAATGATGATTATGAAGTCAATAAACAAAGTTTGAAGTATTTATGTGATCTATAAAACTAAATTAAATGCCAGTATAGAAGACTTATTAAAGAAAATAAACAGGCTGATGCGTTTCCTTAAACATGTGTCAGCAGATGTTTTCAATCAATCCATTTTCTATTGAAATGGAACAGCCTGACACTAACTTCTGTAATTCTCAGAACACAGACATAAAACAAATTACAATTTTGTTCAAAACTATCACACAACTACACCTCAAAGCTAAGTGAAGAACAATGGTTACTCTATCATGAAGACCCAAGTGTACAACTGTCGGCACAGGTACATTGAACGAGAAGTTTCATAATATTTAACACACATCATGTATACAGTACATGTCTAGTTTTAACCACATAACAATGTGTTGCATGAACCGTAGGAAGTTATGTAAAGAGTGAAGCATGCTTCCCTTTCCCTTACAACATCCTCAGTATATATCGAGCCAATACTTAGAGCAGGGTTCAGCTGTGAACACTAGTTGTCATGTGACGCTGTTCCTTGTGTGTTTCTCCAACAACCCTGGCTTTAATAGGTGCCAACACACAGTTTATGTAACAAAGCCAGAGAATGCTGGTCTTGTTAAAACAATCAGCAAACAAAGGCCTTGTTTGGAGTTTGCAATGAAAGAGTTCTCCCTATGAAAGTGATGGAGAAAAAGGGAGAACACTCTTTCATTTAGTGACTGCATACATTTACATTTGTTGGTAGCAATTTGGAATGTCTAGAGGAAGGGGTTTATTACCTCCAGGGGGGGACCCTCAAGCACAGTATCCGTCATCTCTCCTGGCTGATAAGCCTGGGGAGGTGGCTGGGCATACATGAGTTCCGGTGAGGCGTGCATTGCTGTGTATATGTAACTGGGGCTTCCTCCAATCGTTTGACCTGGACTCTGCTGCAACATCAAAGATAAATGTTAGTCATTCACATCTTCTTTACAAATTGTATCAAATAATTTTACTTCTTGATCATCAGCGTCAAAAAAAAATTGGAAAAAATTGGAAAAAATTAAGAAAACATACTTCCACCTCATCACATGTAAATTACAATATTGGTTGTCAAGTTCTTGTAACAGTAACAAAGACCTTGACACCTGAAACATAAACTCACTACACAGGTATTCAATTCATATATTGGATCAAGAGTGAGGCCAGTACTTTTATTGATTAGGTCATCCAGACCCTGGTGTCCTTGAAAAACAAATTGGTCAAAGTTAAATTACAACTCGTGAGAAATGAAGTTTACTAGCAGAGTGATATCAATGAGTTGTTGATTTACTCTAATATTAATGATGGCCTTGATAAATCATTCTAGTTGACCTTTGAATCAAATTTGTAATGAAATGAAGTCTCACGAGTGGTGACACTGGTTATGGATCGGACAGGATTGGGAACAGAAAAGAATGTTCCACATTCAACAATGTATTGCACAACTTAAAATTACTAAACAAAATTTCAATTAACATTACAAAAATTTTAAATATCTTAACTGGCCCAAGAATCAGTCTATGTTAAAATTTATTTCACTGCCTTTTTCGCATCAAACACTACAGCTTGAATTTTCCCTGAAGTGTCCATCCCAGAAGTAAACACAATTATCCTAACAGAAATACTCCTAATTAGGTGACAACACCAATTTGCTAAAGATTGGAGAGGTGTTTTTGGAGGGAATAATGTAAAAAGATTAAACTACAATGGGAGACTTGATATCTGGTTACAAAGTTGATCCAGAAGGATATCTATATTTGTATGTACCTGTGGGGCCCATCTCCAAGGATTAGCAGCTGTGGTCCATTGAGGGGTCGTCTGCAAAACAAATAATGCACACTCAATTAGAAAGTGTTGATCTGCAAAAATGATCATATATTGAAGGAAAGGGGTCATAAGCAAGGCAAGAAGAAAATAAAGATGGTCATCTACTAAATAAATCACACACTTCTGAGCTGTATTAATCTTACTAAAGAAAAAATGTTTTCTCTTTGATATGGATTGGGTGATGAAAATGTGATATCAATTATTGGAATGGAGCCAAATAAGCAGTCTGATGGGCAAACAAAGATAAGTATATTACAGACCTGGCCATCCTTGCTACATCATTATACTAATATACAAACATGTCTCTCAATGACAAATGTTAATCGAAGAAAAAAAGTTCTAACTAGTTCAAAAAGTATATTTTCCAGTCTGTAACTGATGGCCATTATTGTCTTTGATCATATCATACTTTCCTTAGTAACTTTGAAAGTTGTACTTTTGTCAATATTGAAACAACCGCACACAATATTTCAAGTGACTAATTTTCGCTATAACATTCCAATGCGAACATTGTAATAGCCAAGTTTAATAAAGGAAAAGCTACAACACAGTATTTTAATTTCTGCTCTTCCATGAAGAAAACAAGACAGGGCTAGAATTAGATTTCTCTTACCCTGGACAGGGATATCCACACGTTTTACCAGTGTGAGATTTCCTTATCTCACCCTAAGGTGAGACAAGCTACACACCGTGCACATTCTTAACAATTATGAGAGGTCACTATCTTGACCCCTACGTGGAGCTCCTTTTACTATGCCTAATAAGGTCACACACATACACTAGTTCGTCTGCTATCCCTACGGAAACGTTAAATTGGAATTATATTTTGTGCAGGATATCACAATAATGCGGTTGTGACATTCTCATCACTACATATTCATACGCTGTCCACGTGTTTTTGTTTACAAAAATTCTATTCCGTCTTTGCACTCAGCAGGGAACAGGGTAGGAGAAAAATAATCACTCACCCCCTTTGGGATGAGATGGGGGATCTCAACCCTATCTCATCTCAAAGGGGGTGAAAGATTTCATTAATCTAACATTTGCCACCAAAATGGAAAATTTGTGCATCAGGAAATGAGATTGCCTTACAATAATTCACATGGAAGCAAAATTTAATGTCATAAAATTGCCTTGAATCCATTTCCTTCTTTATAAATACGTATAATACAATCATTCTCACTCTACATATAAATTGATGGAAACAGGACTAAAATAAAATCAGAATGGTTTTTTGTCAACTCGACATCTATGAAATCATGATTTTGACGATGGTTCAGCCTTTCTTTCGCTATAAATTACATGCATGAAGTTACTTTGTTAAAAATCACCTATTTAACTACCAAACACTTCTGTTAACGAGTGGCAGCTTTTTTTTGTAATGAAGAATTTCAGAATGCGTAAACACTCAATTTCATTCAATCTCTACCTTCACGTAATTGACAGCAGCATTATAGAATTGTGGTTTAGTCATCAAGTCTCAATGGACTTGTTCAAGAGATTTGAACAGTCTAAGTTCATGACCAGTTGATGGGACAATGTATAGCAAGCGTAAAGGTGAGGTGAAATTTGTGAAGTTACTACTCACAGGTTGGTAAGCCGAGTACTGAGGAGCCACATACATGGTCGGAGTCTGTGGAACCATCACAGTAGAGTAGGCTGGCTGCTGTAAAACAAGATATCACACATCAGATAGTATAGCAATTCTCATTCATTCAAGAATATATGGCATATTCAAGAGGTACAGAGCGAAAGTGATAGTAACTCTTTAACAAGTGTCGAGGATGTGCAATTTGTACAAGTGACAAAGTGACATGTACCTGTGGGCTGACCTGCGGCTGCGGTATCGGATATCCACCTTCTGGGGCATGGAAAATAGCCATTCCATTCTGATATGTGTAAGGTACGCCATTTGAGAACATCACCGTTCCGGTAGGTATACTTTGATCTGTGAACAACATTCAAAACAAGAAGGCACAAAATTAGCTCTATTATCAATATTTTTTCGACACAAATTAAAATTCAAAGTCATCGTGCCAAATAATAATAAGATTCCTTTCAGTTTCACCCAATCATCCCTTTATAATTTACTCCAGGACAAAAAGATAGTGTTTGCTCAATAAATCACAGAATTAATAATATTGACAAAAGCATTACACGCTGCAAACAAAAGAGTAGACATCTGGACAGTGCACACAAATGGATCAACACATTCATACAGCAGACCTTATCTCATACCTAATACACTCACACACATACATATACCCAATACACTCACAAACACATACCCAATACACTCACACACAAACACATACCCAATACACTCACACACAAACACATACCCAATACACTCACACACAAACACATACCCAATACACTCACACACAAACACATATCCAATACACTCACACACAAACACATACCCAATACACTCACACACAAACACATACCCAATACACTCACACACAAACACATACCCAATACACTCACACACACTTACCCAATACACTCACACACAAACACATACCCAATACACTCACACACAAACACATACCCAATACACTCACACACAAACACTTACCCAATACACTCACACACACTTACCCAATACACTCACACACAAACACATACCCAATACACTCACACACAAACACATACCAATACACTCACACACAAACACATACCCAATACACTCACACACAAACACATACCCAATACACTCACACACAAACACATACCCAATACACTCACACACACTTACCCAATACACTCACACACAAACACATACCCAATACACTCACACACAAACACATACCAAATACACTCACACACAAACACATACCCAATCCACTCACACACAAACACATACCCAATACACTCACACACAAACATATACCCAATACACTCACACACAAACATATACCCAATACACTCACACACAAACACTTGATTTTATTACACAACAAACTGATGCAAAAACATCCACACACCATATCCTAACACCTGACTATATAACAAACATCCACACACCATATCCTAACACCTGACTATATAACAAACATCCACACACCATATCCTAACATTTGACACAAACACTATACCAAACATCCACACACACATATCCTAACACCTGACATATAACAAACATCCACACACCACACACAAACACATGACTATATAACAAACACACACACACCATATCCTAACACACAAACTATATAACAAACATCCACACACCATATCCTACACACCTGACATATAACAAACATCCACACACCATATCCTAACACCTGACTATATAACAAACATCCACACACCATATCCTAACATTTGACTTTATACCAAACATCCACACAACTATCCTAACACCTGACTATATAACAAACATACACACACCATATCCTAACACCTGACTATATAACAAACATCCACACACCATATCCTAACACCTGACTATATAACAAACATCCACACACCATATCCTAACACCTGACTATATAACAAACATCCACACACCATATCCTAACATTTGACTTTATACCAAACATCCACACACCATATCCTAACATTTGACTTTATACCAAACATCCACACAACTATCCTAACACCTGACTTTTAACCAAACACATTCACACACAAACACCTCACTTTATACACAACACATATCACACAATGCACAAACACTACACACAACACATTCAACACTTACATATTCATACACTAACACATTCATACACCAACACAAGATTCACACACCAACACATTTACACAATACATACACCAACACAAGACTGTCACACACAACACATTCATACACCAACACAAGATGTCATACACAACACATTCATACACAACACATTCATACACTTACATATTCGTACACTAACACATTCATACACCAACACAAGATGCCATACACAACACATTCACTAACACAAGATGTCACACACATTCATACACCAACACAAGATGCACACACCAACACATTCATACACAACACAAGATGCCATACACAACACATTCATACACTAACACAAGATGTCATACACAACACATTCATACACCAACACAAGATGTCATACACAACACATTCATACACTTACATATTCATACACTAACACATTCATACACCAACACAAGATGTCATACACAACACATTCATACACTAACACATTCATACACCAACACAAGATGTCACACACCAACACATTCATACACCAACACAAGATGTCACACACCAACACATTCATACACAACACAAGATGTCATACACAACACATTCATACACTAACAACACAAGATGTCATACACCAACACATTCATACACCAACACAAGATGTCACACACCAACACATTCATACACAACACAAGATGTCATACACCAACACATTCATACACTAACACAAGATGCCATACACAACACATTCACACACTAACACAAGATATCTTACACAAAACATTCATACACAACACAAGATGTCATACACAACACATTCATACACAACACATTCATACATTAACACAACACATTCATACACTAACACAAGATGTCATACACAACACATTCATACACAACACATTCATACATTAACACAAGACTTCATACACAACACATTCATACACAACACATTCATACACATACACAACACATTCATACACTAACACAACACATTCATACACTAACACAAGATGTCATACACAACACAAGACTTCATACACAACACATCCATACACCAAAACAAGATGTCATACACAACACATTCATACACAACACATTCATACACTTACATATTCATACACTAACACATTCATACACCAACACAAGATGTCACACACCAACACATTACTACACCTACACATTCATACACCAACACAAGGTGTCACACACCAACACATTAATACACTAACACAAGATGTCATACATAACACATTCATACACTAACACAAGATGTCATACACAACACATTCATACACTAACACAAGATGTCATACACAACACATTCACACACCAACACAAGATGTCATACACAACACATTCATACACAACACATTCATACACTAACACAAGATGTCATACACAACACATTCATACACAACACATTCATACACTTACATATTCATACACTTACATATTCATACACTAACACAAGATGTCATACACAACATATTCACACACTAACACAACACTTTACACACAATACATCCATACTCTAACACAAGACATCATACACAACACATTCATACACTAACACAAGACATCATACACAACACATTCATGAGCATGGTTTTATACACTTCACTGCAAATACACCTCAATTTACATGACTGATTCATACAAACACTTGATGTTACTTTTCTCACAATATTAAATGCATACAAGGTGAAGAAGCCTCCATCAAATCATAGCAGTAAACATACCTTCACTTTCATTTTGAAAAACATGGTTAAAAACATATTGTTCAAGTTTTGAAAATGAAATATAGAAATTGATCGAATGAATTTATGGGTAAAATTTATATGCATCCAAACAGAAAAGAATAAGCTGGATATGAGGTTAGCAGAGTTGATGGAAGTTAATTGCAAGCATAGGTCAGTGTCAAGCAACAGAGGTCTCTGCTCACAGGTGTGTGGTATCATAGCTACACTGAACCATCAACCCAAGGCATCCAAATAGGACTGCCTCAACTGTAACCCTTTAATTAACTGTACTGCATCCAACTCAATGCATCAGTCACTCAATTAGCTGGTTACAGGTTTATCATCTACTTCACTCTCCATACTCCTCGACTGCTGTCACGGAAACTAAGACAGGTCAAGGTCTGACGAGCAATGCTAAAAAGATTTTTTTAAGAAATGGGTCATCCTCAACCAAGGTTAATTCTAGGGGGGTTCAATGGACCTCTGACCCCTCAATAATGAAATCAACCTTTCCACCTTTCCATTTCCTTTCAATTTTACAGAAAATTCATTTCATGCATTTACTGAAAATAGATGGAGATAACCCATTACTCTCAGCTCAAAGAATGTTCTCAGCTTAACTATTCAAACTTAACAATCAAACTATACAATCACCTTTTTTTCATTTGATTTCTGAAAGCTCCATAATCACTGACTGCATCAATTTTACAATTTTTATGTCAATAGTCAACTCTGTTATGGCTATTTTCAGCCAACAGGCTTTTGTTTCCAGACTGTTGGATGGCAACAATTTTGTCAACCACAGAACTGGTGGTTTCACAGCACAATACAATACTGCACCAACTTTTACTATGTAAACCGACCCTATATTGTAAAGCAATATGAACTTCTTATTTCTAAAAATCTGAAATCATTTGGTGTTTTGTTTGGTTTGGTTTTAAGTAAATCTGTCTGGCCTAAATTGGCTTACTGCAACCACACTTGTTAGAAGAACACAACCCTTTTTCTGATTTAAACTGTTGAACTGGTTTTATTTTTTTGGCATCTCCTTGGAACTATTAAACAAAATAATGTTTAATATCTATGCATTATGTCATTTATGGCACCTTTTCGTCCTGTGACTGAACATCATAATGACGTACCAAATGACCCTACAAATCAGTCACCACAGCCCTGAAGCAAGACTGAAGGACAAAGGGTTCCTAGGTGAGTACGGACAAAAGAACGGGATAGTGAATAGTTACAGTAACGAAACACAAACAGGTTAGTAATACAATAAACTTAAATGGGAGGGAATTGTTACAGCAAAGCAAAGGGGAAGGGAGGCAGGGCTATCATCTCCTCGCCCGCCCCCACAGAAACGAGAGCAGAACTTAACCTAGTCACATGGAATTAGTGCAGGATCTACATTTGGCCTATTGACTAGTCAGCACAACTCTGCTGTTGGCCTGGATGCCATCGTTTTTGAAGAGGCGGTTTCATGCATCGAGAGGGACTAGATATGGAAGACTTGTCATTAAATTATGCAATAACGTCATAGCCAATCAATGAATATCGGGTGTATATCAACTCTAACAACGCATGGATGATGCACCTCTCTTAACAAGTTATGGTGGTGAGCTGAAACTAAACACGTTTTCATATTTTCCCCAAAGATTGCAATGACTTTCGTTATGACAACATTTCAGAGAACGGACTTAAGTGTTTGCTGTGTTAAAAATATACGAATCACACAACAATTCAACAACCTTCTGGGGAAAATACAAAATAAACAAGGAAAATTCAAACATCTAATATATAAATCCAATTGATAGTGCACCCTGCATGCTAAAACATTTAATTGAAACAATGTTTAATTGTGTGTTGTGCGGCATTTGAAACAAGAAAACATGAACATCAGACCACAGGCTAAACTGTTCAGGCAATATAACCGCTACCTCACGTTGATCACTCAAGAATTCATGATCTGCAATTCCATCTGAAAAATTTAACCCCAGTGTGAGCCCTATAGGAAAATCTTCAAAACTTAACACTAGACCATGTGACTGGGGCTGGTCACCTCACACCATATCAAGCAGGACTGCATAATTGTGAAATAATCACTTCTGTTTAGACTGATGGCCAAATCACACCACACACTTAAAACAATCTTTTCTTGAATTCTTTTTCAATCTTTCCCCTCCCCCACCAAATTTCATAAAAAGAGCAACATTGACTGAAATGTCATTTTAAAAGACATACTAGAAACTGACTATATTAATACATTCCATCCATACGCTGTTCAGAGCTTAAAAAAATTCACCACTTTATAAATTGGAACTACATTCTTTTTGAATGGGCCCCTGGGTCAACTCACTCCCGACATCACAAATTTTGTATCATTTTCAACACAAAATGTCTTTTTTTTTCTAAATTACAGACTGACATCACAGGTCCAAAGGTCCAAAAAAAGCACATAATTATCAAATTGTTTCAATTCATCACCGTTTCAATCATTTAAAATGCTTATATATAGGATTTACAACAGAACAGTTATATAGCGATGACGACTTAAATGGACTTCTGACAATACAGCTTACCATTATACAACACTAAGTTTACATAAAAGAAGTCAATCATGACCACTTGTCCTCTTATTTGCGGTTTCAGAAGTCAAGAGATTATGAATGCTCATATACTATAATTATGACAGATACACTTGTTCTACTGCAATAAAAATACATTCAACAATCTACTGTTCATACACATAAGTTGATCATAACCAGCAATGATTTTCTGAAATGGTAATGATAGCATTTACTGCTTCAAAATTCCCAGCACGCAATACTATCATGGTGTTAAACCGTGAAATTCACTGAAATTTGGATTTATCACATATTTCCAACAGAAACAGATTATGCACTGAATGGTCAGCTGCTGTTTTTGTAGTTAAACTGGAGTGACATCAACTTTGATAAGTTTGAAAAAGAAAATTACACTGTCATGTTGATGAATTCATTTCATGTTTACTTGACAGCCTTTTGTACGTCTGCTCAGCAAATTATGGTTGCTATCTAGTTTTAAGTCCATATGTTTCATCTTAACTAAGTGAAATATACATGTATCAGTCAATCAGAATTGTCTCCTGTAAATTTTGCTCTTTGGTTTTCCTCACAATTTGGTTGTTTTAATAATTATGTTACAAATAATTGTGGCAAATCACAGTCAGAAAAAAAGTTGGGTTTTTTCATCAAATTTATTTGTAGCAAAGGTGGATATTCACACTTAACAGAAAGAAACCTTCCTACCATTTTCAGCAAAGTAATCAAATGTATTTCCTATCATTTGATTAAATTGTTGTCCACTCTTTTCCATTACAAAACAGAAAACAGTATAAGGACATCTTTTTTCCTCAAATGACCGTACTTCAGCTGTGGTTGAATGAGAGATTGCATTCTTCACGAAAGCTTTCCCTTCATTTAAGGAAAATCAGCTTTTTAAGCTATGAACGCAGTGTGTTTTTGCCATAAAATCAAAATCCAGGACATACTTAAAAGATTGCTCTATTTTGACACTCTTGTCTTTACACAGAACAACAGTAGATGAGGAAGGACTGGGTGCGGTACTATATCTACGTTAGACATGGAAAATACTACTCACCAAAGGACCTTTGTAGAACCTGCTGCAATGACAATCAAAGAATGTGTCTAAAACATCTTATTTAAGAAATATTCACAGAGTAGTAAATCCTAAATAAAAAGGACATAGTTTATCATTTCTTATTCTCATTTTTTCAGACATTTCTTAGCTTGATTCAAATCTTATCAATTTCACTCTAGTAATACTTTTATTTACAAAGGAACTCAAAATAGTAAGAAATGTATCAAAATTACTTAAAAATTGTCCTCACATTTGTTATCAGACAAATAAAACAATACAGTACCTGTTTCCTGATGGCTGGACCGATGTTCAATTTTCTGTCTTTAAACACCAAGTTATCAGCCTGAAAATAAAGTCAATTAAACAGTGTACATCTGTAACCTGACTTATGTATGCAAGGTATTGAAAGTTCCTCCCCTAAACAGCTATGTAGAACCCCAAAATACTTCCAGCAACAAGGTAAGAAAAGACAAGAGGTCCATTGGTCTAAACAGTCATCTGACTATAATGACCAATATTTGAAAGATTAAGAAATAATTCTCCACTCTCAATGATGGCAATTTGGTTGAAATTCATTCAATCATTAAGAAAGAGGAGCATTTTGAAGCAAAATCATGTCTAACTTCCCCGTTTGGAGCCCTACCCCAAAGTCCCTCGGGGTCAAATCAACATTGTGAAGAACAAAAATGATTTTCTACTCTCAACGTTTATGGGGGCCCTGCCCCGAAGTCCCTATGTTTTGAATCAACTTTCTAAATTTAAGAAATGATTTCCCACTATCAATAATCTTTCAGACCAAATTAGGTTGAAAAACATTCAAGTATTGAAAAGGAATAGTGTTTTGAAGCCAAATACATTGACTAATTTCCCCTTCTGGGACCCTGCCCAAAAGTCCCTAGCAGTCAAATCAACTTTCTGAATTTAAAGAAATCATTCCCCAATCTAAAGGATATTTCAGATCAAATTTGGTTGAAATCCATTCAAGCATTAAAAAAGGAATCATGTTTTGAAACAAAATATTGTCTTTATATCCCTTTTGGCACCCCACCCCACCCAATAGTCCCAAGAGGTCAAATCAAATTTCTTAAAGCAGTAATTGCCTACTCTAACTGATAAATCCAGCGAAAGCTTGTTGAAATCCACCCACACAGAAAGGAGGAGTAGGGTTTTAAATCAAATTTCAGCACCTTCCCCATTTGAGGCCCTGTCCTTTGACCTTAAATCAAAATTTGGTATTGCAGAATGATGACCCTCACCTAATGATGCATCAGACCAAGTTTGATTTAAATCGGTCCAGGTATTAAAGAGGAGTAGGGTTTTAAAGAAAGTTTACACACGAGGCACGATGACAGATGAAGCACTATGGCTAGATGACCTAACAATAATCATCTGCATTACTCAAAAACTACAAAAAAGAAACCAGGATCAAATTTAACATTTAAAAGTCCTTATTTTTGACCTCTATAAATTATATACATAAAATAATAGATCTTGTCGTAAAACTTTGTCATACCTCTTTTTTTATTATTCGTTCAGCATCTTCTTGATTTTCAAAAGTTATAAATCCATACCTTGAGAAAAAAAGCAAAAAATACACATACTAAAGGAGAAGAACTGTACAAGAACATAGACTTTACAAAAAAATTAATACAAATTCCAGTTGTAATAATACTTTAATACTTTATAAGTGATTTTGCCACCTTTGTCACGAATACCGAGGTGGATCAAGAAGCGATAATTTAAACAGCACTGTAAAATAAGCTGCGGTTTCTTCAACATTCATAAGGTCTTCTCCCTTTGCCCCCCAACCCCCTACTAAGTCTGTTGCCATGTATGTTCTAGATTAACTGAAACCTTCCTTTCACATTTTACATAATGTTTGTATGATTTCTTTAACAAAGTTGGTCACAAAGAATATTCCTAGGATATCAAGGTAATGACAATGATTTTCCTGAAAAATCGAACAAAACAATTGATTAATATTGTACAACACTTTGCCATGGTATACAAGGCCACAAAGAAGTTTATGGATATTTGAAATTGCCTTACCAAAACTTCGCTTTTAACTGGCTAAATACATGTTTACCAGACAGAAACAGTGAAAATATGCATTCAGCTTGGTAAAAAAACATAAGGAATTCCTTCTCTGTTTGATACTGATAATGACAAGAAATGTTTCAATATTTGCTGAAAAGAGATTAAAAATTGAAATTTTGTTCAATATCTTTTAATGAGAAGTTTAAACATCTGCTCATCTGGATCTTTGTGACCAACATTACTATATCTGTGCATATGTTCCACGTTTAACACATCTGACCCCTGTGACATTGACTTTAGATCAAGGTCATTTCTTTTACTTTCTTGGACTTCATAACAGGAACATACTGGCCAAATATAATGATTCTAGGCTTTTTGATATTTCAGAAGAAATTGTTTAAACGTTTTAACACATTTGACTCCTGTGACCTTGATGATTGTTCAAGGTCATTTCTTTTAGCAAACTTTGTAGGACACCTTAAGAGGAACATAGTAGCCTAATATAATGATTCTAGGCCTTCCGGTATTTTGAAAGAAGTTGATTAAAAATTTTTAACACATTTGACCACTGTGACCTTGAATATGGGACAAGGTTATTTCTTTTTGCTAACTTTGTTGGGCTTCATCAAAGGAACCTTCCACCCAAATATAATGACTCTAGGCCTTCCGCTATTTTGGAAGAAGTCGTTAAAATGTTTTAATACATTTGACCTCTGTGACCTTGAATATGGGTCAAGGTCATTTCTTTTTGCAAATTTTGTTTGGCTTCATCAAAGGAAACTTCAAGCCAAATATGATAACTCTACGCCTTTCGGTATTTCTGAAGAAGTTGTTTAAATGAAAAATTGACGGACGCCGGACGGACGCCGCACGCTGGCATAAGCTCACTTGGCCCTCTGGGCCAGGTGAGCTAACAAACACGGTTTCATTACAGACCTCAAACAACTATAAAGGATATTTTAATAGCAAACCACCTAATGACAATGGTTCAAAATTGACACAAAATCACCTACCCTTTAGACACTCCAGCTCGATCAGCAATAATCTTGGAGTCTTTCACAGCTCCGTAGGCCTGGAAAAATTGCTTTAATTCGGCCTCTGTAGTCTGCAATAAAGTGCATGGCCAAACAAGCTGGTCAGTATACATTGTAGTGCTGCATAAAGGTCATTTTATCAACATAGCTTATATCTTATATACACAAGTACCAGAAAAATAAGTAAATTTTAATTTTCTTTTTTTTTTCCAAATGAAAAAAGAAAAAGGTGGAAAATTAACCTAAAAGTATTACACATGTACAGTAAACCTGCGATAATCAGAACACCTTTAGCCTGAAAATCGAGGGAAATGGGAAGCTCTTCCATAGGGAACTCCAGGGTATTTTTTATTTCATATGATTTTGAATGACAGTAACCTGGATATAAAGTTAAAAGTGAGACAGAATTTTATGTCAAAATATTTGTCACATCCGGAACAACCATTTTGGAAAATTCAAAACAAGGTGAAACAACATGATGTAGATTTCACATCATAAAATGATGTTGCATCCCCACCAATGAAGAAGATAGTTCTGCTTTGAATGATTGAGAAAGTACAGCTATTTATGTATATGTAGAGTTGATGTAACATGACACCAAAGGCTGTTCATTTATAAATGTATTTCTTTCAAGTACATTTTATTGTCACATCCATGAAAAATTACTACCTATCAAAATAAGGTATTACCATGAATATTTTCACTAATTTTAGGCCATCAAATAAGTTTTTTTAATTACAAAAATTGCCAGACGTAACACATTTCATCATCACACAATAAATATCTTGCTGAATGGAATGACAAAACAAAGACACTGAATTGTGTATGGGTGTCCTGTTTATCCTAGGAACAAATAGGGATATAATATGCCACATACACTATGTGTGTTAAATGTAAAAAGGTCTTTTTTGTTTATTTTGGGTTTCTTGTCTTACATGCGGCTAAGAATCACACATATCAGTCATATTTAAGAGTAATTCGTCAGGATGCAATGATGGACAATAAACCGTATCAAACAATATAGCAAACCTCGGCTAAAATTGGTCATATTACTGCACAACATTCCATCAGTGGTTGATCTGCAACTGTCATTTTGCAGTAAAATATATCAAATATTCAATGACTTGTGATATTTCTTGATAAATCATATCATTTCAAACAACATTTCAATGGTTGACCTACATATCCGTCCAATGTCCTGGGCATAACATTGGACTTGCATTACCACTGCTCAAGTATACAAGTCATCTTCTGCATCGAGGTAGTGCAGATGGGCATTAAACAGTTGGAAACCGATCTGTGATATGAGCCTCTAACATGATGTTGTAAAACATATATACCAACGTACTGGTAATAAGAGATAAATCACTTTTAAATCTCAATAGCCAAGACATTATGACACCATCTACAAAAGCACTCAATTATTAAATTTCTAAAACATGTTAAGCAGTTTTTCACTACATTTACCATTATCGGAACACCAACCATTTCTGCGAGAATACACAACCACCAGGCAGAAATAACACAGTAGTTAACATCATTCTAGATGTATATTTAGATGGAACATTTATGACACGAAAAATTACATCCAAGTGCTATTTTTTCAAAATGTTATAAATGTAAATTAACGTAAATTTCTGAAATGTAAATTGATCTTTTCAATCTTAATCCATTCGCCCTGTCTCATAACAGTGAACAAAACAGATATGTTAACATTTACTTTCGCTTGTGAAAACACATTCTCAACTACAGATACCAAAAACTGGAGTGGTGTCCATGCCAAACGAGACTTAAAATAGAAATAATGATGTAAATATTTCATAATATTACAAAACGATTTGGTAGTTTTATCTTTGAGGAACTTTCAATAGCTATAACTTAGGTTTCATTCAGAAAACAAGATTTGGATGTAATCAACAGGAGTGAACATAACACAACGCTGTATTCCTCCTCTTAACGAGATACAATAAAACAAAATTTAATGACTGTAACACAAAACAGACAGCAAAAATTTGATTACAGGGACGAAATAGCTAGATCTGGTTATTTTTTTCCATGCGTTTGATTGCAGACAAGCATTGCAACACCTGAAATTAAACTTTTCACAAAATTGTAACACTTTTTGAGAAAAATTTGATTGAAGATTGCCAAGCTCAACATGTGACCTTTCGGAACCTCGTTTAACCCATCGCTTTGTTGATTTCTGTATTTTCTTGCATCGCTCATGTGCTAACACATAGTTTATATTCGCTGAACGATAATGATAGGAATCAGTGTTGGATCAATGGTATTTTATTTTTGTGACGTTTTCATTAAAGTGGTTATGCAAACTTTTGAATAGCGTAATTCACAGAAATTGCACAATTTTTAACAGATATTTAAATGTTATAATGCTTTCAAACAGTTATGAAACGAAAATCTGATAATTTAGTCCCTTTAATAATCACTGGGTCATCATTTCGGTATTAATTGTGAATTGCAAGAAAAATACATTTGAAGTTCACAAATTTTAGTATTTTCATTTCTGTTCAAATCAAGTAGGGCATGTGTGCTCATCATGCATTAAGTTAGAATAGCCTAGATCAAGCTGACCAATGTCAGGAAATTGGCATCTACATTTTGTAAGAATACACGTAAATATTCAAAAAGCATTGGTAATTCCATATCTGAATAAATCCTCACTGAAAATGAGCAAAAGACAGTATCCAAGTTGTCAATGATCCACTGTATTAGTAATATAAATCATGTAATTTTCTTTTTATTTAATTATCTACATGGCAAAACAGCATACAAAAACACATCACATATGTTCTTTTCAAGAGCATGTACTATCAGTGATCTATGAAAAACTGGTTGCTTCCAGTATTTCTTTTTCTGAAATGATTTTGATGATACAATTCCTTACAATCAAAAATTAATTATGTTGAATTTTTCAGACATTGTGCAGAATCCTAATTTGAGCTTACTCAAGTGTTCCGGCTTTATTTAAATGTATCTTGACATTCATTAAAGTCTTTCCTGGTTATTTTGGTTATTGCAAATTTTACAATATTTTAGAAAGTACCAGGCAATTGGGAAATATTACAAAAAGCATAAACTCAGCATCATGGCAATATTTCACCACAATTATCTATTTAATTCACAATGCCACTTGACATTTTCAATTGAGATGTCCTTTGGCTAGTCAGCTTGCAGAAAAGTCAGGATTCAGGAAAATGTAGGCGATCTTTCATTGGGATGCCATCCATATTTAGGGTAATTTATATTGTTGTCAGGAAAGACCAGTTTGAATTGTTGATACAAGCTAAAGAACACAATTGGTCAAAAAGGCTTCAGCTCAATAGCATTTGCAAAATAAGTACCATGTATATCTGCCAATCCACAGTATATACTTACATTTGCTGCAATACCTCCCACAAATATACGGTTTGGAATGACTGTGCCATACTTTGGGGCATGTGTACCACTGAGGGGTGTGCCACAGGGGGTAATGGATGGCGACACATCAGCTGAGGAAGACTGAAATAAAGACATATTGACAAATTTAACCCACAAAGGTTAGATACAACCCTTTAACCTTCAGCTTTTGACGCATGACAAAATTTCTACCATTATTTTTTTCTCCCATCTTTTGATTGATATTATATGTAATGCACATAACATGCATTTAACTGTACCACGCAAATGTAATAGAATCTAAGTTTAATGTATTAAAATTTACTGAAATTGAAATTTAAGCTGACTTGGGCGAGTCTTGGGGAGTCTTTAGAGGTCAATGATTTTATTTAAACAAATTGAGAAAATACATCATTCATATCTTAGTATTATCATTACTGAAATTTATTATATACAATGTTTTTTTCTGCGATGTTTAGGAAATTGTGAACTTTCTCAAGCTGATTCCCTTGTTTTGGTCGTTTCATTCCTGGTGTTTTACATTATAGTAAACAAGTTATTTTCATTGCCACCATCATATATTCTTATTGACAGAACATCTGGCTCCTGAAGTCTGGCCAATAATAGAAACAGTCATCAGACTTCTTTGCTAATAAAACAAACAAAAGTAAATTGATATCTTAAATCTATGAGGTTTGCAAAACATAAGCCAGGCCTATTGATGAAAATACTGATACCATAAATTTCTGCTGTGAAAAGTAATCCGATATGGGTTCAATTCCCGCAGATCAAAATATTTCGAAAGGCGAAAACAGCCTATAAACACTGCATAGCCTTCAAACATTGAAATTTAGTGCGCCTTTTAAAACTATATTATGTTTTATCAGCTTCATCTATTATTGAAAGCTTTATATTACGTTAGCGAACTGGCAAGCAAAGTGCGAGATATCAAACCATCCTTTAAAAGAAGATTCTCGTACATTTTTCTCCGTTTCCTCCATCATGATTACAAGAACAGCGTTCAGTACTGCTTTGACGATCAGATTAGTGAAATGCGAGATTCTGGATGGCACACAACGCTAAATTTAGCAACAACCACAAGGAAACTGATCTGTGAGACTCTTCCCATCATCTGAGGGATGCTAATGGCAGTACGCATTGACAGTGCATGCCACTTACGACATCCATGTTTTTGCGCTGTTGGTGTTCCTGAAAAAACTTTGTGAAAGAAGACTCCCTTCAAAGTTTCAGAGAAATGTTTACAGTTTCATATCACACTTTCAATTGTTGGAATACATACCATTTCGTTGCAGAACCGTCTTCGGACTGTTCCCTGTACTTCGGGCAGCAAAAACAATCTCCGCTGATGAAGACTGCAGCCGAAAGTTTTCTCGTAAGACGGTACGATTACCTATAGAGGGGGGAAGGATTACATTCCCAAAGTTTTCTCACTACAGATACTCAATGAACTGGGCAAGATTGCAGATAAAACACTTTAGTGTTAAATATATTCAGAACACATCCAAAATTATATCAAATTTTCGGAACATTTGCTACAAGTATCAGTAGTCTCGCGCAAAGACGATCCCTTGTGCTACCTGTTTACTCGAGGGGTAATAGAGAAAATGGAACCGTCTGTCTTTACTCCGCTGTGAGTAGTAGACGATTTCCCGCCCGCAGAGCGTAGTAGATTGGCACATGACGCAATAAGCCTGCCAACCGTTAGCCTGCTTGTGTCTTTTCCCACTCCACCATTACAGGTAGTTACTGGTCACATAACTCTAGTCTAAGTAATGACAGTCAAAATAACATAGGACTTAAAACTTAAATATGTTTTAACTGTAACGGCATCTGTTTAAAACAATTTAGTAACTTTTTTGCTAGTTAACTTCATCATGTATGATTTCTGGGTGTAAAGACTTAAATATGTGTGTAATATATTTTTTTCTTTTCTTTAGAATACTTTTTTCTTTTCCATTTTTTTTTTAGTGACTATGCCCCCTGATTTCGAATTCGGGTGAACTAGAACCTCGACTAAACACTTTGTTGTACATAATAGGACAATTGTACTACAAAATCTTAATGATCTTTTCAATATTTTTGGTCTTTTTTTTTAATGTTTTCTAAATAAAAAAGCTATTTTTTTTCATTTCAATATACAATTGATTGAAAAATAAAATACCAGATGCAGAAAACCTGATCAATATACAAAATCATAAGAGATACATGCCTATATTTGAAAAAACCAGTTGTTTTGTGGGTTTGCTGGAAGTTTGAATTGCGAATACTAAACTAAGTATCTAATTTGACTTCGGTGCCCGTATGATTTCAGATTTTGCTTGCACTCTTTGTGTGAAAAAAAGACCCAGAGCTGACAATCAGCGATAGTCCAGTCTGTACATGAAAACGCATATTTTTTACGAGGTGTCTACTATTTTTTTTTTTTAATTTAACAGAAAAAGAAAAAAAATGTCGCTGGTAATTATTGTTTATATATTTTTACATTTTTGTGTAACGCCAGAATTTGGGAAGTACCAGTAAATTGAGACCTACTAAAACATCGGCCACACAGAGGTATCCCATTGGAAAACATTGAACTATGTCTTATGGCTTACAAGCATCTCAGCTTGATAATGTTGATTTTGATGCTTTTTTCAAATGATGAAAAAAAAGCATTGATTAATAACAGTAACAATTTTCGCTTATATTTCAATTCTTACAGTTTCTCTTATTAACGAATTTCGGTCCACATGGCATTAAAAAAAGATGCATATACACAACAACATTGCATAGAGAAGCCAGAAAAGGACAGATTGGTTGACATAATTACAATATACATGTCATAATGGCCAATTTTACATCCACAGACAAACAAAAAACAAAACAAAAAAACAGCAGTTACCAAATCCAGAATATTGTACTTATTTGGTGTTATTTTATAGCCGATTAGAACGATATACGAAATTCTGCAACCTTTTCTGTGATAGTGCTCTTCCAGATATGTTTGAACATCGCTCATTGGAAACAGAAATTTTGGTTAGAGATGGCGAAAACTTCACCGTGTCCATGCATAAAGAGCAGTCAGGTTATGTAACTTCACTAGGTTTCGTGCAGAACTCCTCCAAGCTTGACTTAATTCTACGCAACATATCGTGAATATCCCTTTTATGATTTTGTCACATTAGTGTATATATAAAGATTTTGTATTCCGTATGAGATTTACAAAAAAAAAATATAATTTTTAGTGCGCATTTGTTAAACTAAAATGAAATATTTGCGACGAATAAAAAAAATCGCATTATATGAAATCTAATTTTATTTTTTTTTCACGTGAACATACAATTTTTGGAAATATTACTGAAACGTTCTTTTACATTTTAAAAGTTGAAATCACCTTGGCACCGGTGGTCTCGCTGATAATTGCCTGCGCTGACAATCCATGCTAAAAACCTACGTCATTTATGTTATTAATGGTTAATTAATATAGCGCTACTGTTGAATTGGTATGGACGTTTAGACGGAAAGGTACAAATCCGATCTCTGATTCAGAAAGTCTACGCTAGTTTAGGCAGATGCTTCGCAACCGACCATCGCATAAAGTACTGTTCACAAAGAACGCCGTGCTCTTCTCGATCTTTTGATACGTTTCAAGAACGAGACTAGTAAATCCAAGATATAAGAATAGAAAAGGTTAAATGGGAGAAATTTGTCTAGACACTAGACAACAAATATGAACGTTCTTCAGTCAGTGTTCAATACTTTCTGTTGTTATCATCCACGCATCAAAAAAAAAAGTCCGAGACTGTTTCGAAAAAGCAGTGATTGGACCTCTGTTTATCCCTGCATCAACCTAGTCAGTTACGCCCACCCTATACCTATATCGTCCGTGTAAAGATGTTTGACCCTACCAACTACTCATTCTGTGTAGCCCACTTTCCCAGGATCTGATCACTCCTTCCCTTATCTAGTTTTTAGTTTGTGATAATAATATGTAGAGCGTACTAGTAAAAAGAATTCGTCCGTCCTCGACCTGTGGAGTGTGATGGCTAGATACAAGTGCAAATAGCTCTAACAAGGCCGTGACAAATGGCTCCCCGCTGTTGGACCGCATGTGCCGCACCGTACCATTGGGGAAGTGGGCGGGCTGTAAGGGAGGGGGTCTTAATGGGTGATACGCCGTCTGTTCACACCTCCGCTGACGAGACGTGTGTTTGTGTTGGAATGTACCACCACAGAGGGATGAGTACCGGCGCGTGTGTGATACGTGTTCATTGTGGCTTAGGTAGACTTGTAATAGTCGTCAGGGAAAAAGAATGATAAACAGTGTTAAAGTTGGAAGTTGGTGATATAACTTAGTGGCGTACTTGATGTTTCGTCGTTAAAAATCTGTTTGACGCGGAAATTGTATTTTAAATTGAGCACGTGATAGTTTCATTTTTCTTGTATGTTTCAAAATTTGATTGAGAACACCATGTAATAGATAAACTGTTCACTGACCGTCTAACGCTAAATGAATTTCAAACTTTACGTCACAGTACTTCTGATCAGCGACAACATTATTTAAGCGACTTATTAGAGACAGAGGCGTACATAGCTTCGCGGGTCCGTGTTAAAAGATAAAAAGTATTTCGAAGAAGATTGAATGATTGAACACTGTATTTACAGTAATAAGATTGTAAGGATGAATTATACAAGGCTCAGCCCCACTCCCTCCTACATGCCATCTTTATTTGCCCTCCTTCAACATTTACACTATAATTGTTATTTAATGTCCGACGAATTGAAAAATTAAATAAAACATTTGAGCTTTTAGTCCTTTTCCAATAAAACAATGAAAATCACTATACCGAATGAAATATACTCGAAAAATGTTCGTTGTCACTTTACACAGGATTTACTGTCAAGAACAGTATTTTTTTTCTAGCACATTGATTGATGAAACAATGAAAATTATAGATGCAAATTCTGTGTATTTTTAGAACGTCCCTGAACCTGTCGCTACCGCGATTTCAAGGTCATGTTTACACAGTCTATTTACAAACACCCAAAATAAACACATGGTTTGGATGCACCAATAAATTTGCAGATAATTTATTACATGTATGTCAGTAAAAAATATCATTTTTGATAGCGTAGCACTATCTTTCTAGCTTAAGACAAGAAACTATTTTGGGGGATCTGACGTATTTGATATCACCGGATATTTTGTACAGACCTGGAAGAGTTATTCCCCTTCTGGCACGCGTTTACTCTAGTTAACAGATGAGCTTGTTGGCTACCGGTGGTTTGCATAGCAACACATTCACTTACACGTTGTTAATACATTGCTATACATTTACAGTATTAATTTAAATTTTCGTTTTGTCTTCGTGTTTGTTTGTTCGGGATTCATTTTGAGTCGGAGTTTCCTTGTAGGAGCCATCATGGCTAGGTCTACCTCACTGAAATATCTACCGGAAGTCTATCGCATATCATCCAGAGCAATTAAGGCGAAGTGTATTGCATTCAATAATACTAATGATAATAATAAGCTGCCTGAGTGACACAAACTGCCACGAGGACGATCGTCAAAACACACACCCACGGATATTTATCTGAGGTCACGTAGGTCAACCGACTTAGCTATCGTAGCCCAGTCATTTCATGCAGTTTCCTCCTGAAAGATAAACAAATGTATGAATAAATAAATACAATATATATGTATTTGCGTATTTTTATACATGTTTTTAACAGATTGGTTAATTTACTGTTTGTTAAAACCTACAAAACTATCTTAAGGATTTCATTTGACAGTCCTTTCAGGCTGGAGATGAAAAATTATATGCAAATTTTAATACATGTATAGGTACTCATATCATTGACAGTATGCACCATTTTATTTCCAATATTAAAATTGTACGTTTGATTTAACTAGTTTTCCCTGGAAAATCAAAGTTTTTTTTTGTATAAGCTGAATAGAAAACTTCCAATCTCCATAATATTGGTGAAGTCAACCTGATCAATCCTGAAAACCTTCAGTCACTGCCCGAATTATCGGCAAATTATTTTTATTTATATTTCATTTCTTATAATTATATCAGGTCAACATTTCCGCCACCTCCGAATTAGTCATTTTATCTTGCACACACCGTGGACTTTGTCATTGCGTATGCTTCATTATACCTGTACGTCCACGTGCCTACCACTCAATAAACACTTATTGTGGGAGGAAACCGGAGTACCCGTGGAAAACCCACGTGGCCGGGCAGGTGACCCTTACTTTTTCACGTCCGTTCCAAGAGTCGAACCCCGCACGGCTAGATGAAAAGCGAGTGCGTTACCACAGCGCCATCCGACCACCGAATATAATCTTTTGAGGTGAAAAGTTACTCATAATCACTTTTAAAATAAAGAAAGTTTGCGTACAAGATATCCCATGAAACCCTCATCAGATTTATTTTTAAAAAGTGGGGTGGGGGGAGGAGGGGGTATAGCCCATTCTCACTTCATTTTAATATCTTGAATGTTGTCATTTCAAAACTTTTAATTGTGTTCTACTTAGCAAATATTTTGTTCATTTGATCAAAGAATGCTCTGCTAAACAGCAATGAATTGAGTTTGCCCAGTTCAAACAATATCAGAGAATCACACAGCACTCATTTATACTTTTGGACTTGAAGATATTGGATTGTTAGAGTAAGTATTCCATGTGGAATGTAATCATTTATATATTAATCACCATTCTGGAGATATTGCACATTATCCGAATACTATAAAATTATAGTTTAGAGGGGAGATAACTCGTCCTGTTTTACGTTGACACAGATCGTCGCTAGTCTAGACCTTTTAAAAGAATAGCAAAACGCTACTGATTTCTCGTTATGTACTACTTCTACAGTTTTTTCGAAATAATTTTGAAACTTGTTATGATTCTTTCAAACTCTTGAATGTCCTTAATAACCCCGAAATAAAGGAAATGGACATGCTGTGCGTCGTGATATTTACATTTTAACACTGATAGAGAAAGTCTTCACGCTTATCATACAGTTTAGTGGTTCTGATTGGGATATACGATGGACATGATAAATACATCTCTTATCATTTAAAGACAAGACGTCATTAAAAATACGCTTTGATCTAATAAAAAAAAAACATGTATCTATGTCCTGTTGGCATCCCAAATGTTCCAATACCAAAAAAATATAAATTATGATTTAAAAAACAATTTATGTTCAAACTAACAAATATATGGGAAATATATTTCTAAACCTATTAAAAACCAAAGAGATAATGTTCAGTATGTAAAAGAACGTTGTCTGTCTTGGCAACTACGATATATCAGTTATAACACTGCACTGTATATCAATTGTGACGTGGTCTGTCCCGGTAACTACACTATATATCAGTTGTGAAGTTGTCTGTCCCGGTAACTACACTATATACCAGTTGTGACATTCTCTGTCCCGCTAACTAACCAACATATCAGTTGTGACATTGTCTGTCCCGGTAACTACACTGTATATCAGTTGTGATGTTGTCTGTCCCGGTAACTACACTATATATCAGTTGTGATGTTGTCTGTCCCGGTAACTACACTATATATCAGTTGTGACATTGTCTGTCCCGGTAACTACACTGTATATCAGTTGTGATGTTGTCTGTCCCGGTAACTACACTATATATCAGTTGTGATGTTGTCTGTCCCGGTAACTACACTATATATCAGTTGTGATGTTGTCTGTCCCGGTAACTACACTATATATCAGTTGTGATGTTGTCTGTCTCGGTAACTACACTATATATCAGTTGTGATGTTGTCTGTCGTGGTAACTACACTATATAACAGTTGTAATGTTGTCTGTCCCGTTAACTACACTATATATCAGTTGTGATGTTGTCTGTCCAGGTAACTACACTATATATCAGTTGTGATGTTGTCTGTCCCGGTAACTACACTATATATCAGTTGTGATGTTGTCTGTTTCGGTAACTACACTATATATCAGTTGTGATGTTGTCTGTCCCGGTAACTACACTATATATCAGTTGTGATGTTGTCTGTCCCGGTAACTACACTATATATCAGTTGTGATGTTGTGATGTTGTCTGTCCCGGTAACAACACTATATATCAGTTGTGATGTTGTCTGTCCCGGTAACTACACTATATATCAGTTGTGATGTTGTCTGTCCCGGTAACTACACTATATATCAGTTGTGATGTTGTCTGTCCCGGTAACAACACTATATATCAGTTGTGACATTGTCTGTCCCGGTAGCTACACTATATATCAGTTGTGATGTTGTCTGTCCCGGTAACTACACTATATATCAGTTGTGATGTTGTCTGTCCCGGTAACTACACTATATATCAGTTGTGATGTTGTCTGTCCCGGTAACTACACTATATATCAGTTGTTGTAGTGTTGTCTGTCCCGGTAACTACACTATATATCAGTTGTGATGTTGTCTGTCCCGGTAACTACACTATACATCAGTTGTGATGTTGTCTGTCCAGGTAACTACACTATATATCAGTTGTGATGTTGTCTGTCCCGGTAACTACACTATATATCAGTTGTGATGTTGTCTGTCCCTGTAACTACACTATCTATCAGATGTGACGTTGTCTGTTCCGGTAACTACACTGTATATTAGTTGTGATGTTGTCTGTCCCGGTAACTACACTATATATCAGTTGTGATGTTGTCTGTCCCGGTAACTACACTATATATCAGTTGTGATGTTGTCTGTCCCGGTAACTACACTGTATATCAGTTGTGATGTTGTCTGTCCCGGCAACTATACTATATATCAGTTTTATCGTTGTCTGTCCCGGTAACAACACTATATATCAGTTGTGATGTTGTCTGTCCCGGTAACTACACTATATATCAGTTGTGACATTGTCTGTCCCGGTAACTACACTATATATCAGTTGTGATGTTGTCTGTCCCGGTGACTACACTTTATATCAGTTGTGATGTTGTCTGTCGTGGTAACTATACTATATATCAGTTGTGATGTTGTGATATATATCAGTTGTGATTGTCTGTCCCGGTAACTACACTATATATCAGTTGTGATGTTGTCTGTCCCGGTAACACTATATATCAGTGATGTTGTCTGTCCCGGTAACTACACTATATATCAGTTGTGATGTTGTCTGTCCCGGTAACTACACTATACATCAGTTGTGATGTTGTCTGTCCAGGTAACTACACTATATATCAGTTGTGATGTTGTCTGTCCCGGTAACTACACTATATATCAGTTGTGATGTTGTCCCCGGTAACTACACTATATATCAGTTGTGATGTTGTCTGTCCCGGTAACTACACTATATATCAGTTGTGATGTTGTCTGTCCCGGTAACTACACTATATATCAGTTGTGATGTTGTCTGTCCCGGTAACTACACTATATATCAGTTGTGATGTTGTCTGTCCAGGTAACTACACTATATATCAGTTGTGACGTTGTCTGTCCAGGTAACTACACTATATAGTTGTGATGTTGTCTGTCCAGGTAACTACACTATATATCAGTTGTGATGTTGTCTGTCCCGGTAACTACACTATATATCAGTTGTGATGTTGTCTGTTCCGGTAACTACACTATATATCAGTTGTGATGTTGTCTGTCCCGGTAACTACACTATATATCAGTTGTGATGTTGTCTGTCCAGGTAACTACACTATATATCAGTTGTCTGTCCCGGTAACTACACTATATATCAGTTGTGATGTTGTCTGTCCCGGTAACTACACTATATATCAGTTGTGATGTTGTCTGTCCCGGTAACTACACTATATATCAGTTGTGATGTTGTCTGTCCCGGTAACTACACTATATATCAGTTGTGATGTTGTCTGTCCCGGTAACTACACTATATATCAGTTGTGATGTTGTCTGTCCCTGTAACTACACTATCTATCAGATGTGACGTTGTCTGTCCCGGTAACTACACTATATATCAGTTGTGATGTTGTCTGTCCCGGTAACTACACTATATATCAGTTGTGATGTTGTCTGTCCCGGTAACTACACTATATATCAGTTGTGATGTTGTGTGTCCCGGTAACTACACCGTATATCAGTTGTAGTGTTGTCTGTCCCGGTAACTACACTATATATCAGTTGTGATGTTGTCTGTCCCGGTAACTACACTATATATCAGTTGTGATGTTGTCTATCCCGGTAACTACACTATATATCAGTTGTAATGTTATGTGTCCTGGTATCTACACTGTATGTCGGTCGTGATATTTTTTTAATTAGCTGATTTCCACAATATTAGCGAAGAATAGTCGATTGATTTTAGATTGATGTCAATCACGTATGTTTACAAAATGTGCAAATATTACTATACCTAATGTATGAATCAATTATGTTAATTATGTTAAAAATGAAGATATATTGTATGTGTATCACATATTTACATAATTTTGTGTGATTTTGTGGGCCTGTAACACCTTGCTGGTAGGGGGCTCCCCAACCCCTGTGTGATACGGACCTACAAATTTATCCTTCTAGTGCATACCTTACACATTATTGTATTACACAAGTGTATTAATACTTATATATCATTATGCTGCTCATATTGTATGTCTCAAAGTGAATCCTAATTCATATGATATACATTTGACATGTGGGATTAAAACTATAACTTTGTATATGTAAACTCTTCCATATCAACTCTATGATATTCTATTAATTTGATGTTTCACGTGCATGTGCAACTATATATACATGTATATACTATTGATAATGTATTTATGTTGCCAAATGTTTTGCATCCATGTTTTATACTCTCTGTACTCTTCATTTTGGAGGCAATCAAGAGAATAATAATAATTATCTGATTTAGAAAGTCGGTTGAGCTTGAAAATCGTTTATTATGTGAATAGCAAAGATATGTAGATCTTTAATTTTTTGTTCTTTCTCAGAATATACCTTGATGCATAATATATGTCCCCGAGCATCCCCTTTTGTGGCGAAACATTGATATTTCAGTTCTCTGCACCTGTGACCGTCAGATCTGGGTCACATAGTGTTGTGTTACATAAGTACTTACTTATTTACATAACAGAACATCTTCCGGGTAACGACGATCTCGGGAAGTAGGGGGACTTTCTCAAGGTTGTCTTATATATGGAAGCGTGTTGTTTTAAGATTTTCCCTTACATAAAAAAAATAAAATGATTAAATATCTTTTCTGCAATCCTCATTTTACTACCATGACCAAGTCCTATTTTACCCTCAACTTTATCGGATAACATTTCGGTCGATATCCAATCATATCAAGTTTGTAGAATAAAGACCTCGACAGTGAGTGAACTATCAGTCATGACATTGGGACTTTCCGAAAAAAAAATACGTGCATATCCACTTCAACCGTCATATTCGCCCGTTCAATGTGAAAAGTATCACACTGTACTAATCATCCAGAAATATACAAAGCTGATAATGTTAATATGTTAAGAAAATATTAGTAAGTTATTAGTTATCTATGAGTATTCTGGTAAAGCATACACTCTCCACATATAGGAATGCTATCTCCTCAGTGAAAGGATTTCCCGATTAGTAATACTGTCTCCTCAGGGAAAGGATTTCCCGATGTAGTAATACTCCCCGGGAAAAGACTGATTCCCAGATATATGGATGGTAAGCGATCATTGATGTAAACATGATTGTTTTTATTCTTATGCTTTGCCACACGTAAAGTTGTATGCAAATGGACTATCGACATTGCCTTTTGCGTGAATTTTCCAGCCAGAGCTTTTCAAAAACGCCTCTTTGTTTTCAGTACCCCAGCCTATTCCGTGACAAGCTGCGCCCTCTATTGACGAACTAGATGGGAGACAAATCACGGAACTGATGGCGTACCCTACTCCTGCGGTATTGGCGTCCCCGATATTATCTCTATGTTTACTGTGTATATTAGGGTCAACGATGGACACGGCCCCGTCGTCTTTCAGGACACGATGAACCTCCTTCATGGCATTAACGTTGTCAGGCAGATCGTGAAGAACGTCATACAAGATCACCCAGTCAAACTTCCGTGTCCAATCGGCGGGCATACGTGTTATGTCCGTCTTTACAAACTTCAAATTCTTCACGGACTTTGAAAGTGCTTCTGCTTTGGTTATGGCCGTTTCGCTCAAGTCAGCACCATATATGTCAGCATCTTTAAATCGTTTACGTAACGCTCTTGTTAAATTTCCTCCGCCGCACCCTAAATCGAGTATGGTGGCTTTCGACTCTGAAAAAGATAACCCGGTTTATTTCTGTACTGAAACTAAGACTTAAAACATAATTGATAATAGTGTGGTTTATAATAGTAACATTACTTATCTACTCTAGTGTAGTATAGTAACACTGATCTACTCTGATGTAGGAGAGTAACATTACTGATCTACTCTGATGTAGGATAGTAACATTACTGATCTACTCTGATGTAGGATAGTAACATTAATCTACTCTGATGTAGGATAGTAACATTGATCTACTCTGATGTAGGATAGTAACATTAATCTACTCTGATGTAGGATAGTAACATTACTGATCTACTCTAATGTAAGATAGTAACATTGATCTACTCTGATGTAGGATAGTAACATTACTGATCTACTCTGATGTAGGATAGTAACATTAATCTACTCTGATGAAGGATAGTAACATTGATCTACTCTGATGTAGGATAGTAACATTAATCTACTCTGATGTAGGATAGTAACACTGATCTACTCTGATGTAGGATAGTAACATTACTGATCTACTCTGATGAAGGATAGTAACATTACTGATCTACTCTGATGTAGGATAGTAACATCGATCTACTCTGATGTAGGATAGTAACATTGATCTTCTCTGATGAAGGATAGTAATATTACTGATCTACTCTGATGTAGGATAGTAACATTACGGATCTACTCTGATGTAGGATAGTAACATTACTGATCTACTCTGATGTAGGATAGTAACATTACTGATCTACTCTGATGTAGGAGAGTAACATTACTGATCTCTGATGTAGGATAGTAACATTGATCTACTCTAATGTAAGATAGTAACATGACTGATCTACTCTGATGTAGGAGAGTAACATGACTGATCTACTCTGATGTAGGAGAGTAACATTACTGATCTACTCTGATGTAGGATAGTAACATCGATCTACTCTGATGTAGGATAGTAACATTGATAAATTCTGATGAAGGATAGTAACACTGATCTGCGATAGTAACATTGATCTACTCTGATGTAAGATAGTAACATTACTGATCTACTCTGATGTAGGATAGTAACATTGATCTACTCTGATGTACGATAGTAACATTACTGATCTACTTTGATGTAAGGTAGTAACATTACTGATCTCTGATGTAGGATAGTAACATTGATCTACTCTAATGTAAGATAGTAACATTACTGATCTACTCTGATGTAGGATAGTAACATTACTGATCTCTGATGTAGGATAGTAACATTACTGATCTACTCTTATATAGCAAAGTATCATTAATTGTCTACCATTAAACTGATATACTAAATGTAATGTAATGATATCTTACCTAACGGTTTTGGAAGTGGTTTAAGAAGCTGATTCACTGCTTCGTCTGGGTCGGCTGTTTTGTTTTCAATGGCGTCCACAACTTCTTTGGGCATTTCCGTATAGCCGAAACCTTTAACAAACGTGATATAATTGTACAGATCAAGACAAATCAAGGTTCTGTTTATCGAACCGATACCACAGAAAGGCAAACTATTTGACCGGTGAATGATATAAAGAATCGTTGTAATACACATGTATATTATTAAATGATATAATGTCATTAACCTTAAGCCGGGTAACCTGTTTAATAATTTAACGAAACACACCTGTTAAGGACGTTTCATGGATACAGATATAAAAATAATGGATGATTGCTATGTAAAATAGACGTAAATGATTTACAAACAAATTTTACGATGAAGATTTGTGAAATACGCAGTAAAAATCATATAATTATTGGTTTATTTCTTCTGTTGAAACGACTAAAAAGGATTATATGTCAACCTTTTAAAGTGGTTTACAACGTATATGGAGTTTAGATTTCAGCGTGTTACTGTCAATGGGGCCACATCCGGTTGGTGTGATGTAACTTCCGGTGTGCCTCAAGGATCGATTCTCGGTCCAAAACTTTTCCTTGTTTTTATAAATGAATTGCCTTCTATCGCAAAATTTTCCTATACCCTTATGTTTGCTGATGACAGTAAGGTTTCCAAGTGTATAAGAACGTTGGCAGATTGTAAGCAACTGCAGAGTGACATTGATAGAGTGTATGATTGGTGTAAGCTGTGGAAAATGGAAGAGAACGTGAAGAAGTGCTGCCAGGTCATTTTTACAAATAAGAAGAAATGTATAGATTTTAATTATAGTAAGGGTGGCGAGTTCCTGAAGAATGAAACGTGTGTGAAAGATCAGGGTGTATGGTTGACCTCTACAATGAGTTTTAACAAACATTTCAGACATACTGTTTCTAAGTCCATGCGATGCTTGGTTTTATTAAACGTTCATGTAAAAGTTTTACCCAAGTTAATGTTTTAATATCTTTATACATTAGCCTTGTAAGGAGTTAGAATACTGTTGTCAGATCTGGTCACCTCGCTAAACTTCTTTAATTCACCACATCGAAGCTGTTCAGCGAAAGTTTTTAAGATTTTTATGTTCTAAGGCACATGTTGACTTCAATTTATTGTGTTGCGCTGAAATTTGTAAGTATTTTAATCTCCCCAGCTTGAAACACAGACGATTATTTTAGACGGTGTATTTCTTTTTAAATGATTAAACAGTGTTTTTGATTGTCCATATTTAGTTGAGCAAATGTGTTTGTTAGTAACTGGTCGTAATCTACGATCTACTCGTTCAATTCAATTTTACTGCTAGAGAAGTCGTTTAAATATTAGAAAATTTAGTGTTTTAAACAGAACTCAGTCAAATTTTAACTCTCTTTGTCTTGTTTCTGACTATGATATATTTTATTTGTCTCTCATCGCATTTAAAGCATAGTTCCATATTTTGTACATTTAAAAGTTCTATGTTTCATGTGACTGTGATATTTATTCTTGTGTTATATTTGTTATCCATTCTGTAAGTGGACCTCCGCGTTTGTAGAATTGGAAATTGAAATAAATTTTTTTTTTCTTTTTAGAAAAAAATAGTACAGTTGTGGGATCGCACAACGTTACACGATGTTCGATGTGCGCACAATGTCTGCACGATGTGCGCACGAAGTATGCATGATGTCTGCACGATGTGCGATAACATCGTACAGGCGAATGTGCGCACGATGGACGATCCAAACGAAAGCTATCGTGGTTGATATAAAGCTAGGAATTGGTTATGAATAAAGTTCAAATGTGCGGAACGATTGTGATATTAATATACTTCATGTGTTGTCGTGACCAAGATAAACTGATCAGTCTTACAATTACAAGAAGCTCCATTCCTTAACTTACAGTATGAAATGTTTTTCGATGAGCAATGCATGATAATTATAAGCTAGGAAAATTCCTTAAGGAAGATTTGTGTATGTCATTATATTATCATGTCAACGACAATTTTTTAATGCTGATATGATTGCTTTTGCCATCAATCAAAGTTGATCAATCAATGATTTATTTTATTAAAGTGTAGTTAAAGATACAGTTAATAAAATCCATTTGAAGAATAAGATAATTTGTGATTCTATAGAGACCATAAAAATGTAAAGACAGATAAGATATATTTCATTTAAGTGACACTTGTTTTAGAAACATAAAAGTACATTGATCAAGTACACATACTTTGTACAGACTCTTTAGCCTAAAATGAAATAATCACAAACCTTTTACTAAATGGTTACTCATGAGATGTACCAGTACCGAGCAACAATATTCAATTTTTACAATCATAGCAGTTATAATTTTACTTTAGAATAATGATATGAAACTAAAATAGTAATGTGTAAAATCACACTTGTATAATAATACTTGTAATTAATAGTTTTTCTTATGTTACATGTAGCACTATAATATGGTTTTAAGGTTGAAGGTTTTTATTAATCACTCTGACACATACATATATAATTACATTATAATGGCGTGTGACGATAAGTACAATATCACAAGTTTTTCAACATATAACATATTGAGAAGGAGTTCAACCAAGCTGATACAGTAATTAATTTATTTATTGGCGTGTTGTTACAATCAGATGACCATCCCTCAGCTTTTAAACTATTTTCGGGCCAGAGAGATTGGTGTGGTATAAAACGATCTTTTCCTTCGTAAAATGTGACAATCGTGGACCAGCATCCATTTCCGCATACGAGATGATGCACGCCTCGTTTTCGATTTCATACGACACAATCCGTTATTTTTTTTGATAATTTCGCAATATCAGTCAACCGATCGAACTTAACCGCACAGAGAATCGCATATCGCACATTTGTGCGCACGATACACGCACGGTGTATGCACGATGTCCGCACGCTATTTTTGGTACGTTGTGCGATCCAACAACTGTAGTATCACTTCAATGTATTGGTACCACTTAATTTATTACGTTGACAACACCTATTCAGATTGAATGGACATATCAACAATTAGTAAGAGTGATATCATTTAGTCTTTTTATCGATGTCACTTAAACACAATAAAAAAAAGACGACATACCTACATATTGCTACAAATCTTACCTTTTGACCCGTCCTTCTTGAAACAGTCCTTCACTTTTGTTGTTAAAACATCCATAACAGGAATGAAAAAGGCAAATCCCAATGCATTGAGTCCTGGCTTGAGTGATTCTGGGATGAAATACTTATCGGAAGCATCCATTGAAACAATCCTGCAGGATACCATACATCCCAGCCACTCCTGGACATATCTACAAAGGGAGGGAATTACATGTGATACATCACTAGTCAGACCATACATCCCAGCCACTCCTGGATATATATACAAAGGGAGGTAATTACACGTGATACATCACTAGTCAGACATATATCCCAGTCACTGCTGGATATATATACAAAGGGAGGTAATTATACGTGATACATCACTAGTCAGACCATACATTCCAGCCACCCCTTTGAAATATCTACAAAGGGAGGTAATTACACGTGATACATCACTAGTCAAACATATATCCCAGTCACTCCTTGATATATTTACAAAGGGAAGTAATTACATGTGAAACATCACTAGTCAGCCCATACATCCAAGCCACTCCTGGATATATCTACAAAGGGAGGTAATTACACGTGATACATCACTAGTCAGACCATTCATCCCAGCGACTCCTGGATATATCTACAAAGGTAGGTAATTATACGTGATACATCATTAGTCAGTCCCTACATCCAAGCCACTCCTGGATAAATCTACAAAGGGAGGTAATTACAGGTGATACATCACTAGTCAGACATATATCCCAGCCACTCCCCTTGAAATATCTACAACGGGAGGTAATTACATGTGATACATCACTTGTCAGACCATACATCCCAGCCACTCATTGATATATTTACAAAGGGAGGTAATTACACGTGATACATTATTAGTCAGACCATACATCCCAGTCACTCCTGGATGTATCTACAAAGGGAGGTAATTACATGTGATACATCACTTGTCAGATCAAACATCCCAGCCACTCCTGGATATATCTACAAAGGGAGGTAATTACACGTGATACATCATTAGTCAGACCATACATCCTAGTCACTCCTGGATATATTTACAATGGGAGGTAATTACACGTGATACATCATTAGTCAGACCATACATCCCGGCCACTCCTGGATATATCTACAAAGGGAGGTAATTACATGTGATACATCATTAGTCAGACCATACATCCCAGTCACTCCTGGATATATCTACAAAGGGAGGTAATTACACGTGATGCATCATTAGTCAGACCATACATCCTAGTCACTCCTGGATATATTTACAATGGGAGGTAATTACACGTGATACATCATTAGTCAGACCATACATCCCGGCCACTCCTGGATATATCTGCAAAGGGAGGTAATTACATGTGATACATCATTAGTCAGACCATACATCCCAGTCACTCCTGGATATATCTACAAAGGGAGGTAATTACACCTGAAACCACATATCTACAAAGGGAGGTAATTACATGTGATACATCACTAGTCAGACCATACCTCCCAGCCATCATGGACATATCTACAAAGGGAGGTAATTACACGTGATACAACATATCTACACAGGGAGGTAATTACACGTAGAACACAACTAGTCGGCATATCTACAAAGACAGGTAATAACACGTCATATATCACTAGTCATCATATCTACAAAGGGATGCAATAACACGTAATCTCAATATGATGTTATCGATTAGCTGGACCGTAACACAGCAAATGACGTAAGGCTGATTTGAGTAGAGATATGGAAACTAAAAAAAATAACTTAGCTATATTTTTGTTTTAGTTTGTCATACACATTACTTATTTTTAACTTAAAATGCATCTCCAGTAACCTTATCAGTGACTAAACCCAAATCCCAACCGAATGAATAGGATTCGTGTCATCGACAGGTAGATATTTTAAGCCCGCCGCGACATTTTTTTAGTCCGCGTATTAACTTGTCTAGTTTGTCTGTTAGTGATATGGAGAAGAAATATTTACTATTTGAATAGGTAGATAATTGAGATCTATTTGTGTTTAATAATTTAAATTTTGTCGCATACTGTGAAGCTAGAAGTGTGTTAGAAGAGTCCGCCAAAAAGCATAACCAGCTTCATACTTTTCTATCTGTCCTGAATTTGCCAGCAATTTTGCCTATTTCGCTTGTGAAGGTGTAAAAAATGGAATATCTAAGAGTGTCTTCTGCAATAACAAAGATATTTCACTCGTGCGTCTAATTTTTTTGTATGTGTCGCCGGGTGATCATTGAGTGTGTTATGTCATTTCATTACAGCATTTACGTGAGTGTATTCACTAGATAGCAAGGCAATCATACGATAATTGTTGTTTTGTATACATGTTTAAAAATCATGGTAATATCTATACAGAGGATGTCTGTGAAGGAAATGTTATGTACATACGTGAAATGTAAACAAAATATGTAGATACACGTGTGTGTGTTTGTGTGTATGTGTGTGTGTTCCACCTATATGCGGGGACAATAACAAGCTGCTGTCTGAAACTATTAAAAATGGTAATTAAATGTTTACTTATATTTAACATAAACAAGACGAGTATTTAAGAAATAGATTATAACCGATGCAGTCGATTGCATAACAGCCAAAACAAGATGAAATGTAAAAACGCAGTGCTGCCTACCTATCCTTCAGATTGCAAGCGTCAGCTAGCTGCTGTGAAGTTACTGGTCCGTCATTTTTTTTCAGCTGTTCAAAAAGACCAAGATCTATCCCGATCATTATGGCAGAAGTTATATATCCTCCAGCGATGAAGTCTGTTAAATTCTTAGAATATGCTTCTAAATCCATTTTGCAGTGTTACCTTAAAACACCACGTTTACTTTACGAAGTCTTGATGATTTGCCACAGCCTGTCTGGATATTCTCATGTATCTGTGACGTAATGACTAACTATGGAAGATTTGTCATGCCAAACACGGGACAGGAGAAAAATACCAATTTGAAAATCCAATGCCTTTGTCATGGATCATAGATAAAAAATCCCACCTGACCAGTCAGAAAATTATCGATCTTTGCTAAGTGAATGGCGAGGTACTGCACATGCATAAGAAACACTATAAGTAATTGGATCGAGGCTTATAGAAATGAAGTTATGGTATCAAACATTTCTTTTACAAGACATTACTGAAGCTGTTATCAGCGAGTGTAGGACTGATTCCCGAACAAGACTAATTTCTGGCTTACTAAAGAAAAATGTCCCTTTTTCAGGGTGAATGGTGTCCTGCAACAAATTTAACGGCGCTCATGCCGCTTTCATGTGGAGAAAAAAGTGCCACCGCATTAATGTAAAGTGTTACTTTGTCGGCGCAACAAAGCGCCATTTAACCAGACATAAAACGACGCTATTTGATTTGCTTTCAGGACCGACAAAGTTGATATCGTCCTCATTAGCCACCGTACCCTATGTAAATAACGACTGTTAGATCTAGGCTTGTGTGCAACAACCGTTTCGAAAACCTATTTGCTTGAATTGACTCCAATTGACTCTCTGCAAGCTATGTTGTGACAATTGTTAAAATCTCTTTTACCTTTTTTGAGAAAAAAAAATATTGCAAATATTTTTAATAAGCAATTTGATTCACATTAGAATATCACTTGAAAATCTCTTGTCTTGCTCTTAACACATAATCATTATATTTAGTCACATCATACATGGTGATGTTGTCCTGATTTAAATGGTGAGAATATCCAAACGGTACGTGTTTTGTTAGTAAACAAGGAAGTCAAATTGTAACATCGATCACATATTCCCCATCAACCATCAACATGACAGATGCACAAATTCATGTAATTTTTTTCCGGAACAACTTTTTAACTCGTATTGTGGTGTATATTTAATGACCTATTTAGCTTGCAGCTGTGGTGTATATCTAATGACCTATTTAACTTGCAGCTGTGGTGTATATTTAATGATCTTTTAAACTTGCAGCTGTGGTATATATTTAATGATCTTTTTAACTTGTAGCTGTGGTATATATTTAATGATCTTTTTAACTTTTAGCTGTGAAATCTTATTATTAATCTTTAATTAATCTTATTATTAATTCATATACTGATATATATAGCTCAGTTATGACACACGGCACAAGATCAAGATGGCTACCCGTCATGTCCGAGATTAGGCAGGGAGGAGTCGTCTCCAGCTTCCTATAACTTGTTTTTATCAATGACCTTCTCCTGGAGTTGGAACAAAGCCGAGTAGGAGCCAAGATCTATGACATAAATAGCTGCAATCCAGCCCTTGCAGACGACATTGCTTTAATTGCAACCAGTCCCCTAGCATTACAAACCCTTCTAGGCATTTGTACGAGATATGCAGAGCCATGGAAATTCGCATTCAATGCGGACAAAAGCACGGTTCTTGTGTTCGAAAATGGACGGAAACGAAATATTAATTTCAAATGGTCAGTTATGGGACAAAACTTGAAGTCCTCACCGTCATACAAACATGTTGGTGTTATTATCTCAACAGATCTTAAATGTACGTTAGCTGTAGAAAATGGCTGTAATTAAGGAAGAAACTGTTTCAATCTTGTAACCAAATTTGGACAAGACTGTGAGCTGACGAATCCATTAAAAAATCCGAGTTGTACAAGAAAGATATAATTCCACGTGTACTTTACGGGTCTGAATTTTGGTCTAAAATGTCTCAGAAGGACCTGCAATATATGAATGTATTGCAACACATTATAACGAAACGAACCCAACGTTTCCGGAAATTAACAAGATCCGATATGTGTGAATCTATGTTAGACCTACCTAGATTCTCATCGCAAATCGACAAAAGGAAGCTAAACTTCCTGTCTACCTCAATACGTCTAGAGTCCAACACTCTATCAAAACGGATATTTTTTCGGCGGCTATACCAGTTCTTACAAAGCCTAGCGAACAACCAACTAGGTTTTATAACTGACATCTGGGCCATTCTGTGCAAATATAACTTGCAACAGTTTCTTCGAGATTACACAAGAAACTACAGTTTCCCGTCAAAACTCAAATGGAAAAGGATTGCTAATAATGCAATAATGAAAACTGAGGACGCTCTCCTCAACCAAAGACTAGGACAAGATCCAGGCCCCACTTGTATAAAACATCTCAACTTGAGATTTCCTCAAGTCGAGATTTTCCTCAGCTGATATCTCCTCAAAAACGGCTTGTATAAAATTTTCTCAAGGAACAGGAGGAAAGCATCGGCTAGGATGTCCTGGAATTCCTTGAGGAATTTTCATACAATATATTTTCATGGAGATATTAGCTGAGGAAAATCTGGGTTTGAGGAAATCTCAAGTTGAGATGTTTTATGCAAGTGGGGCCAGATTTTCTGTGGTATAGAGACATACACAACACATATACACCACTCAATATGTAATGTGGAAAATACCAAAAACTTCAAAAGATCTCTCAAGAATCAAGTTTGTCTGTAAGATGGTCACGTGTTCCCCTAAGTGGTCAGAGGAGCAGTGTGGACTATGTAATACGCTTTATATAGATCCTATTTTACATCATGTAACTGTTTGTCGGGATACAGCGGACATTCGTGATGTATACATGACATTGATAATAGACAAATACGTTATACCATTATTTATGTATTTAGATAACCTCATACACGAAGATTTCCTCAGGACAATTCTTGGAAAACCTATTCCAAGAGACATATTAGAAAGCGTTGAAGAATACCATCAATTTCTTATGGACTGTGCTAAATTTGTAAGACGTGCAGCTCACACATTTTTATCGAAATGAAATACACAATATCAGGGACGTCTGATAATCATGTGCCATGAAAGTAAAGTGTTTACTAAGTAGATAAATGTGCGGACTCATCACGGAAAAATGAGGGATCAAATGTAAAAACTTTTTGTCTACTTTTTCTATTTTCTTTCGTAAATTTATAATATGAGGAATAAAAGATTTGATATTTAGTGACCTATTTAACTTGAAGCTGTGGTGTATATTTAATGACCTATTTAACTTGTAGCTGTGGTGTATATTTAATGACCTATTTAACTTGCAGCTGTGGTATATATTTAATGACCTATTTAACTTGTAGCTGTGGTATATATTTAATGACCTATTTAACTTGCAGCTGTGGTGTATATTTAATGACCTATTTAACTTGTAGCTGTGGTATATATTTAATGACCTATTTAACTTGTAGCTGTGGTGTATATTTAATGACCTATTTAACTTGTAGCTGTGGTGTACATTTAATGACCTATTTAACTTGTAGTAGTAGTGTATATTTAATGACCTATTTAACTTGTAGCTGTGGTGTATATTTAATGACCTATTTAACTTGTAGCTGTGGTGTATATTTAATGACCTATTTAACTTGTAGCTGTGGTGTATATTTAATGACCTATTTAACTTGTAGCTGTGGTGTATATTTCATGACCTATTTAACTTGCAGCTGTGGTGTATATTTAATGATCTTTTTAACTTGTAGCTGTAGTGTATATTTAATGACCTATTTAACTTGTAGCTGTGGTGTATATTTAATGACCTATTTAACTTGTAGCTGTGGTGTATATTTAATGACCTATTTAACTTGTAGCTGTGATGTATATTTAATGACCTATTTAACTTGCAGCTGTGGTATATATTTAATGACCTATTTAACTTGCAGCTGTGGTGTATATTTAATGTTCTTTACAGCTTGCAGCAGTTTAAATATTTGGTTGGATTTCTTAAACAGTTTTATCGATGGAAAAATCATTATCAGTGCTTATAATGGACCTTTTACTATGATATAAGTGCTATTTATTTAATACATGAAGTAAATACGCGTATTCCAAAAATATACTTGATCATACAAACCTGGGCTGCATATTCCCTACCACTTCTTTTGTTTAGCAATATGTTCTTACTCGCCTTGGATCTGTGGATCTTTATGATATATTGAAACAATGTAATACACATTCCCTATTAGTTTGTAGATTAATCATTAGATACGATAATTACAAGTTGTCATCAAGATTTTGGTGTATTCTTATTGGCTGGAATTATTCAGGTAAAGTCCGATATCTAATTACCAAAACACAGCAAAAATTACAACTAGATTGTACTATAATTTACACAGTATGTACTATTTTTTAGTTATGTACAGCCCAGGTGAATAATCTTCCTTTGCAGTTGTACTATATGAGATCAGTCTAGGTAAATGATCTATCTGTACATAGGTACGATATAGGAAAATGGTGTTGCTCTAAGACGTCGTGGGAACGGCACATGCAGCATTCCATTGTGTCTATTTTTAATGTACTGTGGATTCATTCATTGTTTTCGTTGATGAGAAAATCCACGAATTTAAAAACACAACAAAATATGAACTACATACTAAAGTAATTTGGAATTTGACTAAGTAATCTTTGCCGACACCGGAAATGTCCACCGGTAATGTGAGTATACATGTCCACTGTATTTGTTTTTCATGCTGGTGAATGAAATAATGTGTAGATTGTTCTAGAAGTTCGTGTTCAATATCGCCTGGTCAGTTTTGCGTTCGAGAATACAGTACTATAAGAGTAGTCTCCCTTGCCATGCACACATGTATACACCCCTTCACTTACGGGTCTGTTTCTGAATAGCCGTATATGACTGCGGTACACCGACTGATCAGCACACAATGTTTATCCACCGAAAACAATTGTTTTTTTAATAATCACCGCTTGATTACACGTCAGGATATATGCCGATTTGTAGTTTGAAACTAATGCGAGACTGTTGTAAACAGAAACCAGCGTTATAAAAACACAGGACACCATCTTGAAAAAAACATTCTTTTATTCTTGTCATCAGTGTGAACATGGCCTTAATACAAACAGAAAAAAAAATGAA